TTGAACCGATTGATTTTCGTTCCATGAAAATTACATACCACGCTGAAATATTTTCATTTGGAAGCTCGTTCGAATGCCTTTTTTTTTTGAAGATCGAACCTACCCGAGTTTTGTAGGCTCGTCTCGGTTGCGTAAACAAATGCTTGAACTCGTTCGAGAGAATGATACGTGAAAGTGATGTCAAATACAAAACGTTATGACTATAAAATACTGATTATTGAAATATGATTTAACATAAAATACGATTAGAAAGAATAAAATTGACAAGTCGCACATGGTTTATGATAAAAAGACTACGGTGTACACTATAATATATAGAATACAGTGTAAATGAGTAGGATCTTACATAACCAAGAAAGCTTATTATAGATTCTCAATTTAGAAATAAATCGTTCGACCGAAAAAGTGCAGGTCCAAAAAAAAAAAAAAAAAATTGGTCAGTTTGAAAATGGATCACGGATTTTGAAAATGGGTCACCAAGACGAAAATGGTTCATTGTTTTGAAAATGGGTCACCGATACAGAAATGTAATGAGGATTCTCTTCTTTTTCTCTTCTTGAATTTCTTCATATTGCTTAACATGAACGAAGAATACAATTTTGACAGTGAGACAGTACCTGTGATGATACAATCATATGTGGACTGGGAAGAAACTTCAGCAATAAATGCAGCATAAAAATAAGCTAAGAGAAAGACCAAACCTCACTCCAAGAAGCCCTTCCTTGATGTGCTATAGTTAACCTTCAGAACAAGGTGTTCAAGAAGCAAGGATTTGATAAATCTATACGATTTCAAGGGACCCTCGAAACAGATGGAGTTGGTATATCAGTCATAAAACAAAATATGGATACCAACAGAAAGACATCCAAAGCAAAGAATACAACAAAGGTTACTGTTGATCAAACAGAGTATATAAAGAAGGTTAGCCAATCAGACTTGAGAAGAACTGGAGGAAGCTGCGTTCTTATAGATCCTGGAAGACGTGATCTTATGTATTGTCTTAAGGAAAATAGTAAAACAGAAGATAAGCAAACTTTGATATATACAAAGATGAATGGAACAAAAATGCAAAGAAATCTCAGACTTTTGAGAAAAAAAACAAAACTTGTAATTATCAAGGCTGCTGAGGTGGTTTTGTCAAAAATCGAATCCTTTTCAGTAAGGATAAAAAGCTATTCCGACTATATCAAAGAAAGAGCATCTATCGATATTCTATTAAGAGAGTATTATGGGAACGAAACTTACAATACAACACAATTATATTTTCCTGATTCGTGCTTTATATTCAAAGTGACCAACAAAGGTGAATTGTATTTTGGGAATTTGTATGTGACAAGAATTCGAGGCTACTACCCCCAAGCCCAAGCTTCTCCTGATGATTTTACTAATTTTCAAATGTATGCTACTTATTTGGATATTATGATGCAACAAAATCATATGAAAAAACGTTTGAATAACACAGAAAAAGCAGAAATACTTAAAATTATGTTAGAAACAGGCCAAGTGGATTTATTGAGGAATCGTGCAAGCCAACTTTTAGAAAAGCTACAGATTTTGCCATGCCGTAAAATAAGTTTTCTAGCAGATTATACTTTGATAAAAATGATGCTCAATTAGTTAGAAAGCTGAAAAACAAGTTTGGTTCCAACACAACGCTGATACTTGGAAATTGGTCAGCACAAAACGTCAAGTATTAAGAGCCAACTAGGAATAAAGGGTTAATTGCTATGTTAAAGAAGAATTGATTTAAATTATATTTAATTGGCGAATACAAGACATCTTCTTTTTGTCCTGAATGCGAAAGTCCTTTGGAAAAGTTCAAAACCATAGTGAATCCAATTATATCAAAGACGAAAAATGCCGACCATTACATGTCATGGATTACTTCGGTATGCGATATTAATTTAAAAATCAGCATTGATAAGAAATTATCTAATCAGTTATAAGGTGTAAAAACATTGCTTGCTACAGAAAAATGGAGAATACATCTGGTATTGTTGCAAGAAGAATATGGAATCGTGATTTGGCTGCAGCTTTAAACTTTAAAAAAAATACTGAACCATTTGAGGGAAACTGGAAAACGACCCGCTTTGTTTAGTCGAGAAAAAGCAGAAAGACCACTAAAGTTATCGCTTTACTTATTTAATGCAGGTATTACCCGTTTTAAAATTTCTGAACACCAAATTTTGATTCGTCTGAAAAAAAAAGCTCATAAGTCTGAACTTTTTTTTTATTGATCTGAATCAATTTTTGTATTTATCTGAATTTAACTTATATTTGTCTGAATATATAGTGTCAAAACTGTATCCAACTGCCACCTTTTTTATCAAATAAAAAGCTCGTGTCTTCAATTTTGGTTAGCAAGCGATATGAATTTTAATTGGCTACGACATTGCTTATTGGAGGCACTGTAATCTTACCATGTATGGTTTACATTTTCGTAAAAAGGCACTCTTGGTTGGCTTAAATTTGCGATCAAACAATATGTAATCTGGGAGCCTAACCAAGACGATAAACTAGCGATAAAGTATATATATAAAAAAACTTCCAATAAAATAAGGTAATGTTTTTTTTCTTTGCAGCACATGATATTTATTCAACAGGTTTATGAGGGGGGAGGCTTACAAATGATGTAATATGTTTTTTTTTTCATGTTTTTGCAAATGATCAAGAAATGGAGTGTTCATCAAGATCAAACCAAGGTCCGTCGGGATCTTGTGGTGAAGCCAAATTTTGTAGCTGCCATAAAAGTAACATGACGGTGGCCGAAACAGTGGCTGCTACAAATATGGCAGCAGTTGTAGTTTGCAAAAAAGGCGAATGTCGACGAATGTATCTCTTAATTGCGCACGATAGTTTAGCTGTTTGACTACTATTATTTTGACTGTTTAACGAGTGAGAGTATGAAGATTGTGAGGGTATGCTTTGGTATAATGAATCATATGAGGGTGGATCTTTAGGTATTAGATATTGTGAAGAGGACATTAGTCTTGTTGTTTAAAAAAGAGGAAAAAATAAAAATAAAAAAATACGAAACAAAGGTGGTGGAGCACAAGCGGCGATCAAAATGGTTTAAAATGGCATCAAAGGTCTCATGGCTGCATTTTCCGAATATAAAAGAGTTGTTCCTTGAGACATTCTTTGTCTCTATATTTTCTTTTACTCTTTCAATATGAAGTTCTCTAGTATCATATTTGCTACCGCTTTGCTTGTTATCTCATCGGTCAATGCTCTTGATTGCTCTCCTGAAAACACCGAAATCTATTCCGAAGAACTGGATTACTCATCTACACTCCAAGACATGATTGATGAAGCAAGTAGAACAAAGTAAGTATATGTACTCCTACTGTATATTAAGCGTTGATGAATTTCTATTAGAAAACCTGTGGTTTATCTCAATCCTGGCCTCTTCACTCTTGATCCTGTAAAGCCAATCGTTCTTAGAAAGGGAGTCTCGTTAAAGGGGGATCCGTATCAACCAAGTATTCTCAGCGTGAAAGATAAAAATACCACTGGTACAATTGAAGGTGAGAAATTTTAAGTTCAAAATGGGTCGATCCGTAAGTTTTGCGCTTGAAAGTAACCTGTAATTTTGCTCAGTTTACCAGGACAATCAAGCCTGGGCAATTCAAGACATTGTTTTTGAAAATGTTAATATTCAGGTGCAGGAAAACACAAATGAAGATGAAACTGCAATTCTTGGTAATTTATTTTTTAATGGACAACGTGGTTCAATTATTGCAAGATACGGTGAAAAACTATACATTGGTATGTTTATGTTTACAATTAAATAGTCGTGAATTAATTGGTTTATGCAGATGGAAATGTTTTTTTGCGTGATGAGGCTCATGCCGGTCACTATACGTTACCTACTTACAATACAACAAGTAAAGTATATATATATATGTATATAAACTAGCTGCATACCTGTAACTGATTCCCATAATAGATACTGGTGTTTTGCTCCAGACTCAGAAGAACACTGTTGTCTCAAACAATATATTTGGGTAAGATTACAATAACTTTAAATTTAATATCATGAACTCAATTTTTTTTGGGTTTTAGAATGGATCTCCGTAAAATGGAAAATTTAGTTCCTTATGTTAGCCAGCAATTACGAGCGCCTTTAAGAAATCTTAAATTTATTCATGAATGTCTTAAACGTAATTTAGATGACGAACAGGGCTATCTCGCATCTGGTCTTCAACTTTATGCAACCAATGATATCACGATCAAAGAGAACATTCTGGTAAAAAGCTATTTTTGTTGATAGTCTATTCTCTAATGCAATTTAATAGAATGCAACATTCCCTGACACAAAACCTATTTCTCAAGATCACGCTATCAGTGTAGTTGGCTCCAACCAAACTTATATTACTGAAAATTTTATTGCGGGGTGGCAGATTGCAGATTTTGGTGGCGCCGTCCGATTTACTTCTGCTGTAAAGTATTTTAATATATGTCGTTATACATTAATTTCTTATGCACATTACCCCTTTTATTTTTCAGGTGGATGGCTATGTTATTTCAAATTATCTTGCTAACACTGGCGTTATGATGTATGCTGCTGTTCATGCAGACTATAAACAGGTCAGTAATATTGTTGTTCACAAGAATTTTCTGTATCGATTCCTTGGTAAAGAGGTAGCTGTACCTGAAGAGTTGGACGGTTGGCTTTATGAGGGTGTGACATTCTTTGATTTTTATACCGCTCGCCTCAACTACACTATCCGCCCACCTATCTGGAATAGCAGTGTTCCTATCTCTCCTTGGGGTTGGCATATCGTTGTCTCTGATAACAAGTTCGGTGCCAGTAAAGGTGTCGATCCCAACGTTATAAGCTTAGGTAATTTGGACCCTACTGAGGGCTATTTTGATCGCAAAAACTGCTATGTCACTGAGCCTCTTGTTGCGGGATCTAAGAACGCAGAAGTTGTCCCATTACTTTGGCGCCAAACTTATGAACAAGGCAAGTTTAGTAAGAATGGTGGAAAAATTCCCATGGTAAGATATTCGGCATTATTAAAAATCAAAAAACTAATGACTGAGCTCCCCACATTAGAAATTGGTGCATCATACAGATGATGATTTGAATGATCAAATTCCTGCTCAGTTACGTAACCTACAAATTCCTGAGTTCTGGAAAGCTTTTACGCTTAAAAATGATACTATTCCCATGCTTTCTCCAGATACTCCATGTTACAAATCGTCTTAAACGTTTTATAATTTTGCATAGTCTATTTAGTTATAATTGTAGAAATCAAATAAAAAGATCATAAGCTATACTTAAAAGTCAATTTATTTTATTTTATTGGTATTATTACATGTATTTTGAACAGAAATTTACTCGAAGTCTTCATCAAAGACAGGAATACCCCAAGCAGGTCTAACAAAACGCTTGGTTGTTGTCTTAGAGATATCATTAATCTCCTTGATTTCTTGCTCAGACAAATCAACAGTTTGGATGTTAGCTTGAATACGCTATAATTTGAAATAGAAAGATCGAGAAAAGATGTTAGTTGTCTTACTAAACCATACAATGTACAACATTGTTGTTACCTCAGGGTTGACGCTCTTGGGTAAAACACTGCTACGGGTAATACCCCAAGAGATTAAAATTTGAGGAATAGATCTGTCATGAGCCTTAGCGATTTTGGCAAGAGTCTCATCTTGGAGTAAAGTAGATTGACTGGAACCCAAAGGTGAGTATGCGGAGCAGTGAATACCATTGGAATTACAGTATTCAACCAACTTGAATTGAGGCAAATAAGCTATATAAAAAAAATCAGTAAAAAGATCAAGAAATATGCATGCTTCTGTACTTACGATGAAGCTCAATCTGGTTAACGGCAGGGACAACCTTAGCCGTCTTCAAGAGACGTTCGAGGTTAGGGATAGCGAAGTTTGCAACACCAATATTCTTCACTTTACCAGTGTCTAACAACTTCTCCATAGCAGCCCAGGTAATTTCAAACTTACCATCGAGCTCTTCATCAATATCGCGAGATCCATCGGGCTTCAAAGGAACCAATTGTCCTGTAGCAGGGTTCATAGCGACGGGCCAATGCATCATATAAAGATCGAGATATCCAATATCTAACTTAGCGAGAGAGTCCTCAAATCCTTTGGAAACATAAGAAGGTCTGGCGTGAATAGTGGCTAACTTTGTGGTGACAAAAATATCTTCACGCTTCAATCCACTTTCCTTAAGACCATCACGAATACCTCTGCCAACTTCAGCTTCGTTACCATACTATAATACCCGTTAAATTACTTGGATTTTAAAATAGAAAAACAGAAACTTACCATCATTGCGGTATCAATATGACGGTAACCAGCGGCCAAGGCAGCTTTGACAGCTTTATAAACGACATCTTGTTCTTCACCAGATTGCCATGTACCTAATGCGACAGCAGGAATGGTGTTTCCGTTGTTTCTGAACAAAGTATTTAATTTAGTATCATATTGAGCAATAGTAACACAAACTTACAATGTGAAAGTCTTTTGGCAAACCATATTAAAATATAAAATTTAGGTGAAAAAGGGGAAGGAGGACCTGAAAAATAAAAATTACGTTTATATGGCATAAACTTGCGCGGAAAGTTTAAATCTTCCGGTAGGACTAAATTATTTTCCCCGAAAATCTTCGATGATTAATCAATTCAGCAGGTGTACGAATACAAGGTTTAGCACCATTGCAATATTTTTTTCCCATAGGCTATGCTCCTCATCCATCTAAGCAGGTAGACATATGTAGAAATCTAACGTAATTTTGTGGTTACGAATTGTATTTTCGTAATCATTAATCCTAGCTCCAAAAAGGGCTCTTGATTTTTTGATTTATTTAAATTTACAATCATGGCTTTACAATGCCAACATGGTATTGACAAACTTGTCCACCTTATCTTCATCTTGTCTAGCCATTTCAATGACCATCAATAACTTCTTTACACCGATTGTTAATTTTTGGTCCATATTTGCATTTCTGAGAATAGAAAGAGCCCTTTCTCTTTGTTCATCATCGAATAGCTCTAATTGTTGTAACACAATATCAACACCTTCTAAAGATGTGATGGTGGGTACATAGATCTCGGCCGAAAACTCCTCTGTCATGTTCATTTGCTCCAAAATATTATGTTGAGTAGTTGTGGCCAAGATCAATAAACGACGATCCTTTGGGGGTTTCTTTTTTAATAATACCAAAAGCGCTTGCAAAACGGAGTTAGAGAAACGAGGGCCGATTGGTACATAATCTATCAATAAAATTAGTATAAGACGTAACCTTTGTATGCGTTCTCTTTATGTTTACCTAAAAGACGCTCGATGGAATCAATAACAATCACACTGAGAGGAGATTTGTATGAATCGTTAAAGATCTTGTTAATTTCAGTCACCTTCGAGGCTTCAGTCATTCCAACCATTGTTTCAGGAGAAATTAACTTGATGAAGGGAAAGTCACTTTGCATAGCAATAGTGGCTGCAAGAGCAGTCTTACCGCTACCGGCAGGACCAGTCAAAAGAACACTAACTAAGGGGGTACGAGAAGACTGACGTACTTGATCAACGTATAGTCTACCATCAACCAAAGCTTGTTTAACGGATGGACTAAAAGGAATGATATGATTTGCAACACATTGTTGTAATTCAGCTTCAGATACACCAAAAGCAGGTGTCACTTCCTTAAGCGCGTTTAAGAAATCGTCCATACTGACTTTCATATCTTCGACATCAGCGGATATACCAGCCATAGTACCGACTTTAATATGCCTGCTAAAGGCATAGGAAGATGCGGCCTTAACGACACCAGAAATTTCAGCACCACTGTAATTTTTAGTTAACTCTGCCAACTCATCAAGACTAACATCATCTTCCAAAACATCGTTTGTTTTCATTTTAGCAGTATGAATTTTTAAAATTTGGAGACGGCCTTTTTCATCAGGCAAACCGATTTCCATATGCACTTCAAGACGACCGGGACGCAGCAAAGCTTCATCAATCATGTCCTTTCTGTTTGTCATACCAATAATTAGGATATTGTTCAATTGCTCGACACCATCCATTTTAGCCAAAAGTTGATTTACGACGGAATCACCTACACCGGTATCACCACTTCTACTACCACGAGATTTACAAATGGCATCCAACTCATCAAATATAATAATATGAAGACCAGAGTCTTCGCCCTTTGCTCTGTATTCTTCTTCAGCATCACCGAATAACTTACGAACATTTTCTTCGGATTGACCCACAAATTTGGATAATACCTCAGGGCCACTGACAATTTTAGGTTCCTTTGCATTCAACATTTTGCCAATTTGACGGGCCATCAAAGTTTTACCTGTACCCGGTGGACCATAGAGCAAGATACCCTTGACATGTTGCACACCCAGTTTTTCAACAAGTGCAGGTGGAAAAATACGCGAGGCAAATGCACGACGGAAAATTGCATTGAATTCATCATCTAAACCACCAATACCGAGGTCTTCAAACTGAAAGTCAGGTTTGATTAAGGCCTTGGCAGTCATACTAAAATTAATCATGTAGTTAGCTTCCATACTCCAAATCAATTATAATAAAAAACCTACGCCTTCTTTCGGGAAACCTTCAAGTTAACAAATGAACCTTCAAGCTTTGAGAATTCAATGTTGGTCTCGCGCATGAGAATACCACGGACAGCATTGGACTGTGTTTCACGACGGGCATCTACCTCGCCCTTCTTCAGCACATTTAAGTCCACCACGTCCAGATCAGTTACTGTTACTCTAAATTTAATACCACAATATTCAAATACAAAGAATTGTCCCTTGGTAAAAATTTGACTATTGAAGTTCTAAAGAGATGTAATGAGAAATGGGAAATATAACGTGCCATCTACTTCAACTTACAATAGAAAAGGCCTTTGCCAAATCTTCTTCCTTAAACTCGTCAGGGTATCTACTGCTTCTTTGGAAAAAGTCAATGTCTAACTTAAGAATACCAAGATAAATATCCATTCCCTCGGAATGAATGTCGTAAGGTTCAACTGTAACTTCTTGACCGACCGAAAAACTGGCCCAACGACGGTGGACACCATTAATACCGATTTGCCCTTTTTGCATTCCTCTGTCCAACCTAGTTTTTTATTTAGTAAATTTTTTTTATTACCACTTATTAATGTGTACCTGACAGAGAATACAAATTCACGAGCGACAGTAATATAATGGACTTTAGGGTCAATGGTACCAGGAGCAACATAAGCGAAGTTTGTTAAAGCTGCAGCATCTGTAGGACATTGTACGACTTGAAAAAGCCCATTCTTTTCTTCTTCATCACCATAATGACGTTGATCGTCATAACGTGCGTAATTTTCCATTTAGTTTCGAAAGAAGATGAAAGAAAACTACGTGGCCAGAGATATCACCACGATATTTTTAAAGGGCAAAACCCCGCCTAACAAAGCTGCATTTAAATTTTAGGAGCTTAACCACATTAAATTTGTACACTTTTCTCTTTGTTTATTCATCCCAAAAATGGACACAATTATGTGTCTTCAATGGAAATCCAATAAATTAGGATGCTCTTACTATCTAGGCAGCAGCTTAGAATTATTTCTTATGGATGATGTTAAAGAATCAAAAGACCTTGAATACACAGCAATGCGTAAGGAACAAATAAATGATTTCGAAATGACCACATAATTAATGATATTTATAGTGATTACGCAAGTAATGCCAAAACTTCTTATTTTATCAGATGCCAATGAAGATATACTTCTGGAAAAGATCACCCAGGAACATGGTACCTTCCAAATTCGCATCAGCCGAAAGGATATAATATATACATTTTTTTTATAGGGACTTCGATTGAGATCAAAAAGGTGTTACAAAAAGACTTTTCGTTTGAGAAGGGAAGATACATGCTGTTAAACTGGTATATCAATCATTTTCAAACATTGCAAGAACAGAATTCTTTTACTTTACAAGATGCTGCCGAGGAAAGTTTATCGAATCAAAACATTTTTCTTATTGATCCAGAAGAAGGGAACAAAACACAAGCCTACTTGCAATTAGAAGGGTTGATTCATTTGGATAATAGTTATTTGACAGTATGTTTCAAGCAAGAGTCATATTTATCAACTAACTTGAGAAAAGGTTGGATGTGCAGGTGTACTTCTAAAACATTTACAGAGAATGGAACAAGAGGGGCTAGACATAAGCCAAAATGAGGACGATTTGTTAGTACAGCCTGCCACTATACGCACTTTTTCTAGGTACGGTGACTCTACTTTTATTTTAGGTATATACTTAATTTATTGTTAGTGAGAAATGCATGTATGTAAATTCAGACACAATAAGGTAATTATTTGTTTGTAATATGATTGCAAAAAATGCTCACTAATGAAATAGATCACTTTGTATATTTGACTTCGAAACACACCCGAATATGCACCAGAAGCAAGGAAAAGAAAGCCTATCATTATTTGGTACTGTAAAATGTCAGTAACATTACTTATTTTAATTGTTGACGCAACTTAAGGTCTTCTTAATAAAACAACAAGTGTATTGGGAATGCAATTGTTGTCAGATTGGGTGTCAAGGCCGACACAAGATAAAGAAATTTTAGATTATCGTCATGAATCCATACGTTTCTTTTTACAGCCGAATATGCGAGAATTTACGAAAGAACTTTCAGATAATCTTAAGCATGTCAAGAACATTTACAGATTATTATCCAAGGTGAAAGAAAGTAAGACAAACTCAAATGATTGGCAACATATTCTTAAGGTCAGTTAAAAATTGTCTACTAATATTATCTAATCTAATATCGTGTTCTATTTTAAGTTTGCATACTATACAATTCGTACATTTGGGTTGATAAACCAGCTGCATCATCATGGCTCGAATAATGTCTCTTTTATAAAAAAGGCAATGCATTTTCAACCAGCGACTGAAGTTATGAATGAAGTAGGATCCGATATAAACAGTATAGTACGTCAAACTAAATTAAAGTAAGTTTCGATGCTGATACAGATGTATTCAGATTGATTTCGAAACGAGCAAGCAAGAAGGCCGTATCATTGTCAAAGAAAACGTGGATAATGTGAGTTCAGTTTGGAGTTTAAATATTGAAGTGTATACAAAGTTAAACATGTTATAATTAGGAGTTGGATATACTACGTAAAAAGTATAACGCTCTAGATGATTACTTGGTATGTTCAAATAATACAGTATACCATACTTTTTGTTTAAATTTGTTTAAAGCTTCAAGTCTCCCAGAGTATTAGCTCTACTTTACCCATAGGGTTAGGGTCTACTTTGAATGTAGTTTATTTTCCCCAATTGGGGTATCTAGTGACATTACCTCAATATCATAACCAAAACATTTCCGATGAAAATAACAGTACTAGTAGCTATGTTAGCGAATACTATGCAAGATATTTGACAGGATTTGACCTACAGGTAATAGTAATAAAAAAAATGACAATATGTCCACTCAAAAGTTATTATATAGTTCACTACTTCAGAGAACTTATATTATAAAAACGAAAAAACCAAAGGTACGTTTGCACAGTTGACAGAAAACAAAAAAGCAATAACAAACAAACAATGAACAGAACTGGATGAAACGATCGGAGACATTCACGCTCTAATCGCAGACAAAGAAATTGAAATCATTCAAGATTTATCTGAAAGAGTATTAAAATGTACCAAACAGTTTTCTGAAGTGGCTGACATACTCTCTGAACTCGATTGGTAAAACAAGAAAAAAAAATGCATGCATTACCGAACCGATACTGAACTCTGTTAGTTTAATCTCATTTGCATTGGTTGCGTTAAGATTCAATTATGTCCAACCTGTCATGACAACAGATAATTCCTTAATGATTACCCAAGGAAGGTAAAAAGAGTTGCAATAAATTGATATATTATTTACTGATAAATGTGTAGACACCCATTGCAAGAATTATGTGTCGACATATTTATTCCCAATGATACATATTTACAAGGAGGAAAAGGGTTCAACAATAGAAGTTCCGATGATTGTTTATCAACTTTATACCGAAATGATATCATTTCAAATAAGAAGGCAGTAAATTCAGACGACAACCAAACAGTTGATACGACGGAGGAAAATACAACTACAAAAAACCCGTTATCTGTCACATCTAGAGAGCAAGGTTCAAAACATACATCTGAGCCTTCATACAAGATTGAAGAGGAACATCCTAATAGTGTTCAGGTGGTTACAGGAGCCAATTTTTCAGGAAAAAGTGTTTACTTAAAACAGATTGCTCTTATAGTCTATATGGCTCATGTTGGAAGGTAGTTTTTCATTTGAACAATAGCTCTCAGATTAATATTTTTTTTAGTTACGTACCAGCTGAAAAAGCAATTATTGGAATAACGGATAAACTATTTACAAGAATACAAACTTCGGAAACAGTATCTAAGGTAAATTTTTAGTTTTGGAAAGTCTGAACTGTACTCATTATTGCTAGCCTCAAAGCGCATTTGCTTTTGATTTGCAACAGTTGCATCGTGCGTTAAATAATTCAACAAATCGTAGCTTGGTTATTATTGATGAATTTGGGAAGGTAAAAACAGAAGGGTACTCCTACTTAAACTCCTATAGGACTCCTCTGACACGCGCTTAGGGAACCGATTGCTCGGATGGTGCAGCACTATTCTGTTCAGTAATTGGGTATCTCTTGTCTAAATGTTCCAGATGTCCAAAAATTGTGGCTAGTACTCATTTTCATGGTAAAAAATAAAACAAGTTGTCAGATATTTACCATAATGAGTGTCATAATAAGTGAACAATAGATTTGATAATCCAAGATATATTATCGGCACAAGATGGAATTACATTAACGCAAACAGAAATTATGAGCCGCCATAATAAACAGGGAGGAGAAGAAGGAGATGAAGTTGTATTTTTATACCGCATCGTACCTGGAAAAGGGCCAAGTACTTCCTACGGTATATGGTGTGCTGGTATTGCAGGGTTACCATCTTCTACAATTGAAAGAGGTAAGTACGTGTGTGCCTGCGACATCATTTCTATTTTTTAACTTTTTTTTTTTTTTTTTTTTTTAAAAAAAAAAGCTGTTGAATTATCAGAAAACTATATCCAGGGAACTCCCATTAAGAAGGTTTATTATTTACAAGATGAAGAGAATTACAAAATGCTGGAGCTTATTAAAAATGAATTTCTTGAACGTGATATTGAACAAGTCAATCCATATGACTTAATATCATCTATTTGCTCATTATTCAAAAAAACTTAACAGTAGTGTACTACATGCACGAATTTATGTTACAGCCGGTTAAAGAAACGGATACCAAATGCAACGGCGTGTATTAAAAAATCAACTTGCTTTTTATTTTTTTCAACAGACTAAAGAGCTTATTCAACGCTTACTTTTTTTCAAATATAAATAAATAACAACAAAAACACATGCTTGTTGTGGTGACACCAGCAAGTAAAAATCAAGTAAATTCCGCTGATGTAGTTAGTCTCCTAATGTGGCATACCTATTATTAGGAGAAGGAGGATAAGCATATGATGATGAGAAAAACAGTCTTTATAAATACTATTTTAACTCTACTTTATGTGATCAAACATATACATGTGTTTCTTTAATGCTGATAATGATGTTACGAAAAAGCACGTAGTTAAAAACGGGTGGCAAAAATAAAAAATAAAAAATTACGAAATTCCAAAATAAGCAAGGAAGTCCCCTTAGCAGCAAAAGGACAGTATTATTCATAATTTTTATTCCTTGGCTATTTTTGAACTTGGCACTATATTTATCTTTTGTTATATTTTACTTTTTCTTCTTGTTTCTCTTTACTCTCTTCTTTCTTTCGTATATATACATATATAGAACTAATGTCGAACCAGCCACCGTCAGCTCAAAATAATATAGTCGGTGTTCATTACAAAGTTGGGAAAAAAATTGGAGAAGGGAGTTTCGGTATAATTTACGAAGGTAATACGAAAAGTCAATATCCCTTAAAAGAGACTAAAAAGTCTTTCCATAGGTACCAACTTATTAAACAACCAGCAGGTTGCCATAAAGTTTGAACCAAGAAAGAGTGATGCACCTCAATTGCGTGATGAATATAGAACTTATAAAATCATGGCAGGATCTGGTAACTGCATAAAAGGAAATAACAAAGAATCCCCGCCCTAATTATGTCATGTTTAGCTGGAGTACCTAATGCGTATTACTTTGGACAAGAAGGCTTACACAACATTTTAGTAATTGATCTGCTAGGTCCTAGTCTGGAGGATATGTTTGACGTTTGTGGGAGAAAGTTCTCGACCAAAACAGTAGCAATGCTAGCTATCAATATGGTATTTGTTTACTTGTTTACGCTTAGTAAAACTAAATTTAGTAACATCAATTGGTTTTTAGTTAACTCGAGTACAAGCAATACACGAGAGAGACATGATCTATCGCGATATCAAACCCGATAACTTTTTGATTGGTAAACCTGGAACATCCTCCGAAAATGATGTGTATGTTGTGGATTTTGGCATGGCAAAAGCATACCGTGACAAGGTAACAAAAACCCATATCCCTTACAAAGAAAGAAAAAGCCTCTCTGGTACCGCACGATACATGAGTATCAATACGCATCTTGGAAGAGGTACATAGAATAAACATATATTACATCATCATAAATAATAAACCTGTTTTTCTAGAACAATCACGTCGCGATGATTTAGAAGCATTAGGGCACGTTTTCATGTACTTTCTTCGGGGATCTCTACCGTGGCAAGGAATGAAAGCTGCAACAAACAAACAGAAGTACGAAAAAATAGGAGAAAAAAAACAGACGACTGGCGTAAGAACGCTATGTGAAGGATTCCCTAGTAAAGTACTATGTCCTGTACAAACATATAAATGAAAAGCTAACATTTTATGCAGATGAATTTGTACAATACATGCAATATTCTCGCAAACTCGGATTCGACGAGACACCGAATTACAATTGGCTACGTGGATTATTTTTAAAGGTGATCAGCGATCTAGACGAAGTAGATGATGGTGTATATGATTGGGAACTCCTGAACGAAGGCAATGGATGGCAAAGCATCGCGAAAGAAGTATGTCAACCACGTAGTAGAAAACTTTTGGGTCCTCCTCCACTACCGCCTCAACAGGTACAAAACGAGCCTATAATGGCTCACCAAACTCTTCAAGAACCTACCAAACATCATAATCGCTCTTCTAACAATATTAACAGTAGTACATCTAGAAGTAGATGGTCCAAAATTAAGTCACTGTTGACATGTGGTATTTTCTAAAGTCACATGTCTCAATAACTATCTCTCATTACATTCCCCACACTCATCATAAAAAAAAAACAGAAAAACAAAAAAAACATTATATCAGTACATCCTAACATTAATATTTACAAAAATATAAGATCATTAATCAGTCACCTTTTTATTTTATTTTTCACTTTATCTTTACTCGAGTTGAATTTGATCCATAATCTCCTTTATGGTATATGGGTATTTCGTATGACCTTCCAACTCTACTTCCATATTTTCAATTCTTTTGACATTTTTGACAGGTTCTAGACCTGCAACACTTGTCTCTAAAGAAAGTAAACGGTAAACATATGCCAACACCCAATCGTTTGGTGTGTAACAATTAACGAATCGACCAGAAACTACGCTCGCAGCTTTATGCCATTCCGAAGTATCCTCGGTAGAGATAGGAGCTCCCATAAATACCACATTGTACACAAGTCCATGTAATCCTCTTCTATCCAACTCTTTTAAGCAATGCCAAATAACAAGACATCCGCAGCTGTATGCAACCTTTTTCAAATTCTTTAGATTACATTGAAAGTCGAAAAATTATATATTACTTTACCAGATTACATGGTCTGTTTCCTTGAACTCTCTCTTCTAATACATCAGCCAATACTAAAATAGATTGAGAAAAGTTAAATACGGATAAAATAGACGTTAATTTACAACTTTACCAACACCTGCTTTCTTTGATCGATCAACCGCCAGATGCCAAGGGTTATCAATGACATCAGCAAACTTTAAAAGGGTTGCAGGTAAAACGACAGCAGCTGTTATAATACATCAATACCAGTAATAACAAAAAATATGTACTCGTAATATTATATACCAAAAAATGCACTGAGTACAGTTGCCTTTGCTACTTCCATGCCTGCATAGTTCACTGCAGAATCTCTGACAAATTTTCTGAAAGAATACCCAAGTTCTAAAAGAGTGTCGGTTTCATATTCCAAGCAAAATATATCATTGTGGTTTCTGTTTCTTTCAAATGCATGCTCCCAAGGTGTCTATCATTTGTTTTAGTGGGTGGAGTAGTAATTTATAGCTGTGGTATTTACCCTAGTCTCTTGCTTTGACTCCAAAAGAAAGCCCGAAATACAGATAGTGCAATGAAGTGCAGGTACGGGAGGTAAATCTGGATCATTTAAAATCTGTTTAAATTCAAACTCTTCAATGCCTCTCATACGTCTGTGCATTTTCCAGCCTGCTAAACCACCACCGGTTAGACCAAATAGACTGGTGACTAATGCAACACCACCAGCCGTGGCAAAAAAAGTAGCTCCCGTAACGCCAACTAATAAGGGAGCCAATAGTGGTGCCGCTAGACCACCTGTCAAAGCTACAATAAAGGATGTAAATATGACGTACATTCTATAAAAGGGTCAAGATCCGTACCGATAAGTGCGCCACCGCCAATAATACCAGCGCCTGTAGCGAGCCATTTAAAGGTGCTTTTCTTCTTGTTGGTATCAGTGATAGCTTTCCTCGCCGATATATCCATATTCTGTTGCATAGTAGACTCGTCCTCAACTTCTTTTGTCTCCAAAAGAGCATAATACATTTGCTGAGAAATACTTTTTTCGACAGAAGCCAAGTCACCACGAGACAGGTCCATAAGTTTCTCTAAATGAACCAGGAATCTTCTTGATCTTGCATCATACAACATGACCTTTCCTTTTTTTTCATTGTTTATTTGAAGAGCAAGAGCTAAAATATCTATAAGTACTTCAATACGGATATCTCGACTCTCCGTTGACAAGATTTCAACAGCTTGTTGAGAGTGAAGCACCCGTGATTCAAGCTCTTGTTGCGACACGCTTAAATAGGTGATCACGTCTTCCCACCATTGGCAAGACCAACTTTCTCCGAGAATAGGCGCGCTTTGTGTTAATGCCTGTGCTGACACTCTGGCAACTGCTAGTTTCTGCTCATGCGACCATTCTGGCATGGAAAGCTTAATTAGAGGTTCATCGAGGGACATTATTCTTTGTTGTTGTTGTTGTGAGTAAGGAAGAAGGAGGGTAAGAAAGCAAAGCTAAATTTTAGCGCCTTTATAAAATGCAGCATTATTCCTCAAAAATGGAAATCTATTGGCTGTATCCAATTCAGTTACCTGACCTAGTAATTGAAAATTGTGTCAGTGAACTATCTAATATGTTTCTGTCAATGACACATTAAAATACACTCATCTTTTTGTTCTTCATCTAAAAGTATGACTTCATATAAAATCTGTCATCGTTAAATAAATACTTAAAAATAACAGAGCTTATTGAACCAATTCAGAGAAGTTTCGCATGGTTGGGTTAAGCTTTATTGTAGTAACTATTTGAACCTTTCGATCAGCTTCGAAAGCTCGAGTAAAAATGAAATCCTTTACGAGTCACTTTTCTTTATATTTGTGTCAGAGCTTCCGTCAAGATCAAAGGTACAAAAGGTAAAAAAAATCCAGCCATATTGTAATTGATCATACAAACAATGGTAGCTGTTTTCAAAATAAGAAGATTTGAACTACCATTTCTCGGCGTTGTCTACACTCATTGGAAGATGTATCAAGAAAATGGCATGATAAAAATAATGATAAGACACCTGTCTTTTCGTGAGTCTAGACTTGTACGAAACTCTCTTTATTTTTATTTTTTAAAAAATAATCCAATAACAGTTCATATGTAGGACACTGTGTAAACTTATTTCGGATGTAAGATATTGTGTCATAAGTTACTCTTAGAACTTTTAAACACAAGCATGTGAGATTTAAAGGCTGTCAAAAAGACTAAGCTGTATAGCAGTCTTACGATGTGTATAAAACATTCAATACTTCATATATACTTATAGCACTATAATATCATGTTAAATATGTATAGATAATAAGATCTATTTCGGTTTTATTGAATATTTTCTGCATCTTAAACTTTAATAGTGACGTAAAGAATCTCTCGTACGTCCCTTACTTTCGGCAATCTGATAAGTAGTGAGCAATCGACATGTTTCTATTACAATCCATCGCCAAAAAACTCGAAATATAAATATCTTATAAATCATTATTTATTTTGATATTATCTGGATCGTCGCTCTGAAACTAGTTTCTGTGTAAAATTGATCATACATATACAGGCAATGATGACATTGTATCGAAATTGCAACGTTGATTACCGAGGACACATTGTGTATTATTACCTAAAAGACTAAAAAATAACTTCACAAATAAAAAATCCATCTAATTTATAGTAATGTAGTAAAAAAGTTACTTTCCTATGAATAATATATACTACACTTTGTGAAAATATATAAAAATTTAAGGTATTCTATGATTTAGAACTAAAGACGAGCGAGATCCTAGAAAAAGTAAGTCATAAGCTTACATTTTTGTTATTTCATCTGGTTCTATTTATAACGCTATCATATGGAAGAATTTCCCCAGTAGTATACTGTTGTATATGACACTATCTGTTTTTGACATAAGGTCTATTTTTGTTTGCATTAATTTGGTTAACTGCCGAAATGTAGAGCATGACATGGCCGATTTACTTTTTTTTAAAAAAAATAGAATTCGAAAAAGATCAACCGAATGGCGTTTACAACAATGGAGTATAAAACACAAATGAGTAAATAAAGTATAAAGGCCATATATAAGAATGTTTCTATATAGTGTGATCGTTATTATTAGGTTTATTCAGAAGTGCAACAAATGTATTTTACACTTGATTAATAGTATTGGATAGCCGTTTACTAATGTTCAGTAAATTAAAATGACCCAGGTGTTAACGGGTCTTTATGGATAGCTTACATAAATTTTGAAATTTTTACAAGCTAAATACCGGTATCTTGAGTATCAATTCATAAGAAGGCTGATCTCAAAAATGGGAATGAAACGCGGTTATAATAAATAATTATGGGCGATAGTTTGAGCAAAAAAAAGATAGTAACTAAGAGGGTCTAGTTTTTATTAGATGCATGATGAAGTCTAGGCCAAATATCACGATGTGAATGTTATTGTGAGACCACGGACAGACTCACGGTGATTATTTTTCGCTAGAAAAAGTAAGCTTACATATATCTTTTAAACATGTAGCTAGTACCATTCGATAGACTTTTAACGTTTTGTAAAGATATACGTATTCCTCATGTTAGAATTACCTATGTATACATTAATAAAAGTAAGAATTTATTCAATGAGCGCAGTTTCTTAAAAATAAGGAGGAAAAGGGTCGCATATTAACGTAGCCATAAAGACATCCGTGGCTATTTATGACGATGCACTTTATTATATAAATATACATTAATAAAAAAAAAAAAAAAAAAAAAGGAAATTACAGTATATAACAGATCACTTTCGTATTTTTTTCTAATTTTTATTTTTTATTTTTACTACCGGATATCACTAACAGATTTAAATTTAATCTCGAATTATAATACCCATAATTTATGTCTCATTCCAATCGTACCTCGTTTATGACAGCTGATACAGGATCCACCAGAAACTCAATGGGTAGTACAATTGAACAAGATATACAATATCCTCATTATAACCGGCACCACCACACCTCGCACCACGTAGAACTGAGCAAGCATGATGGAGAATTGCCACGACATAAAAGTGTTCTTCGAAAGAAGACGAATACAGAATTACAGCACATACATAAGCCTGAAAATAATAGAGATTATGATAACTCACATAGAGCATCGTTTTCAACAGAAAGCTTAGAATCCAGCCATACTGTTATCAATGAGTCATCGCAGTCTAGTTATAACTTGAAAGAAAAACCAAATATTTTGCTCAATGCCGAGCTTAGTCCGAGGAATACTAATTCGGAGACTATGACTCCCGAATTAAAGACATATCCCATCGCATGGGTGCTATTGTTCTCGATTGTTGTTCTGAGAGCTGCCACTGCTATATTTGGTAACACTTTTAGTCCCATTCCTTCTGTCACAGCCGAGTTTATGGGAATTTCGCTATCTAGCATAAACTGGATTTACAATGTTATGTCCATCTGTTACATTGTGGCTAGTTTTTTTACCAGTTGGTTATACTTGGTTATAGGAGTCAAATGGTCTGTAAGTACTTAATTCTTTGCGAAAATCAAAATTTTATCTATAAAATTTCTTTATTATCACTACAATTAATGACACACTTTTATCCTTTAGCTCGTCTTATCTGGTGTTATACTCTCCATCGGTTGCTGGGTTAGATGGGTTGCAGTAAAAATCAGCCCGCCTTCATTCCCTATCCTCATGATTGGACAAACTATCGCATCATTCAGCTCACCGATTAGTCTAAATATCATGACAATGGTAAGTTCAGAAGAGAGGGGGAAGGGGATGGAGAAGGATTTAATTTATGGTATTTTAGCACAGGTGCTAATTAATTTTTTTTTTCAGTTTTCCACATTATGGTTTACGGAAAATCGAAGAGCAACGGCTGGCATGTTTATCGGTACGCAATTAGCATTATTGTCATAATATGGAACGAAACTAAAGAACTCTTTTTTTACCAGTGTCTAACTACGGTGCTATTATTGCCATGTTCCTCATGCCGTCTATTGCAACAGGTTCCGATAAGATTGAGCTAACAGTAAGACCCTTATTATATAGCATCCTTGCATAAATTCTTACATTTTAAACAATTTTACATGATAGGTTATCGTAGTTGCATGTATAGCTACAGCCGCCACCATCCCATTTTTGTTTTTTCCTACCAAACCAGCAACACCGGCTTCTTATAGTGTAAATAATGCAGCTGATAAGAATTTATCCCTACCTGAAATGACTTTACTCCAAGGAACTGTCATTTTGCTAAAAAATCCGCATTTTTTAACACTTTGTGTCGTCCATGGTTTGAATGTTGGATTATCGATTGCATGGAACGGTCTTATGAATCAGGCCATTTCTCCTTATGGTTATACGGATAATCAAGTCGGCAATATCGCTGCTATTGGTGTCGTAGGAGGAACTCTTGGTTGTCGTATGTATCCGTTCTTTTCTTTGAACTTTTTTTCTGGTTTTTTGAAGCTGACACTTTTATATTTATCACAGTTATATCTGGGCCTGTCATTGATAAGACAAAGCAGCATACAATTTTGTTAAAGATTATGACGCCATTAATGTTTAGTACATACGTAGCTTTTATCTTTGTCGGTATGTGTACTAAAAAACGGATCGGATGATCACATCATGCATAATTATTTCTTTACTAATCAGTTGATTTCCAAAATTAGTTAAAAAGGATTCTTTTGCTGCAATACTTTATACCAATGCCCTCAGTCAATTCTTTCTTAGTTTTATGGTGCCTGTATGTGTCGAATTAGGCGTTGAAAGTAAGTCTAATTTTTTTTTGAAACAGAAATATTATATTAATAGCTTATCGAATTTTAATTATAGTTTCATATCCTGTCCCTGAATCGTTGTCTACTTCTATTTTATGGCAAATTGCGCAGGTCATTGGTTTTGCACTAGTTATCGTTATGGATTTGTTCCGAGATACAAACGGAGTCCCAAAGAATAACTTGTACAAGGCCTTAATCTTCCAAGCAGTAGTTGCTGGAGTTTGTTTACTCTTTGCTGTTGTCTTTAATGGTCCTATGACTCGATCCATTGCTTTAAAAGAACAAGAGGAGATCAGAAAAACAAAGTTATTAGGATTGAACAATACCAATACACGGGGTTTCTTTGAGTCCAACGAAACGCTTCAAGGTTTAGACGCAGATCATTTGAATTACCCGCATAAAGTTGGCGAAGTTGCTTAAAAAATAATATACCAGAGCAGTAGTTAAAATGATGCGTTCCGAAAAAATAACCCCTGCTTTAATTGACTAATTTAACATAATTATAACTCTGTTTTTTTCACGTTTTATATATAATAAAGGCGCGCATTTAGAATGCTTATTTTAATCAAATCATACTAGCTATTTGTCAAGCGAGACACGCGTAACTAAGTGAAAACAAGTGACTTGGATTCACGAAGAGCTTTTTGAGGCTTAATATCGTACTTGAGAGTAACAGGTGCTCAATCTTGGTAAGTTAAAGATCGTTTGGTTTGAAGGAAAGGTCATTGAACGATTACTTTATAATTTGCAAGCGGGGAAGGAGTACTTGATAAATGGGCTATCTTGTTTATTAAGTCACCACTGCCGTTACTCTTATCATGAGTTTCTTAAACGTTGAGGAAGACGTTCCATTGAATTAAATTCTTCCTGAAAAGACAAGATGACCGCTCATGGGGGATATTCTTTCTTGCCTTGATTAAAGGGATCTGCATTATAATTGTAAGCACTCACTTGAGAGGTAATAAGAGTGTGTTTATGTACGAATTCGCTACTGTCGTTACGCGAGATAAATCAATTTCAAGCAGTAACACAATTGCTCTTTTGATGATGTCTACGCTATGGACACTAATTCGCCAAGGATTTTGGTTGGGATTTGTAAGCCAGCATTGTGTCACACTGTAAATTGTAGCTCAAACTGCTCATTTTTATGAAATAGCTCCAAATTGCGCAAACAGGAAATACTATAAATTCCCGACAACCCCAAAAAGATTCTTCCCCCTTTTTCTATTGTTTATCTTTCTAAATAAATAAAATAAAAAATGGCTGTAAGTTGTAATATGGACAACAAGATGAGAGCAATGGCTTAAACTTTTTTACTAGCAATATACCTTCTCCGTCGCAATGTCTTGTTCAGGCTGTTCTAATGCCGTCAACAAGGCCTTAACTAGACTCGGTGGTAAGCTATTTAATTTTTACACGACAAGGATGAAAATATAAATGTTTTTTTTATTAAATGATAAAATGATAGGTGTTGATAAGATTGACATCAGCTTAGAAAAACAAGAGGTTGTTGTCGAGACCGATCGTCCCCGTGAAGAGGTTTTGGCCGCAATTAAGAAGACCGGAAAAACTGTTAACAATGAATAAATTTTTTTTTGGTTGGGATATTTTTCGTTTTATCTTTACGAACCATTCCAAAAGATTGTAATTTCTCCGTCACCAGGAGCGGATACGACACTATCCGTTACCTGTCTTCTTTCGGGTAGTGGTTCTACTTTATTTCGATCATCAAAAGGATTTTCTTCAATGGTTGCCTTTGGCACAACTTCATATTTTTCAGGTTTAATTGATTTAAGTGAACCACTACGTGTTATACTATTTTGTGGTCTGATGGTATTTACACGCATAATTTGGGGTTTGGCTCTTGTGATTTGTGTTGCCTGGACAACGGTTGCTGTTTGCTGATGACTCATCGTGGATTCCATCGATCCACGTCGACTACAAGTATGTGTCGTCGTTGTCATGATACTATGAGCATTGGATATAGGTCGATCACTAAATGGATCATTCTCTTGATGATTAGCAAATGTTGAGAAGCTACCATATCGAGCTTCAGGCGTTTCAGCTTCCGGTATGGTTGCAGTTGATTCAGGTCTAGAAGGTGGTATAAACGTGACAGGTATAACACCAGACATCACTTGTCGAGTGCTATTATTTCTCTCCAACATTTCTTCATCCATAGGTGAAGTTCTTTCAAGTCGATGAAGTTTATCAGGTGATCTAAATGCGAGTGGCAAACTGCTCTTGTTCTTCCTTCTGTGACGAATAACTAAATAACCCAGTCCACATAAAAGCAATCCACCACCAAATATACCGCCCACGATACCACCAATCAATGCTCCACTTCCAGAGGATGTTTTGGCTACTGCTGTACTAGCAGGAGGTAGTCCCAATGCTGCTCTAGAAATACATTTTGAACCAGGGCATACGCCACATGTTATCATTGTTCCCATCGTACAAACATCGTCGATTGAACAGGCAGGTGAGCAGCTTGCTGAACAATTTAAAGGTGCACAGTCTATTAATATTCGATGTAGAATTGTTAGCAACTAAAATAATATTTGCTGTTTCATAAAATTTAAATTACTTTGTGCATAGGTCGTTGTAAATAGTACTCCTACTATCGAAAGGAATGACAGTTTGAATCTCATTAGAGAAATAATAAAAAAGAAAAGGAATGTGTATAAAGGGAAAAGGAAAAAGGAAAATTAAGAATAATATTGTATTTTATAAATAAGACAGTTACACATGTTTAACAAGTAACACAAGTCCGAAGAGCGATATACATGGTTAATTAACAGGAGAACTTAAATATCTGTATATACATATATAAAAAAACGGGGGTAGTTTTATTATTGCTCGTTGAAGCAGTTTCATTGTTTTTGATTGTCCACATTGGATTTCAAAAATGATTCCCATTCATTCCAGGTGGCTCCGCTGGGCACATCCCATAAAGGGATTTCTGAGCTCAAACTAGCTAAATCAAATTGTGTCGCTTCTTGTGGCAGTATATTACAATCATAAAATGGCCCGTTCACTGCTGGAGTGCTTCCATTATAATTCGTACCCGGAGAGAGGTAGTCGTATACTTGTTGTGACTGATGTTGTTGATTAGAGGATGATTGTTGCAATAGTGATCGTTGTTGCGATTGCTGATGAGATTGTTGATGTTGTAGATGAGATTGTTGTTGCTGATGAGATTGTTGTTGTTGCTGAAGAGGCTGCTGTTGTTGCTGTAACTGGTTTAGTTGCTGTTTATGCTGAAGAAATTGTTGTTGAATCAATTGCTGTTGCTGACAAAAGTGTTGATGTTGTTCTTGTTGTGCAAGGCGCTTTTTTTCCTGTAGATGATTATCAGGCAATCCTGAATTTTGATAGGATGATGACTGCGTTGCACTTTGGTCGTTCTGTCCATCAACCGTGTCTAATTCCATATTAGGACTTGTAACATCTTTTCCTAACCCAAACAATAACGACGACTTAAACATATCTGCAGAGCATTCACTTGGCGAGTTAAAACTTATAACAAAAGGATCAGGCTGTTTTTTAGATTGTTTTATAGCGGACACATCGCTAGAATTACGTCTTGAATATTTCGAAATTGGCCTACCACCATAACTGTACTTCGATGTATTGCTATAATCAGAATTATCACTTCTTTGATTTGTTCGTTTCCTACTACACACAGTAATTGTTGAAGGTGAGTTCATATTGACCTCAAAATTGGAAACGACGTGCAGCAGAACATGGACAACTCGCGTCTTTCGAAGGTACGGATCCTCATCGTATACGCGAGAACATCGTATTAAGTTGCGTTTGCCTTGCTCTCTCAAGAAAGCATTTTCTCCCTTGGCATTGTGTAGAAAGATAATAGCAGCCTGAAATACAGCACTGACCAATTGAATTGAGTTTCTGTCATAATTTTTTTCCAGGATGAAGAACTTACTAGACAGCCATGTTCCAGGGTAAAGAAACAAATGCGTGGTATTCCACAGCTTCCACAATATCTATGAGATTCACGGCACATGCTGTACATATACTTAATGCCTTGACAGCCAAACCCATATTCTCAGGCTGATCCTTGTTATGCTTGATAAAAGATCGATATAATAATATCCAAACACAGTCGCAAGCCATGTTCACTACACATGCCTGCGCATAAAATATATCGGTACGTGACACAGTAAGATCTAGTCTTAATTCTTTCGGCAGTGATAATTTCCAGTTAGTTAAATTAGACTCCAGAATTTTTAGTAAATCTTGATTGTTTTCGCGATTGTGTTTTCCACGTGTCGAATGAAAGCCCACTAAAACTTGACCGGCAATTTGGGACAATGTGATGAGATAAATAAATCCAGAATACACTGGTATTTTTTGCTTTAAAGAGGATTCGGCCTCTAGAATCAAGATGGGTGTGATATCTCTATGTTTAGACGGAGAATTGAGTTCGTAAGGTGTAGGTAGCTCGACATCGAATTCATGGTCAATAATAGACACGGGCCGACCTAATTCCGCTGCAACCCATCGGTCCATCAAATACGCTGCGTACCAAAGTCGTTTTCGTAGCTCAATTTCATAATCTGGAATTTTCCATTTAGAGCAATCACGATGAAGACCTAGGTCTTGTGCCATACGGATGGCCATGCCTGTGATTAGCCAATGCGCCGTATCTTCTTCGTCCGTATCGTGACTAACAAACATACTAAGGATCATTAAAGATTGGACTGTACTGATCATGGGCCGCTTGTATACAATATTTAGTATTTGATGAGCTTTTTCTTTTAAATAGCTGCCCATTTCTTCCAATTGTTCAGGGGTCAAATCAAAGCTTTGGATGTTCAAGATTTCGGGCGAGAAGATGGTCGTGCCGACACATGTAATTGCGAATAACAGGTATTTATCCGGAGGTGTTGGGTTATGAAAATAGTACTGTTCAAGAAACTGAGTCTTGTTAATAATCGGGCAATAGATATGGATTCTAGTAAAGTATCTAATAATAACAATAAAAAGGATGTAAACAATTTTGCCACAAAAGGATTTACGTATAAAACTAATTACAAATGAACGATATAGTCAGCTATTTCTTGAGTTATATAGGGGGTATCTTCAAATATTTCTATGCGATTGGATTGAAACTCTTCTTTTGATTCAGATGGCAATAAAACTTCCTTTGATTTCATAAAAACGTGCTCATCTTCCTCCTCATTCAGTTTCTGCACAAACCAAGAAGGCTCATCCGGTAAAGGGTGTTTCACATTGGCTCGAAGAAAACCATCCTCTAAGAATTGAACGCCTGAACTGGCACCAATATAGCGTGTACGCTGATAGTCTGATATAGTCAATTTGTCCATTTGTTGGTCTATATTTTCGTAGTCTTTTTCTGCAAGACTAGCCAGTAGAGCTTTGCATTTAATAATTGGTGCAACATCAATCTCATCCTCTTCATATCGCGGCGGCGAAGAAAAGGAGGAAGAAGAAGACGGATGGTTTCTAATAAAATCGTCGCCAGATTCTTCTTCTTCTCCATCTTCTCCTTCATGGTCCATGCCCTTGCCTTTTTCCATGTTCTTTATCAGTTTCTCCATCCGTAATAAGCGGTTTTCAAGCAATTCGATATAACCACTATAAGAAGAAAGGGATTATAAATATCATACGAATTGGTCAATGGGAAGCAAGATATGCTTACCCTGAAGAAGGGCCCCTTTTTTTCTGCTCGACCAAGAATTCACATGTCACATTGGCATGTGTACATTTTGTACACGGTTGCCTGACGTCTGCATCGCATTTGGTTTTCCTTTTACGACAATGGTCACAACTACGTTTAGCTCTGGTGCGTTTTTTTCTATATGGATCGTCTGTTTGTTGAGAGCATACTGTATTGGCTGCAGGTGCAATGGGTACCATGTTGTTCATTCGTTTCATAATAGTTTTAATAACAGAAAAAAGAAGGCTCTAAGCTAGAAAGCAGTTTTTTTTTTCTTATTTATTTGGGTTTTAAACTATAAAAAAAAAACGAAACAGGCGCCGAGACAGGCGTCGTACCACCCGAACTTTCAATACGAATATTACCAAAAGAAGGTTTTGAACTTTTTTTGCTCAAAATGTAAAAAAAAATGGAAAAAAAGTTGCCCCATAAGAGCAGAAGAAACGAATTCAACCTACCATTTAAGTGAATATATCGCTGATCTGCGATAAAAGATCTGAAAAGTTATAGCTGCTACGTTTCTGAACATTTCTAAAGTTTTGCTTGGTTGTCCGTAGGATCTTGCCCTTTTGCGTTGTTCTTGAGGTTTTGTGCTGTTCTTGAGGACTTTCATCACGAAGAAAACGAAAAATGGAAGACATGTTTAAACAAGTTGCATAGCACAATTACATAAGGGATTAACAATTCTACTTATGTTATTGGTCATAACTATACATTTTGATTTATACATCTGTTGTAGAAAAAAAAAGTTACATAAATAAATGAAATAAATATATTCTAAAAGACCTCGTCTAATAACACGATGATCTATTATTGATCAATGAGAGCGTAGAATATTCACCCTTTGAAACGTTCAACTGATTACCGATGCTACAGAGAATCATAGAACCTGAACAAACAAAACGTGTAATGTTGTTATACGTGTGTTTGGAAAAGCATGTGAAAGCCCCGAATAAGCACAACAGGTCCTAGGCTTATATTATTGTTATGGAAAACAATCTCTTTTGTTAATTTAATCGAAAGCCAAGCCTATAAGCCTTTGTTTGAGCCTGCATAGTATTTTTTCTTCTCTTGGGTGCATAGTCCCTAAAGAGATCGCATTGACGTTCTTCTTGAAATTTACGTCGACTCGCCATAATTAAGGCCGCTTGAGAGATACTAGTTATAAATGCGAAAAGATCGGAGGCACTCGTCTAATTGCTTTTTTCCTACTCCTGTCCATTTTTATTTGTCTGAGAATAGTTTTTTATGTGTCTGAATCTTAAAGAGTACTGTAATGCATATGCTAAAAAAGGGTGCGTGTGTGTATGGGGATGTAAAAATTAAAGTGCCAATTTGACAGAAGGCAAAACAAGTTTGCCTTTTTTACTTAAAAGCTGATCATGAATGACATTCATAGCAGTTACTGCCGAACGTTCATCGATGACACAAGAAATGTTAATTTCTGAAGAACCTTGGGAGATCATCTCAATATTAACACCAGCAGAGGCCAAAGTGCTAAACATCATACCAGCAATACCAACCATGTTTTTCATTTGCTTACCAACAAGGGAGAGAATAGCAAGATCCTTAATGACATCAACCTATACAAACAGGGTTTAGGCTTCATTGGTACAAAAATAACTTTTTTCTTTTAAAAACTTACTTGTCCGACAGAGCGTAAATCGGTGATGACACGATCTAAATCCTTATCGAGGTTATCTTCACCAAGCGCCATAGAAACATGCACCTCAGAGGTAGAAATAAGATCCACAATAACACCATAACGATCCAAGGTAGAAAAAATCTTTGCAAAGAAACCATGACTAACACTCTTACGATTTGAGTGTACGTTAAGAACAATGACATGGTCTTTGATAGTAACAGCAGTAGGATATTTACGAGATAAGTCCAAAAAGTAACCGTTTTCAGCCAAAACTTTAGGGGAATGAGGTGGTGTAGCAGTACCGTCTTTTTGCACACTCTCTGTAGGGAAAATGATGGTACCTTGTCCACGAGGATTTTCGACATTCTTGATGCGAATGGGGATATGAGAACGAATGACTTGTTCCATGGTAAATGGGTGAATTACTTCTGAACCATAATAGGTTAATTCAGAAGCTTCTTCGGGTGTAATGATGGGTAAAAGACGAGCAGATTTAACTTTACGAGGATCGGCAGTAAAGATACCATCTACCTCCTTCCAAATTTGAAGCTCTTCAGCGGATAATCCAACTGCAGTCAATGCAGCACAAAGATCAGTGTATCCACGACCCACTGTGGATAATAAACTACCAGGCACAATACCAAAGAAACCAGTGACAACAGGTACCTTGCTACCGCAGCTTTTCACAGCTTCTGCCATTTTCTTTGCAAGATAATCATAGAAGTCTTGATCAAGTTGGTCAAATTCACGATCAATGATATTTTCCAGAGACACAAATTGAGCATCGACATCCTGAAAAAAATTAATTTTAAATCTCCACCCCCATGTACATATTTTTCATTAAAAAAAACTTACTCTGTCTTGTAAAACGGCAGCCACAATTCTGCAAGATAACTTTTCGCCGACACCAATGATGATATCTTTGGATCGAGGTGAAATTTCATTGATAATTTGAGCTGCTTCTAAAAATGACCTTAACTTGGCACAATCAGATCTGATATCTTGTTCTAATTCTAAACGAATTTCGTCATTGTGAATCATTTCTACCGCCACTTCCAAATGATCTTCTAAAAGTGCTGATACGATTTCTAAATATTCTTTGGATCCAGGCTTCATTGCATCGTTGGCCGCACGAATTAATCGATTGGTTGTACCCGTTTGTTTATCCTTTCCACTACGTGCTGAACATACAACTACAAGCTGGTTTTGTTTGACGTATTCTCTAATATCGTAGAAATTTCCAGGCTTAATTTTAATTTTAAGAGAATAAATATGTATCTTGTACTTACTTGATAACTTCATTGGCAATGTTATCCAAAAATTTACCAATACTTGTTCCACCAAATTTTTGAACAATCCATGGAAGTCCAGGTGAGTTATTATATGTAAATGTACGAACCATTTAAAAGGTGCTAAAAAATATGTAGAAGAAAAGAAGAAACAAAGAAAAAAAAAAAATTGAATAAATCCCTCTTTTGGATTAATAGGAAAAAAAAAGTGAGTCAACTTGACATTAAATTGGCCAATGCAAAGATCCGCTTATCTTAATCTCAGCAATCTGTGATTTTTTTGTGACCGATCTTTTAAAGGGTTTTAATCACAATGGTGTGAGATCATATGTACCAGGAGACCACGTCTCTATGATTACTTGCCGTATTTTTAGCATTTCCTTGGAAACACAAAGTCCTTCATTAACTGGCATTTCCATCGACCTTAATTTCCTTTAAAAAATAATGTAATAAATCATATGCATGGTGAAATTAATTACATCACTATCTATTGGGGCATCTGTTTCTTCCTCATTTTTTTGTATGCGTGTAACCTTTGAAGTGAGCATGTGGCCATGTTTAAGTAACAAAAGCCAGTTCCAACGAGGGAACTACTGAGGTTATTTGCATAACATTGCAATTTAATACAAAGGAGAATGCAGGCAATGAAGAGTACACAAATATACTTTAGTGATATAGTTATATGAGATTGCTTTCAGACAGTAAATAACGTCAAGAAATGAAATTTAGCATCCTGTATTACTTTTTTAAATCTGTTCCTGTACCAATATTGCTGAGAGCGAATTTTAAAGAAAGGTCACATCAAAGCCAGAAAAAAAAAAAAAAAAAAAAAAAAAAAAAAACGACTACGCATAAATTGGAGGGGGCCTGCCATTAATTATATTTTCTTCCAAATGTTTCGATTAGCTAGATTAACACAACAATTTCAAGCACCCTTGCTGCGTAAAGCAACTTATAACCAAGCACGAATTTCAGCTCCTGTTTTCGCTTGGCGTCAAAATTTCTCTCAAACGCAGTTTAGCCTGTCAAGTGTTGAAAAGCCAGCTGGAGAGAAAGAAGCGGAGGAGGACGAGCTTGAAGTGATTGATCCCAAGGATTTCCCCGAGCTTTACCCCACCGAAGAAGAAGAAGGCGATGTGGAAGAACAAGTGGACACGGAATGGTTTGTAGATCCGGAATTCACGGACGAAAAATTATTATCAGAAACGGATTTTATACCCTTGTGGCAACGTCGTGCAGTGGGCGATCACTTGGAAGATCGCTTAGCACTTCAGCAAGTGTCCAAAGATTTGATGGAGTCTGGTAAATTGACAGCAGAGACATTGGTGGAGTTATTAGAGGAGAGTAAGATGGATAATGTTCAAATTTTGGATGTTCGAGAGAAGTGTGATTGGGCTGAATACATGATCGTAGCTTCCAGCGCTAAAGGAGATAAATACTTGAGTGGTGTAGCTGAGCATATTGGTGGTGTGGTCAAGAAAGCGATCAGCTCCAACCCAGATACCTTAAAACTTCAGCCTGCACCCCATATTGAAGGCAGAAATGACAAATCCGGTTGGCTCTTGATTGATTTGGGTCGCATCATTGTACATTTATTCACACCCGAAGTAAGAGAGCGTTATGATTTAGAAGGCTTATGGAAGTCTGTATCTACTGATCCTTCTGAGCCTATGGCTTATGAAGAAGAAGAAGAGAAGAAAAACACTGTATATTAATAATAAAAAAAGTGATGTCACACAACTATTTCGAACACAAAAACTAAAACAAAAAATAACACGAAAACTCCTCTGGCCCCCCTTTAATCATGTCTACCATTAGTGAATGGTCTATACTTGAAAAATTACTACTGACACAAGCCGTATATAAATATGGCGAAAACATGTGGTTCCAAGTGGCCCGTGTATTAAAGCAACATGGCTTGATTCAACCTCAACAACGTCCATCCGATTTCTTCAGTCAAAAGGTAAAACATGAAGGGCTTTATCTTTTTGTGCCTGTCATCAACTTTTTTACATCACAATAGAATTGTCAATTTCAATACTATTTACTTGTTGAACAACTCGAAGCCGAAAAGTAAGTTGCTCTTTCTTTATTTCTCTCTTGGTCGTCTCATCAATAAATAAATAAAAAGACAAGTGTACCGACATAACGACTTGAAAAACGATATGCCAGTAGTTGTTCGCATTGCACGCCAGTTATATCTACAAAGAATTGAAGAAGTAAAGGAAAGGTTGAACCAAGAGCAAACAGAATTTGGAAAGTTGGCTGAAGAAATCCAGGCTATCAAGTCTGGTAAATGGGATGATAGCTTGAAAGGTGATATACAACAAGAGCAACAACAACAGGAAATCTGTATTAAGCGTACTTCAAGTGAGGTACATTTGGAGACGAACCTTAAGCGATGTAGGTTGGAAGAGGAGAAGGACGCTTCCATTCATGAGGAACATGTTATTTCTACCGCAATTTCAACACCTACCGAGACTACTAGCATCGAACAGGATATGGCAATACCACCACCACTCGCAGTACTAACACCAGCGCCATCAGCATCAGAAGTACCAGAAACACCAGAAGCGCCAATAGTACCATCAGTGTTAGAATCACCAGAGACACTAGCAACTTTATCAGTGATTGGGCCTGGTGCAGCTGCGGAAATGATAAAACCTGTTGTAGAAACACCACCAGCACCACCACCAACATTAATTTCGAAAGAGATGGTTGCACAGGATCGGCTACAAGATGGAAAGAATGATAAATTACCAAGAATAATTATACCTGAACTATATAATGATCAATCTGGTAAAAATGCCCCCTTTATATAACTTCCCCCCAAATGTGTGTATGTGTATGTCTGTTTTTGGCTAACGTTTGATATAAACCAAAACCACAAAAAAAAAAAACCACAAAAAAAAAAAAAAAAAAAAAAAACTTAAAATACAATACAATACAAAAAAGCATCGCCTATATCCAAATTACACATGACAACGGATGATGAGTACTTTACCAGTAGCGAAACAGCTACACCTACCTCCGCCAGAAGGTTAAATGCCAATAACAGCGATCAAAGACAAAAGGCATGGCAAAAGAACATCAATTTGTTATGGCAGGAGATTGCAAATCACAAAAATGGAACCATGTTTATGAACCCTATTAAAAAGTCATATGCCCCACTTTATGACAAGGTCGTGAAGCAGCCATTGTATCTCAAAACCATCAAGAATCGTGTCCGGGATGGGGTAAAGGGGACAATTGTTCATCCCCATATATTACGTATATTGATCTTTTTTTTTTTTTTTTGAACATTTAGGTTGTAAAAACGACAGCCGAATTTGAGCGTGATATAGTCTTAATGTTGACTAATTCCCTCATGTATAACAAGGAAGGTACAGAAATGTATCTGATGGCTTTGGAAATGTTGGATGATGTACGAGAACAAATCAGATTATTCAAATCTGCAGATAGCTATTCCGTTTCTTTTTGGGAAAATGAGACCCAACAATAAAAGCTCTGCCCTTATTTTTTTTTTCTACCTTGCCCATGATTGGCTTACCAAATCTTTAATACTTTTTGACTTCTTTTTTTTTTTTTTTCTTCTTTCTTTTTTTACGACTTTCTTTTATTTGACGCGTTAACAACAATAGAGCCATGGAGCTACCTAATGTAGACCCACCACCCAAAAAAACGGTTCATACAATACCCAGAGGTACATTGACCTTTTTCTTTTCTCTTTTTTTAATAAAAAAAGCACAGCTGTATGCTAAATCTACATTGTTTTCGTAAATTTTTTTATTTTTTATTATTCTTCACAAAAAGATGAATCGACAAGGAAAAAGATTACCGACATTATAGATCATCAATTCGATTTAGAAATATACCTTAAACAAAGAGAGGTAGCCACCATTCGACAAGAAATCGCAAAAGCAGAAAGCATTCTCGAAGACTTGAAATCAGCTGTCGAAAACGGTAAACAAAACATGTTTATTTCTTGTTCAATAAAACTAACTGGGAAATTCCTATAGAATCGTTAGCAGCATCCATGCCAGAAGCAGTGCATTATACCCGACGATCGGCATTATACTACCATGGAGGCCCACAAGCTTTAATGAACCCAGCTCCTTCAACCGCCGTCAAAAAGAAAGTATATCGACTTTTAGAAAAGAATCAATTATTTGGTAGAAGATACGATGGTGTCTATGTGAGGTAAAAATTCCACTTTGTTGTATGGACCGCACGGAGGAAATTTCATAACACTTTCTTATTCTTTACAGACTAGCATGTCCCGTCTGTCATCGTGATGATTTTGCAAACCAACAGGGCTTCTTAAACCATTGTCGATTATCTCATAATTTAGAATTCGGCCCTTATGAACAGTGTATGTTACAATGTGGTACTCCCGTAGATGAATCTGAAGTGCCCTTAGATAATCCAGCTAGACTAAGACCTATTATGGGCATGAATCCTGCTATGCCGAGGTACAACTTTTCTCTAGCGGAAAAAAAAAGTGTTACTCATGATCTCTCTCTTCTACAATAGGGCTTTGCAAAAGAAATTAGAAAGACCATCTATTAAGGTATTTGAAGAAGATGTAGATATGGAATTAGAGAATGAAAAACGTCATTCAACTCCACCAGCAGCAACAAGTACAGCGGTGCCGATAACGTCATCTACAATACCAGTAGCGGAACAAGCAGCAATGGCAAAGCCCAACAATGCACCAGCAACGGAACCATCCCTGATGTCATCCAATATACCTACACCATTCACGAATGCTGTGCCGCAGACCGAGGACAAATCGATACATCCTACGGCCACATTACCTGTTATAGATAGACCTGATAAAGCATCGAAATTAGTCCCAGAGAGCGAAACTGGTGAGATCGTAGACAAGCCAAAGTCAGAGGAAGTTAAAAAAGAGGATACACCTAGTACACCTAAAGTGGAGTCTTTTGCTGCTGCAGTTACTCCATCAACAGCAGATGTTGGATCTCGATTTTATATTAAGAGACGTATCATTGTGGGTAATGTTAGTAAATACATGGCACCAGGTATGTTTAAAAACTATGTGAAAATGAAAAAAAAATAGCTAAAAAACATTAGAGCGCCGTGATCCCGCATTAAAACAGTTTACACATAAATGGATGATTTACGTTGTAGAGCCACCACAATCCAAACAAGATGTATCTGCGTTTATCACCTGCGTACGATTTTACCTCCATCCCAGCTATAAACCTAACGACATTGTAGACGTAACAGAAGCTCCTTTTAAACTTACACGTTTAGGATGGGGAGAATTTCCTATCCGTATCCAACTCTTTTTTGTAGACAAAAAACGCAACAAGACCGTCGACCTCATTCATCATTTAAAGTTGGATGATTCACATTCGGGCAAACAGTTACTGGGAAGTGAACGTAGTATAGAGATTGAATTGGACAGAAATACAGATTTCAAAGACACAAGTTTTGTACCACCCCAGAAAGAATCAGAAGCTCCTGCAACCATGGCTGTGCGACAAAAGATCAGTTTATTAGGTGGCATCTTGAAAGAATGCGTGAGGAAATTACCCATTGTCAGGGCTGGTTCCCATGGTACGGTCCTACCTTACAGTTGCGCTTCCAGCTCTCAAATCTTCTTTAAATGGTCCGTGGGGAAACGAAAAGCCTTGGAATGGCACCGTGCTCGTTTACTACGCCTGGAAGCTCAAAAAAGAGCTTACGAAGTCAATGATAATGTGCTTCGCATGGCGGCAGAGGCACTAACCACCAAAGATGTCGTCTTATGGTGTGTCAAAAATAAATACACCCCAGTTAAATCAGATACAATTGAAGATGTCGTCGAGTCAGGCTTGAAGCCAGGCTATTGTAAATTCTGTGGTAGCGTAAGAGATGGTCATGATGAAACCATCGATGATAACTGTCCAAGAAGACCTAAAGGATGGAACAGTAGGAAGCGTAACGGTGGCATCAATAGTACAACCAGCGTATCCAAATTGCTCTCTACGCTTGAACAAGGCTGGGAAGATGTGAAAGATTCAGGTAAGGATGGTGTGCAATATAATACAACGGACACTCCCTCCTAAATTTATAATATATAGATGATGACATGGATGTGGACATTGATATGGATGAAGAGCCAACCACGACAAAAGAAGAAGTGACACGTCGAAACGATATATCGGAACGAGTCAAGCATCTTACACTTGACTCGATGGATGTGGCGAATGAAAGATCGCTGGACTGGATGTGGTCTGTCGTAGGTCAACTTCGTCTAAAAAGTGTGATTGCCAATGATATGTTATTAGCAAAAGATGGTAATTTACAAGGTCCCACTTCTAGCTTTGATTTAACTTCGGCTATGAATCAAAGATTGGTGGTAGGAAACATTCTAACTCAGGTAAATAATAATCTCTCCAGTTTTCATCGACATCTCATGTTATTTATTATTGTTACTCTAGGCGACACGAGTGTTTCTAAAGAAACTAGTAAATAAAACTGTAAATAAATGTCGTAAAGAAGAAGAAGGATCCGCCGATAAGTCCGTCAAGATGATGGTGCCTTACCATGTGTATCAAGCAGCACAAGAGACAGAAGACTTTGATTTTTTGACCAATCAATACATGGGACCCGAAGATCCAGATGTACAGCAAAAAGGCAACTAAACCGCATCTTAACGAAGAAAAAAAATATGTACATAGACCAACCCTTATCGCTTTTAATTTTGCCCTCCCCCTCCTCCCCTTTCAGAAGAAAACACGCGTGAATTTAATACATAAATTAAGTTTTTATTCCCTATTATTATCATTTTTTTTATGTAAACAAAGATAGTAAATAAATTTCGTCAAGTGGATGTAGAAGGTGTGAAAGAAGAAGGAAGTCTTTTGCGATTATCAGTACTTGATAAGGAGCATTGCATTTTTCTTGCAGCAGCTTTTCCGATGGCATGAAGATTATGATTGCTATTCCAAGGTATCTGATAGCCTCCCTTCTTGGTCGTATGTTCTTCGCTTGTCTCTCGATATCCTTTCCATTCTTCATCTCCAAATCTGCTCTTGTTCACTTCTTCCTGTGGTGTGGATGGCGTAGATAGATCAATCGTACGAGGACTGGCTTGTCCTTTATTAGTAATTTGAGGTGCGGGATAACCTTTCCAAACTTCTTCCTCATCTTCTTCATAAGGATACCCTCGCCATTCATCGTCATCATCCGTATGTGAACTAGGTGGATATCCCATCCATACTTCGTCTTCTTCTTCTGCACTATTATTCTGTTGCGCAAGAATAACCATATCCTCTTCGGCCTGCAGGTATTGCTGAGGTATAAATTCGGGTGCAGTAGGCGATAGATAAGGTTTGGGTTTCACTTCCCTGATGGGTTCTTCCTCTTCCTCCTCCTCTTCTTCTGCTATAATTATATCCGTTTCATTATCATCATCTACCATATCATCCACCTCTTCAGGCTCTACAGGTTTTTTATTTGGAATATCCGTTGCTAACGTTGCCGGTGCTGCTGGTGACAAGGTGTCAGAGATTTGTGTAACAGTATCATGTGCCACAATCACTAAATCGTCGACTGTGGTCTGATCTGTCACTGGCGGCACGATTTTTTGGACTTGAACGACTAATGGCAATGGTTTGTTTTGTTGTTGTATAGGTTCCGAGTGGGAGAAAAAGTCCCAATAGAGGTCATACTCTTCCTCTGTGGTCAACTCGATTTCACCTACAGCCAAAGGTTCGACGTTGAGGCTCTCCTGGTGCAACTGAGAGCGATTAAGATAGGCACGAGATACAAGCCAATGGAATAGGTTGGAATTGGATTGTAATTTATCCAGTTCTAGACAGACCGATAATTTTAAAGGGACATGGGATGTGCGTTTCCAACTCGACCTCTCGAGTTCGAGCGTGTTTATTTTTAAATGTTGTTGACAAAATTCCAATACGCGTATAGCAGAAACAAATGATTTTTTGCCGGCATCGGAGAGTATTTGTTTGTTGCCCATACCTGTGGTACTGTTGTTTAATACAACAGAATGTGTGTGAATTAAATTGCGTATCATGAAAAGATGTGCATGCATAAACGGTACTGCAATCATTTGAGATTTGAGGGTGGGTGTGTTCAAGAAACGCGCAGTGTGTAACCATAACTGTTGATGGTACGCTTCATAATTGTTTTGAGGCGATAAGATAGTAACCAGTTCTTTGTAGGTGGCCAGCATTTTGGAAGAACATTGGCTCCATAGCGATTCAAGGCGTTGAACCTCCGGCATCTGTAGACTGGTCAAGATGGCTGTACAGCCGGAGAAATCGCGATAAATGTGTAATAAAAGAGATGCGATTTGTATCAATTGCGCAATCATGTTGTTGTTATTGTTCAGGCTTTTTCTTTTCTTCTTTTTAGATAATGACGACGTTGCTTCCTCTTCTTCTTCTGCAGCAGCAGCACTGTAAATGACTTGGTGTGCAAATGCATGCGATAGATAGCGGTGGAAATCTAGAAGGGGTACAATGTTTGATTGCTTGTCAAAGCTAGAAATCCAAGATTTATTCAGGACCACCAAACGGAATAAACTGCAGTTAATGTAAGCAATCTCTCTCGCGATATCCTGATGATTTAGATCAGTAAGAAATTGAGACTGCACATTTTGAATTTCTTTGGTTAATCGATCTAGATTTTCTCTTTCCTTGGAGAGATCTTTATTTAATAATGCAATTATATTGCTGGTATTGGAACTGGTGCCATCTCTTGTTTCGGATAAGGCCTTGGTTGTCTGTGCGAGGGCTTTGGCGTATTCAATCGATGTTTGTGTTAATGGTGATAAGGGGATAAGAGGAAGTCGGTTACTGGACTTGGAGATTTCTTGATGATGATTCATGCTATTTCTTTCTTTTTCTTTTTTTTTTTTTTTTATATATTTTTTTTTTTTGAATATATATATATATAACCCCCTTTTTTTTATTATATTGAGAACAAAGAAGAAAGAAAAAAAAAAGGAAAATGTTTGTTTGTGGTGTTGTGTGCTGTGTTGTGTGTGTGTGTGTGTGTGTGTGCACAAAGAAAAAAAAAGAGGGGGGGAGAGGATGACGTAAACTTTCGCACCATTTCGATTTACTTACCGTTCATCTTGAATGTTATTCTCAGTGTATTTTTTGGTTCTAATATTAACTACTCCTTTGAATGAACATGTGAGAGTTAATTAAAGTCTATCTTGTATTTCGCAACGGAACATTAAAATAACAATCTGTAAGTCACTCTTCTCTCCGTGTCAGTATATATCCCATGATGTTGTAGGGCAGATGTGCTTTGTTTTCTACTCTTGGAGTGCATCGTTCCAAACGTGTTTTGTGACATTTTTTAGCATGTATCTCCGACTAGTACAAAACAATGTAAAAGGAAATAAATTTCATAACCAGATTCTCTTTATTTGAGCTGCTGACCCAGACTCTAATAGGCTATCGTGCTGTGTACATACTTTTAACCTACAAATGCATCAAACACATTTCTCAATAAGCTACGCAAAGCTGCTCGGTATTATATTTTAAAATTCGAAGCATTTTTGCCAAATATATGAAACTTCTTACGCATTTTTTTGTTCCTTATAGGGCTGATTGTACTTGCCCTCAGACTTTGAACGTTTCGTTTCTATTCTGAGCCCTCAGATACAAAAACAAAACATTTTTGGTGTGTATGTTAAATAGATAAAGGCAGTTCAAAGTAGTGCAATTATATACTGTTTCCCGATATATATGACTTCTTATATTTTTTTTCCTTTTGATGTAATGTTGTGGGAAGTGTTACGGGTGAAAGGTAGAACGCTTTTCGCTTACAGCCCTAGTTTTTTCATCACCTAGTTATAATATTTAGCGATACCCTTACACGATGTTAGATGTTGGTCCAGTTGACATGATAAAGTAGTGTTCTGACCTTGAAAAAGTGCGTTTAATTCTTTATTACTTGTTACGATCTACGATCTACGATCTACGACAGAAATTATTAATTGGTATTATATCTTCGCTTCTCTCAAGGACAGCCAAATCTCACGTAGTCACAAGGTAAGATCTGTAATTTGGCGATCATTTAGACTTGGAAACAAGAATATACAATCAAAAAGAATGTAATAATTACAAATAAATGTATATTGAACGATTTATATTTATTTTAACAATTCTTTCTTCACTCTTTCGCCATTGAGCTCGTTAGATATTAATCTTACGCAGAAATATGAAGGTAAAATCCAAAAGAGAAGCTGAAAATAAGCTATAGCACACACATACTGGTTTAACATATGCTGGTTGTGATAAATATGTATCTGGTTCAAGACGATAAGTTATATTGACCCCTTGATGTCTACTAAAGTATCATAGAATCCGACATTACAAATACGCGCGCCCTGGCTGTTCCGAAGAAGATATGGGTGTGCCTAAGAGACCCGAATCACCTATATCAGATGTCAGGCCAGCAGAATCAGTTGTAACTAAACAAATCTTATGGGCCGTCAAGAGATACTTTATTAAGCCTAAAAAAAGAGGTTAACTTTCATTGAGAAAGTAAGCATCCACAATTATATAATTACCCTGTATGTTCTCATCTAAGCCTTTCAGTTCAGGTTCTGAAGAACTGTTTTTTGAATCTCTATTTGTTATGCTTTCCTTTGAATCGCAGTTTACTGAGACATAGACCTTATTTACTAATGATCTCATTTTTAATTTTTAATTTTTAATTTTTTAACTTGCTGTTCCTATGAAAGTATTTTTTTGTCAATAGCTTCAGTTGTTGATCTAAGCTTTCTACCGTATCCGATTACTGTGTATCCTTCTTCTTTTAGCTTTTCGATGTAATTTTGTTATTCAGTGCATGTATATATAATATCTTTCTTGAGTGAATCTATATGATTAGGTCGATAAAGACAGACTTGACTATGGGGATATATCGAATACAACTTACAGGTATATTGATCTTTAAAAGCGTTAAGAGATCTCATTGAGATTCTTTCATCGTAGTCATTTACTAGCTGGTACTGAAAAATGACAGGTCTTTACTCTCACACCAATGGTAGCCAGCTTGACATTTTTATCATCAAACAATACAGAGTTGTCCCAAATTTTGGTAGGAATCTTCTTCATTAATACTGATTACAATTCAAACGTGATTGATTGTAGATCTTCAGCAAGATATATGGCGCTCAAGAATTGTAATGATTGGGAAATTGTATTTATAAATGAAATTCTTTTCAGTCGTTTGCGATCAGCATAATATAGTTAGAGATATTTTTTTTTCTAGTTCTTAATACGTATTGCAACGCGTTCTGTCTACTCAGTTTCTTTATTGTTTTCATATTCACTTTCTTCGTTTTAAGCACAATCCGACTTATAGTGATGATAATAAAAAGGTAGCACATTGGATAGACTTTTGCACATCAATCATGTATAGACATTTATAACCATTTCTCCCAACTTTGCAGTCTATTAAATCCACTTGCAGTTTCCATTACGACGTTCCGATCGTCGATTGTTTTTGTACACATTAACACAGGTCTTTTCGGATTTTCGCCATAACAAATTTCAACATTTCCTTTACGCTGATTGACACATTAGCTGCTATACTTCTGTTTTGTTCATTTTTGGTTGTATATACTTTTATCATCATTTGCCAAACTTACATTAGCAGCAGCTGTTTCTCTGTCCGTTTGACTTGTCTTTGGTTTATTTAAAAGAAACCAGATTAAAATGGCAAGACGTCAGGAATTATCTTGGTCTTTTTAAGTATTGGCAGACTACTTTTAATTCTAAACTTTATAGTGACGAGACAAAGCCCATAGTAAAATAATGGGTCTCCCCTTGGGGTCGCTCATCCCATTTTTGAAATGGCGTACCATGTCTGCCTTCCGATCGCAAAAACGCCTACATAAGTCTTTAAGTTAATACATGTGAACAATAATTTATATTAAATGGCATAAAACCTACATTAATTCTTGATTGAAACTGGGAACGCACCTTGAAGTCCCTATCACACAGCGGTAACCTTAAAAAGAAAAAGGGAGAGAAAAAAAAACTGAGTGGACGGATTTTATTGATGATGAGAATGATAGACAGTAACCGGCTTATGTCTTTGTCAATCTGTAAATTGTTTCAAGTTGCATAAAGTTAATCTTTCACTTTATACTGATAATAGGAAACAGGTGGGTAAATTCGCTCCCGGGACGAAGACACTCGAGATAATAATAAAGTTATTATTCTAAAGAAAACTACATTCTATTTCCAAGTTCGTCTATGTGTAATATCGAGATGTTTGGAAGATGCTTCATTCTAAAGTTTATATGTTTGAAGATTCTCTTAGTGATTCAAGAACTCCAAAAGGAAAACGTTGTAAAGTACTCAGTCTCATATGGCTGCAAGAAAATAGTCAATACAATGATATAAATAGCAAGACAAGTATATCAATAAGCTATACGTTAATTTAAGTTAAAGAAAGCAGATTGTGCTTTATGAACAGAACTGTATAGGTTTGAAGGTTGACGACTGATTTTGTATCACTGAATTTCCTTTTGTGAACGTCTGAAATTAAAAAAAAAAAAAAAAAGTAACAACTGCCCCCTGGGCTCCCCCATTCTCTTCTCGCCTTCTGTCAGATTTTTTATTCACATAAATAAAATGCGTGTTCTTGGGCTCTGGAACGTTTCAAAACAGGCACAGTTTGCTTTTAAGCCCACTTTGATTTCGAAGCATTTGAACCATACAAAAGCCTTTGTGACCACACCTATTTATTATGTGAATGCAGGTAAAAAGCTATCTTTTCTTTTTTACAATGCATCGATGACTCTAATTTAGATTTTCTTTAGTTCCTCACATCGGTCATTTATATTCAACCGTCTTAGCCGACACCATTCGTCGTCATTATGCCTTGCATGGAAAGCAGGTCTTAATGTCAACCGGTACAGACGAACATGGTTTGAAGGTAGACTGAACAAACGTCAAATTAAACCCTCAGAACCTAACCGCTAAAATAAAGTTTATGTTGTAAATTAGATTCAACAAGCCGCTGATAAGAACAATATGAAACCTATCGAGTTTTGTGATAAAGTGTCTGAAAGCTTCAAGGTATGTAAAAAAAAAATCATACACAAAGTTGCGGTAGAGTATTTAATATGTGGATAGAGTTTATGCGAGGCAGCTGACATTGGATACACAAGTTTTGAACGTACCACCAACAAACATCATATTTTAGCAGTGAATGAACTATGGGTACTGGAAGAGAACAGGGATTTTAGAAAAAGAGAAACTAAACAGGGTAATCATAGGATCAATTGTTGAAAAAGGGTTACCTTTATAAGGGAAAGCACGAAGGATGGTATGCAGTTTCAGATGAAGCTTTTTACACCAAGAACCAAGTGCACGAAGTACTGGATGAAAAGTCAGGGGAAAAAGTCATGGTGGCTATTGAGTCAGGTCAACGTGTAGAATGGACAGTAGAAGAAAATTATAAATTCAAACTGTCTGCGTTTGGTGATCGTCTTTTAGAATGGATTGATGCTAATCCTAAATCGATTGTACCTAACAACAGAAAAAACGAAGTCAAATCTTGGATCAATGCTGGACTTGCGGATTTATCTGTCTCTAGATTAAGATCTCGTCTTGACTGGGGTATTCCTGTTCCAAATGACCCCGACCATACCATCTATGTCTGGTTGGATGCATTAACCAACTATCTTACAGCTACTGGATATCCTTGGAATAAGGATTCAAAAAACAAGGATTTCTTTCCTCCTGATGTCCAAGTCGTAGGAAAGGACATTGTTAGGTAAAAAAAGAGAGACGAATAGTTTAATTTGATTCTCTATTTTGACCCACCCTCTCCACCCTTTTATAAGATTCCATGCTATTTACTGGCCTGCATTTTTAATGGCTGCAGAATTGCCATTACCTAAACAAATTCTTGCTCACGCTCATTGGACTATGGGAAAGCAAAAAATGTCCAAGAGTCGTGGTAATGTTGCCGATCCTTTCCAAGTCTTGAAAGACTGCGGTGTTGATCCCGTTCGTTACTACCTCGTTCGTGATGGTGGTCTTGCTGATGATGGAGGTAGCTTTACAGATAGAGAGAGAGAGAAAAAAAAGGAAAATACCTAATGATCTGATATATTGTTCTCTGTTAGATTACTCTGAAGATATGATTAGAACTAGATATAAGAAAGATTTGGCAAGTCAACTTGGTAATCTGCTGAACAGAAGTACAGCCAAAACATTACTTTCCGATGGTATTGTACCTATCAAAAGTGATACGTTAGATGCCAGAGATGAGTTTATGCACAAGGAAATATCAGAGACAGCAGGTAAACCTAAAGAAGAAAAGAAAAGTGATACTCATGCGGGAGACTAATATAGTTATATAGAAAACTTTGATAAAGCATTTGAGGAACGTGAATTTAGTAGAGCATATACATATATCTTTGATATGCTGTCACATGTAAATAACATAGAAGGAAAAAAAAGAGGGGCGGTGGATAAATTGCATTTGTTTCTAACTTAATCTATGCATGTTAACTTTTAGGCAAATAAGCATTTCGCAGATAACGAACCTTGGAATCTTGCAAAGAAACCTGAGGAAAAGCAGCGTTTGAACGATGTCCTCTTTTATTCTTTAGAAGCATGTCGTATCGCCGGTATTTTATTACAGCCTGTCATGCCTACAAAGATGGACAGTTTATTAACACGTTTAGGTGTATCTGAAAATGACCGCTACTTTAAGAATGCAAAAGAGTTGACTAAAGTCGAAAGACCTTTAGGAGAAATAGATGGTGTGTTATTCCCTCGTCTTTAAAAATATAGAATGATCTTTTTTAACAATAAAAAACTCCCCCGGGGGTCTCCGCTTATATTCGCATGGAAACGCATTGTCCATTTTTAGGCAAGACTGTGGTGTGGGGAGGAATAAACTGGAAAAATGGGTAAAAAATCTTATCATAATCTTGCTCCAATTGGTTTCTGTTTACCTATACTCGTGACTCCAAAAAAGTCTAATTATGATTTTTCAACGCCATTTCCCCCGCATTACATTATTGTACCTATTTGTGTGTAACGAATTGTTCATGTGTGTGATATTCAAATCATTTGTTTCCCCCTCTAATTTTTTTTATTACTTTCTTTCTTTATTCAATCCACAAACAAAAATGATCACCCCACAACTCACTTATAACTATCCTTTGGAAATATTTGATAATGTATCCTATTATCTCACCCATAAACAAAAAGGAATATGTCGGAATGTCTGTAAATCCTGGAGAAGCCTTTTTACACCGTCGCAATATCGCCATGTCCAGATAAGAGGCAGAAGACAATTTCAGCGTTTTTATGGAGCCTTAATAACTAGTATGGTAGGGCATTATGTTCGACGTCTTTCTATAGACGATGTATGTATAACTGCGGAAGAGCTTGAAACATTGCCCACACTGTGTCCCAATCTGGTTCATTTACTGTCGAATGGTGTTGATACTTCACAAGATATTTCCTTTTCTCAATGGAGTCATCTTCGTTACCTTACGGAATATGGTCACTTTACTGTTGCAAATCAGTTGCTTCGTTCCCCAGATTCAACGTTCTCTTCACTCACAAATCTGTCTATACGGTTTAGCTCTCCAAATATGAAGCATGAATTATTTGATAATTTGCATAAAGCCAGTGATCTTGAGTGTTTATCACTCGACACCGTGACGTTATCTCTCTCTGACTTTGAGATGATTCATGACTCTTGTAGAAGCCTTCAGAAGCTCCGCCTAATAAATGCTGACCTGGAGCCAATTAGTTTCACACTAGAAGAAAAAAGAAGCGTAGGTGCTGCTGCAAGTCATCACCGTTACAAACCGACTAAATGCATGAAAATCCTTGAGTTTCAAAACGGTGGTAGCCTTTACGACAATTATGAATGGCTTTATTACTTTGCATCTAAATACAATGGTTTGGTTAGCTTAGATCTATGGTGCAGATACTCAGTCAGTACACCCTCTCTTAAAGTGCCACCTACGGTAAGTGAACTCGAAGAGCGATACGCAGCGATAGCAAGTATAGGTGTGAATTGTCGTAGTTTGAAATCGGTAAACCTGATCAATGTTACCATAAATCACTGGTTTTTTGAAGCAATGGATCATGTTGGTATCAGCTTGGATAGTATTGCTTTGGGAGATATGACGGATAGAACACTGGATATGTTACAATGCTTAGTCAGGTCCAAACAAAACGTATGTTCCTTGACACTTTGGGGCTGGCCCTCATTATGTATTCAAGAAACCATGCAGGAGGCGGTGACGTTAATTGGAATGTGCAGCGATAGACTATATTCTATTGACTTCTCTATGCAGTTCTCTGGCATTAAAAATGCACCTATCCCCATTGACTTTATTTTGAGCCACTGCTCAAAACTAAAACAATTGAAATTTGATAACATACAAGCTGTGGTAATGACACCGATGAACACGAAGACAGATGACGATGCATGCTATAATATGCCAGCGAAATCTTCTTTGGAACACCTTATTTTCAAAAACGGATCATTCCGGAATCAAGTATTTGATTATCTTTCGATATACTGTCCAAATCTAACCAACCTCGAAGTTAACTCTTGCTCATTAATCGGTCAACATTATCCTGAAATGGATATCAAGATCCATATGCCACATCACACATTTCAATCTATCCGTATTGATCACGCAAGATCACCATCACACTATTATCACGTAAAACAAGCGATTGATATACGTTTATTTGATGTATATCAGTGTAAAAAAAACAAGCGACAATTGTTTGAGTTGAACGATTATGAACCATACACGACAAGTCTCGATTTTGAATATGAGCAGAGAACTGTCGAATATAGTAGGCCTACAAATTACATTGGACATCATGCTGATACTCAAATTTCTGGTCCATTTGTTTCAATCACTTGTCAGGACTTAGCCGAACTTCATATCGGCACTCTTTGGGCTATTTAATGTATCTCTGAATTATTTTTATGCACAGCTTTTTTAAAAAATAAAATAAAAATAAAATAAACTTGGTTTTTGGAGCTCAACGAGTCCTCATTGCTTTCATTCACACTAGTGCATTTTTAAGAACAAAAAAATAACATGGCCAAGAAAAAGTCAAAAATCGCGTCTAATCGAGGATATGCAACCGTGTCAGCACCCTCCAAAAAAGTTGAACCCGTTACGCCCGTGGAAGAAATTCAAAGTGCCGATCCCGAGCCTGAACATCCCTTTGATACAGTTGTGATTCCTGAAAAATCTGTAGACAACAAACAGGATCTCGAAGATCAAGATCCTGTTTCAAAGTTTATGAAAAAGTACGAATCCTTGAATGATCATAAAGCACAAGCTGCATTCGATCGTTTGCTGAAGGACGATCCCCAACAACAAAATATACCTGATGAACGTATCAAGAAGTTTCGATTGACGGCTGACGTAGAAAAGGATTTATTACAGGTTATTAAGCATAAAGATAGCGATATATTCGGTAAGAGAAAAATAGGAGAGTAGGAGACATATTTTTAAACAGCTCATCTCATTTCTGAATAGGTGCTTTCAATCAACCGCTGACGAATAGCTCAAACGAGTACGAAAAGGAAAAGATCATTAGTCAGTTTGACATCTTGTACAGAACTTTGAATAAGCTAGGCTTTGCGATTGAAGACATTTCAGAATCTTTCGAAGCAACTTTATCGAAATCAATTGACGATCATTTAGATTGGGTAATATAAAACAGGAAGCAGTCAAAAATGAGTATTTATTAAAATTACCGACATCTATTAGCTCTGTGTTCACGTACCTTATGAAAGAATGCCTATCGGTTTCTTTGACAAGTACTTTAACGAAGACGAGAACGAGCATCTAGTATTGTTACATAACGCCAGAAATAAAGATACAACAAAAGTGATTGAGCCTATTGTTGAAGAAGATAAGCAGGTTTTGATGAAGGAGGAAAACAAAGTCGATGCTAAAAACGAACTCGATGCTAAAATCAAAGCCGATGCTAAAATCAAAGCCGACGCTAAAAAACAAGCAGAGGATATCAAATCTCGCGTCTTACAAGCTGCGCAACAATACATGGATGAAGAAGAAGAGGATATTAACGAAAAACATGCACTTGCCAAAATGCAACTAGCTGAGCTAGAGAAATTTCTCCCCCGAGATAAACATGGCGGCAAAAAAATCAAGAAAGCAAAGGAAACAATTGAAACACCTGCGCTATCGGATGCAGAAATGATGAAACTTAAAAAGGATATCAAAAAGATCAAGGAAAAATTGTCTAGTTTGGAAGCAGATTGGGATTTCGATAAAAAGAAAGCAGAGGAATTATACGCCAAGAAGAAGGAAATCATTGATCAAGAGATTAGACAAAAGCAAATGGAAGAAAGGGCTGAAATGAAAAAAATGCAGGAAGAAAAGAAGGAGGATGAGGTCCCCGAGACAGAGGAAGATGATGACGATGATGAAGGAGGGTTATTTGGTGGATTGATGATGGATGAAGAACAAAGTAATACACCTGCCACTGCCACCACCACTACCCCTATTCAGTGGAATATCGTTGATTTAACCGTACCTAAATCATGGATGGGAAGATATCCTAAGGACTTGCTTTTGGATTTTTGCAACAAGCAAAAATTTGGGAAACAGAATTATCATTCCACTACGGTTTCCGCTGGCATTTGGCGATCATCACTGAAAATTGTGAAAGATGGATATAGTAGTATTCCCCTAACCTTTGAATTACCTCAAGACCTTTGTGCTTCCAATAGACATGACGCGGAACAGTTAATGGCATTGTATACTTTGTTTGAATTGGAGTCAAACTCTTCCGTTTTTAAAGTGCTACCAAATGTTTATAAAGATCTATGGACAACTTGGTTAGAGGATAAGGTAAAAATTTGCTTACAATAAGAGGAACCCCATGTCATTAACTATGGTTTGTAGAACATTAGAGAAAGTGCGCCTAAACTTGAAGCCGATAAAAAGAGATTGTCTTTCCTCATCGATTTAGTAGATAAATCGTTCAGCAAATCGAGCAGCAGAAACAATGTATGGGAACATATAAAGAAGAGAAAAAATTGATGAATAGTACTAAATATGAAATCAGTCTTGTAGTTTTGCTAGCCTTGATGCTATCACCAGTGAAAATGCTGTAATCGCATCTAAGCAGAAGGTTTTAAAACATAAAAACATGTTTACTCGAGTTCAAGAAAACTTTAAATCTCGTTTGGGGAACAAGGATTATATTTCCATGAAGAATAAGAGACACGATTTACCAATTACAGCTTATCGTGAAGAAATTTTAGAAATCATGAGAAACCATCAAGTCTTGATTATTTCGGGTGAAACTGGTTGCGGTAAGAGTACACAAGTCCCCCAATTTTTGGCTGAGGATCTTTTATTGGGATCGACAGAAGGAGGATCTGTAGTATGTACTCAGCCCCGTCGTATTTCAGCCATGTCGATTGCAAACCGGGTGTCAACTGAAATGGGTGATCGCCCCAGATCGACAGGTAGTCGTGATGCCATGGTGGGTTACCAAATTAGGTTGGAAAGTAAAATGTCTGCTGAGAATGTATTGCTATTCTGTACCACGGGTATTCTCCTGCGTCGATTAGAAAGTGACAAATACTTGGATGGCGTAACGCACGTTGTCGTAGATGAGGTACATGAACGTACTATTGAGAGTGACTTTTTGCTCATTATCTTGAGAAAGTTATTGGTTATCCGTACTGACCTCAAGTAAGTGAAGGTTTATAAGACAAGCCTACGAAATTACTCACTTATTTTTTAAATCGCGTGTTCCTCCTTTAGGATTATATTAATGAGTGCTACAGTAGAAGCCAGTCGATTTTCAGATTATTTTGGAAACTGTCCTGTCGTTTCCGTCCCTGGTCGAACATACCCTGTTCATGTTCAATACCTTGATGATGTTTTGGAAGATACGGGTAAATGATAAGAATGCTGGTGGATTGTTACATCTGTAAATATAACCTTAAATATTTTAGGTTATGTTCTAGAAGAAGATTCGCCGTTTGCTGTGCGACGCGTGAAAGTTAAAACTGAAGTTGGAAACATCAATGTTTCAGGCCAAAGTGGATCTTCGAAAAATGTTCATTACGAGATGTTTGAAGAAGATTCTGATGATGATGACCCATATGACCCCACTCGCATTGAATCTAAGCTTCATATTATCGAGAACCCAGATCAGGAAGACGATACTTTACCTGCTGAACCTACAGCTAGAAAATACAGTCGACAAACTCGAAAGATGATTAAACGAATGGATGAAAAAAAAATTAATTACGACTTGATCTTGGAGTTATTGGACTATATTTGTATACCCAAGAAATCACAAACGGATGCTGAGGCTGATAAAACTCACGAAATGCAATTAAAGGGATTCAACATCCCCGATAAGGGTGCCATTTTGGTCTTCTTACCTGGTATGAACGAAATCCGTAAAATTTATGATTTGGTGTCCAGTCATAGTGTGTTTGGAGACCCTGGAAAGTTTTTGTTGATTGCTCTTCACTCAGCGCTATCTTCTGAAAACCAAGAAAAGGCATTTGATGTACCTCCGGAAGGTGTCAGGAAAATTGTCTTTTCAACTAATATCGCTGAAACAGGTGTAACCATTAGTGATGTAACCATCGTTATTGACACTGGTATGGCAAAGGTTGTAAGGTAAGATATACAATTTAAAGTAAAGGTACTAAATGCAAAACTTATCTCACCGCTATAATTATTAGCTATGACGATAAAAAGCGTGTTACCCGACTGCTTCAAAAGTATGTGGCAAAGGCAAATGCACGTCAAAGAAGAGGTCGTGCTGGTCGTGTTCAGGAAGGTGTATGCTTCCATTTATTTACACAGCAACGCTACGAAGAGGTAAAGCACTTTCATATTTATAAAACATGCTATTCACACTTGTTACAAGATGGCAAACTATGAAACTCCAGAAATTCTCCGCTTACCGCTGGAAGAACTTTGTCTCAGAATTAAGGTGTGTGGCCTTGGTGCTATTAGAGATGTTCTTGGAGCAGCATTAGATCCACCCACCCAAAAAATGATCGAAAATGCAATTCTAACATTACAAGAGGTAAAAAAAAAGTTTATTTAATGATGGTATGACGAATATTTATATCATGTGCCAGGTACAAGCACTATCGGTGGATGGTAATGAATCCCTTACTCCTCTTGGTGCACATTTATCAAACTTACCCGTTGATGTACATATTGGTAAAATGATTCTCTTTGGTGCTATTTTTAAATGCCTCGACCCAGTCTTGACAATTGCAGCAGCGCTTAGTTTTAAGAGCCCCTTTGTTCGCCCTTTTGGTAAAGAAGATGAAGCAGATGCAGCACGCGCACGTTTCCGTGTCTATAACTCCGATTTCTTGACCATCTACAAAGCATATGATATTTGGCGTGAAAATTATTTAGAAGCTAAAGAAAACAACATCAGCAACAGCAGTTTGATTCGTAAAATGCGCACCTTTTGCCAAAAAAATTTCCTGAGTCAACAAAACCTGGAAATGATTGAAGATATGAAGAGACAATACCTGGGACTTTTGATCAGTATCGGATTTGTAAAGACTAATGAAAAACCTGATATTAATCGGTACGAGGTGAAACGCTCTGTAATACAGTTATGCACAGTGCCTGAGGTATACAATGAGCACGCGTCTTCCATTCCTGTTGTAAACGCCGCACTTACGGCAGGTCTTTATCCTAAGATCGCAGAATACTTGAGACAATCATCACAAATTGTAAACAAAAGCATGGAGTTACATATTCATCCCTCATCAATGATGTTTGGAACAAGGAAGTCTTTATTGTCTGATTTCTTGATTTATAATACTGTGGTAATGAATAACAACAACAATCAAATGAAAGATAAGGTCTACATGTGGGAAACATCCTCAATTGATGCAGTTGCCGTTGTTTTACTCGCTACTGAAATCGATATTAAGGTAACAAAATGAAAGTTATTAAAAGCAAATATGACGCTGGCTAAATTAGATATGTATTCATTTAGTACAAGCAAAGGAAGATGGTTTTGGATAACTGGATCTATTTTGATTGCTTTGCTAGAACAGCTGTGCTTTTAAAGTTTTTACGTAAACAACTGGTAACGTGTGAAACCATCATGATTGGAAATGGCAGTTATTAATCTTTTATTTTAGAATATTTGGCTAGCCGAAAAAATGAATCAACCGGATTTAGATTTAGGTCATTATAATGAAGAAGTGATGGGTGTATTAGTAAAGACTCTTGAATCGAACGCTATTTAATAAAAATGGGTGCGATTTTACGATTTTAATTACTTGATGAGCGAGAACCGTACAAAGGTTTAGCTGGAAGGGGTAAGCCAGCGTAAAATTCCATACTTTGGTATGGTTGACCGAATACATTATCATCGGTGCTTATTCTTTGTATTGTTGAAGTAGATCTTTGTCCGGATGTCGGTGCGAGATAATAATACAAACCCTCTTTATATCCATCAGTGTGCTGATGACTGTAAAACATTTTTTCGTAATGAGGATCTTCCTCAACAATATTATTAAGAGTGGATGATTTTGATAAGTCAGGAACGGATGAGTGGTTATTTGGCACTGTTGATTTTTGATTGATTGGGTCTTCAGAGTCTGTGCTATCGATCAGTTGGCGCGATGCACGTCTTTCATCAATATAAGATTTTGAAAAGGTATACACGCAAATTATAAAACTAGATATTGCAACAATACACATAGAGACCCCTGCTATTTGTCCTGAACTGACTGTTAGTCCACCGTAATCTTTGTATACGATGTTACTCTCTGCATCAGTAGTATTAACCATTTGTACAGTCGCATTAGGATTGTTGATATTTAATGTTTTAATAGGAGCTGTTAGTAATGGTGTCACTAATATGGAACTTGGCTGCTGAATTATGTTGGTAGTGGATGCATCTTTTGCTTTTACTGCGGGTAAAATAAATTTTAACGGGCCAACTGATGTCAGTACTGAATTTTTCTGAATAATAACGAGTTTATACAGTATTGGTTTTGTTGTTAATTCCAATGGGAAAACAATTGAATGAGAGTCGGAACTCGAATCGATATTTGAAGCAAGCAGCGCGACAGTATGATTGTCATGCAAAAAAACATCGTATTTTTTTAGTTGTATATCGAATCGTGGTATATTTGCTTCTGCCCATGTAATAGTTGTAGTTGAACCAGCTACAACGTTTGTATTTGCTAGAGGTGATGTAATTAATATGGCATGAGAATTATATATTAATGCTGTTATCACCACAGTTTTTATTATTAATTTTTTATAACACATTTGTTAGATAGATTGTGAATCATGCACATAAATTGAGAAGAGAAAAGATCAACAATTAAAAAGATTAGGTATTTAAACAATGTTTGTCCTATTACTGCCAAGGTCACACAAAATGCATAATTTACAGTTTCGAACACAAAGAGCCATGATCTCAGGTGTTTGTGCTCCCGTTACACCGACTAAATAAATGAAATAGAGTCGGTCTTGTAAATAAATGACTCTGTATGGTGATCATATTTAGAAATAACTAAAAGTAACCAGGCGGTAAACAGTCAGTATTGTAGCCAGTGCTAAATCTGACTCCCCCCCCCCCCGAAAAAAAAATTAAATGAATAAAATACATAAACCTCTTTTCCGAATTATATTTGTTTCATTTTCCTCGCGTAAGGTTGTCCAGACTATTTTACGGAGTTGACTCTCTATATCAACGGTTCAAAGGCCACTTAATTATATTTTGGATATCATACCACATGAAATACTTGGTTATGAATCTCTTTTGATTCAAATAACATTGTTTTAGTTATTAAATTAAGCTGCCAATGTGACATGGTTTCAACGCTGTGATAGATAAATGGCTAAATCAAATAAACCCGAAAGTAAATGTTAATTATAGAGAAACTCTTTTTTTTTTTTGTAAATTGAACATGATTCAGGGGCATTTAAGTAAATCCTAGGTTAATTGCTTACATTGTATATTATCAAACTTTGCTTTATCAATGATGTCTAGCGGTCAGGATGTAAAGCCGTTTTTGAATTATGGACTCAAGCAACTGCAACTACATCAAAAATAAGCCACATACGATATCTGGGTACAAATGGTATTATATGGTACTAAGTACATTAGATACCTGTTTTTATTGCACATTGTGGCAAGAGCATCAACCTGATCTGAGAAACCTAGTGTCGACCCTTACAGCCTTTCCATCTGTTCAAGAAGGCAAGCTGTATCTACAATGTTAGCACCTTTTTTTACTGCGAATATTTTACCGTACTCATATCACTTAAGGTCATTTTTTTTTCATATGTTAACCCAATTCTTCTTCTGAAGTCTTCCATAAAAATACGATATGAAGATCTCCTTGTGAGGGATAATAGATTTAATCCTCTTGAGGCCATGCGTATCTCTTCTGTATTCGGGTCTGTATCAAACGTTCATTAATTACCGGATAAAGCATTAGAAATTAACAATACCGTTCAATATACACACTGCTCAAAAAATTACTGAAATAAAATAACTCATCATTTCCGAGGTACAACCGAATTTTATAGAATTTTATGAAGTGATGCAAAAAAAAGAAAGGATTATTGATTAAAATATAGGACTCCGCCAAGAAATGATCACAAGAATACGCCGATCTTGGTATACCAACGACGATTGAATATACTAGTCTTTTTCGAAATCCTTGCGTTTTTAAGCACTCGTGCTAGGCTACGAATGACGTATATTCTGAAAAATGAGATTTATGCAAACTTTGTTTATGGTAAGGAGGTATAACCTATATGAATATCGTGTCATATATTTCTAGGAGAAACTTAAAGAACATTTTGTTTAACACGCTTTTGATGAAGGGAGAGTACAATATCAACAAGGGAGATTACTATTGAGGAATTATGCAAAAGAAACAAGAAGGAAACGAAAATTCACGTTTAATGTATATACCTGTACAAAGGAAAGTCACTCACGCAAATGTTAAGGGCCAATTTGCATCAAATTTGTCAAGATTATCCGTAGTAAAGAAGTTAAATAAAAGGGTTAATTTGTTGTTTTCTTCTTCTTGGGAGCTCAAAGACTTTATTTTTAAAAAAAAGCTGTGCCCAACTTTATGATTGAAGTAAAGGAGCAAGTTCTCCTTATTGACGCGTCCGCTGACTTTGAATCTGGTCTACTCTGCTTCTTTCAGTTACCATCTACATTTTACTTCAGTTTACCAGATTGTATTACTATAATCAAAAGGAGAAGTAGGGGATACAATGACTGAAATAGGACAATAAATAGAGAATGAGGGGTCAGTAAAGAAAATAAAGAAAGGGATATTTATTATTCGTTTGTAGTGAGACTATGGGATGAGGAGAGTTGTTATGGCGAATGATGTATGTCTGTGTATATATGTGTGTGTCAGTATGCAGATCAATTGATTTAATAAGTCATCACTTGTTAATTTCCCTCTTTCTTCTTTTTCCCTTTCTCTTCTTTTTTTTTGTTCTCACTTTACTGCCACTACTTGTTACATGACAATAATGCCGGGCACTTTAGAAGGCCAAAAGCATATATCAGTATTCGAAACAACATTATCGATACAACAAAACACATTATCTGTATGTATCGACATTATACAATTATGATGTATGAAATAATTAACAAATTCCTGTACAGGTATTTAACATTATTATTCAAAGTTCTCAGTCAACAGTATCTTTGATTCGATATCCTTTCGATCTTATCGAGTTTCATCAAAAGGTACAATTTTTTTACTGTCTTTTCTTTTCTAAAATCGATTTTAATTATTTATTTTCTTAGATTCGTTTTCATTACCCTAAATGCAAAGTCTCTTTCCCAACATTAAGCAACCCTTCAAAAAAAAAGAGCCAAGAGCAGCAACGAAACCTGCGTTACCTGAAACGTCGATCATTTCGTGACCTCTTACCTTTTCCTCGCAAAAAATCAAACGCCGACAAAATAGAAAGATATTTAGAGAGGTGCTTTGGGCATCCTATTATTAGCATTTCGTCGATACTTCGGGATTTCACTAGTGTTCAGCGAGACGAAGATGCATTATTAACATCTCAACACACATCAACAACACTTATATCCACAATTCATAGTATCAGAAGAAAAAGTGATGCTGCGAAATCGGTCAAACTTTCTGCAGTACTTAAAAACAGCCCCTCTTCTTCATCACACCCTCCCGTTCCTATTGTTTCTCCTATTGAATCAGTAGAATTAACCACAGAATTTAAACAACAAAAAAAAGTTGTATCTCCTCTCCCAGTCTCCATGAAAGATTTTAAATTGCTACAAGTGCTGGGAAAGGGATGTATGGGCAAGGTAGTAAAATAGAACTTTATTTTCGGTACTTGTAACTGACAAAGAATCATTTAGGTTTTGCTTGTAAGATCGAAAAGAGATGGGCAATTATATGCTTTAAAGTCTATCAAGAAAAATTGGGTCATTCAACAAAAGGAAATTGTTCACACACGTGCAGAGCGAGACATCCTTGTTCTGTTACGGGATCAACCCTTTCTTGTAAATTTACATCATGTATTTCAAGACCCCTCCCAGCTGTTTCTCGTGTTAGATTATTATGCCGGAGGTGATATTGCAACGCAACTATCTATTATGTCCAGCTTTGGTGAGGATAGAACAAGGTTCTATGCTGCTGAGATTATCCATGGCCTCGGTATATTACATCAATACGGCATTGTTTATCGAGATTTAAAACCGGAAAATGTATTGATTGGTCGAGATGGCCACATAGTCCTAACTGATTTTGGCTTGTCCAAAATTTTCTCAGTCGATGACGTGGATGAAGAAAATGTACCTACAACACAAACATTTTGCGGTACTGCTGAATATCTGGCTCCGGAAATCCTACTTGGTGAACGTTATACGTTTGTTGTTGATTTTTGGAGTTTAGGTACACTTCTGTTTGAGATGTTGGCAGGAACAGTAAGTTATAAATAACCATATGAGCAAAAAAGGGAAAAGGGGTAGCTATTAAACAAATGACTTTAGACGCCATTTTGGGCAGATACACATATGGAAATGTACAAAAGGGTACTTGAAGATAACCTGGAATTCCCATCTCGTTTTGATCCTATTACTTGTAACTTTTTGACAGGAGTAAGTAGTCCTTTGGATATATTAAATCATTGATAACTAAACATTATCACAGCTTCTAGAAAAGGAAGCCTGCGAGAGATTAGGTTGGGGTGAGGATGGTATTGAAGATATCAAATCACACCCTTATTTCGAGTCCATTGATTGGAACATTGTTGCTCAGCGTAAAATGATTCCACCTTATATCCCATCGATTAAAAATGAGACGGATTTATCGAACTTTGACGAGATGTTTACTAATATGCCGCCTCGTATAAGTCAGTCGTCATATACTGGATCAAATTTGGAAGGTGATCCTTTCGAAGATTTTTCGTATGATCCAATAATATTTTCCAGCACCGGTCACAATGACACGGTAGTACCGGAACCAGTCAATCAAGGTAGAATGAGGAAAAGACACAGTGCAGCACTTTCTTTCAACGCAACAGGTGAGCCATCAAGTTCAGGGTCAAATCAACTTTTTGAAGATAACCGAGCTATTAAAAAAAGGCAAACAACCAGTCAGCACAAAATGTCGCATAGTTCATTAGCTGACCTAGTTACATCACCTTCTATATCCAGTCTTGGTGATATTATACACCGCGAGGAGGATGAAGAGGAGGCGTCTTCTATTTACTCAAGATCTTCCCTTACATTTTCATTCGGAGCACAAGTCACTACAGCCACTAGGGCAGGCAGTGAGCTTAGTCTCGATGAGGAAATCAGCAATACAACAATGCACCATTTTTTTAACAATGGACATCAACCGGAACAATGCATTTCACAACAATCCTCACCCTATGAAAGACCAAATTGTCCCATTCCGGGCCAATCCAGGATCAATAATACACCACATTCTAATACTTCTACTTTAGCTAATTCCATGTGCTCATATTTAACAGTTGATAATAATGAAGAATTAACTAATGTCGTACAACCCAATTACTTCTCATATCAACAACAAGCATCTTCATCATCCGCCTAATTCTATCATTCATACACTATTATCACCACTAAAATACATCATTATAACTCTTATGTCTTTCATTCAATATGACTCAAATACCATATATGTTTACATTTATTCATATATCTATACAAAATCACTACAATCACACATCTTTACATATCTTCGCCTTTTTTTTTTTTTTTTTTACTCTTTTTTATATTAATAACAAACAAGTATCGATTCTTGGTAATAAAAATAAAACTTGCAATCACAAAGAATATGAAAAAGACGTTTATTCCCCCTTTTCCCATTCGTGTGTAGCCGAAATATAACAAATTAATGATGTGTTACACATGCTCCTTGTTTATTGAACAAGCGCAAAATTTAGACAGTTTTTTGATTGAATCGTTTATTTTCTTTTTTTCTTTTCTTCCCTCTTTTTTCAATATTTCCCTAATTTTTCATTTTTTACGCAAGTTAAAATGACTTTTAAGGTATTTATTTAAGCAAATAAAGATATGCCTATACACTTCAGCTGATTTTTTTTATCAAGTTTGAACTAGAACAATGGCAAGCGGCGTGTGTAGCCTTTGATAATAATGACTATGATACGTCAGTCAAAACTTTCATTGTAAGTGTGGTATTCGTTATAACAAAATAATAATAAAAGGAGGGGGGGTGGGGAAGGAGGTTAAAATATACTGAGAAGGGGGTGCACTCTGAGTTGATAAATAATAATTATAATTTATAATAGGGTATAGCAGATAACGCAAAAATGCATTTCAATATTGGCTTGATCTTTGCCACAGTAGAAGATCATGATCATGCGGTAATACATCTATAATTAATGTAACACTTTTAATTGCTTTATTCATCACTTACGAAACTTATTAAATAATCAAGAATTTTATTTATTTGTAGCTGGGAGCATACACAAAAGCAATTTCGATGGATCCTTATTTCGCTGTTGCTTATTTTCAAAGAGGTGTTTCCCAGTTTATAAAAAACAACATGGAAGCTGCAAAAGATGATTTCGATCAGGCCTACCAGGTAAAAAAACAAAAAAAAATAACAAAAAAAAAATGCCTGTACTAATATAGTAATTTTAAATAGAAATTACGTGGAAACCAAATAATTAATTATCAGCAATTAGGTCTAAGTTTTAGGCTTTATTCTTGTGAAGTACTATTTAACAGGGGAATTTGCCAATTGTATCTAGGAAAAATGGATGCCGGTCTGACCGATTTATACCATGCTCAAAAAGCAAGAATGACAGAGGAACACGACGTGATTGATTTGGCTGTAAAAGACAGAGGAAAAGGGTATTCAGTGTTTTCTATTCCTCCGCTTGTTCTTTTCAGACCTCCAGAAAATAGATTGAAACAATTGAAAGGACTAGACATGTTTGCTGTTGTTGATCAACTACAAATTAAGAAGCCTCAGACCCCAACCTATATCAAGCGAAATAATTCGATCTTATTGAGCGAAAAAGTGATGGTAAAGAAGCAAAATCAACAATCTCCGTTGAGAACATCATCACCAAGACAGCCACCACAACAGCAGCAGTCACAGCAACAACATCAACAACCATCGCTACAACATCAACAACATCAACAACAACAGCAACAACAGCAACAACAGCAACAACAGCAACAACAACAACAACAACAACAACAACAACAACAACAACAACAACAACAACAACAACAACAACAACAACAACCTGCCGAAAGAAGAAGAAAAGACTCTAACCTTGGAATGTATCATTCAGACGATTCCGCCTCTACTGCATCATTCTCCTCCTCCAGCTATAGGACTCGTCAGCATGATGGCCGCAGAGTTGATAGTGGATTCGAATCTACGTTGGAAGATAGATACTCATCATCTTCTTCTCTTGGTTTGGCTAGTAATGGAAGAAATTCCGGCAAAAGTTTTAAAACAAATAATCTATATGCAGCACCACCTGTACCACCTATACCAAAACAACACAACGAAGAGGAGTATTATGGAGATTTCGATCAAGAATTAGATGAAGTTTATGGATCATTACATGATTTATCCGTTCAAGATAAGGAGAGGGATATTATTAGACACCGTTTAGCTAGTGGGGGTAATAAGGAAGACTTGCGTATTCAGACATCTACTTCTACATCTACTATTGGATCCAACAACAGTGGCCATAGCGGAAAAATCAAAATCAAAATACATTATGTTGATACCAGAATCCTTATGGTTCCCAATGCTATATCCTTTGACGAATTAAAGTTTAGAGTTAGAGACAAGTTTGGCGCACCGCCCTCGATTAGATTACAATACAAAGACGAGGATAACGAAATGGTTCTAATGATTGACGACGACGATTTATTTATGGCAAGACAAGTGAACAGATCCAGTAGTGATGTGGAGAAAATGGAAATTTGGTGCGTCGATTCATAATGATTTCTTGTGTTTACCGTTAAATCATTTACCCAGTGCGTGATTTACGTGCTTCTAGTCTAGTTTCGTTTTTTGTTATTTTGTATTCTATTTTATTTATTTTTATTATAAACAAACCTTATAAATAATTAAACATATCCATGCGCAGCCTCTCCCCCTCCTCCTCCCCCCCCCCTTTTTTAATGTATCAAAGGACCATGATACAATTTACTAAGGTTTAGGAATCTGGGGATGTTTAACCAGACGTTGCATTCACAGTTTGAGGCATTTTAATGACAAGAAAATAACATTATTTTGACGATAACGAGTGCAGCGGCTCCACCCTTCTAGTAATTAAATGTCAAACCTAGTATATTATGTACGAAATATGAACCTTGAAACTTTCCGTTATAAGGGTTCCCGTTAACTCATAAAAATAATTCGCTGTTATTTTAATCAATTTTCTAATCTTTATTGTTTGTAATATTGATTTACAATCAGAAAAAAATTGTTTTTGCAAATGACTTTGTGTTATTTGTGACACCAGATTATTTTTATAAAGGTTAGCTGTTCATTAACTACGTATAACGTGAATACTTAATATTGATAAAGTAAAATATCTGTAGCTCATACTTATTTTAAGAAACTTATTATGCAGTAATTTATGGCACGATCGTTAAGTTTTTGTCTATTAACACCGTGTAAATACCAATGTTATTTTAACAAGGCGAAATGTGAAGAACCATCCAGTTTAAAAAATATGCAATGCACGTAAATATTTTTATGTTTTTAATAACCAGTCTTTATAAAGTAAGGAAAGCTGTTTTACGTGAGTTTTGACATATAGATGTTACGTTAAAGTGTTTATGTAGTGATTCAGTTTATCTATATCGACATAAACTAAAATTCTAAATTTTGACTAGTATAGACATTTGATGGCATTTAATTGTTTTGTTTTATTTGGAACGGAAGATGTTGATTCTTATTGCCAGAAGCAGCCACACATCCATCGCTTTTTAAAAAATGATTGCGTGAACAGCAAAGAAGATTTAGAGTACAAAATCAAGTATATCGCATCTTATGCTTCATCATACTATGATAAATCATGATATGGTATAATTTTTTTGAGACTGATATAATAATCCGCCTTCTGCTTACATGTACTAATTGCCCTCATAAAAGGAAAGCATAATGTTTTTTGTATGTGTTTACAGGACAATGCCCTTTGTCGTATGACACATCAAATAATTTAGTGCTGTTTCTACATTATTTTTTGGAAAAAAACAGGTCCATACGAGCGGCCATTTATTAATGCGACCTCATGTTTAAGTGTTGTCCATATATATGTAACCCCTAGTTTCATTCTATAAACGTAGTTTTTTATTTACTAAGACTTACATTAATTGCTAACTTTAAAACCATTCCACTTCTGCTTATTTAAAACAATAAATCTACTCTAAAGCTGCCAGTTGTTTGACGCAAACCCTTTGACCATTTTAGAACAACCAAGAGAAGCAGTTTGGCTATCCGTTGCTATCTCCTCTTTATATTTGCATATTCTTGAAAAGTACTGCTTGATATTAAAGCAAGTTAGTAAATACACAGTTGAAAGGGATGCACCTAGAGCGCTTATTATCCGCTATGAAATCATTAAAAAGTGGATAGAGTCCGGTTTTGATTTTTAGAAAACCCGTATACTAATTGATGAAGCTGTATTTTTCTCCCGACTAATGAGAGTGCGTACATAGTCGAAAGCTAGTACTTTAGCGAGTGTAAAAGTACACACATAAAAGACTCTAATTTGGGCATGATTGTATGTATATGTACTAGAGGGATTATAAGCTTTATCAAAGCTATACATCTATAAAAAAAAGTTGCAAAGTTGATAGAGATAGATTTTCAATAAAAACTGCCTTTTATATTAACGATACAACCAAGAAAGATTCAAGAATTTAAGATTTATTTTATTCAGAAGAGTGTTACTTTTATTCATTGACAAGACTTAAGAAAGATTTTATAGTTAGATCGTCTCTATGTGAGCTGTTTTCTGTATTTATAAAGCATAAAGTCAGCGAAACTACTTATCCAAAGAATATTTATCATAAGATCCAATAATAGATCCTGATGACATTACACAGCTACGATTTCCCCAAAATTGACAATTTGCTTCCATCAAAATAACAACCCTTCGTTCGATCTGAACTTTGATTTAATTTCTTCGTTCAAATATTCTTTAACCAAAAAAATGATATTCTTCATATAAATATAAGCTATTTTTGATTAATTTCTTCATAAATGTGCTATCAATTATTCAATGCAAAGTTGGAGGATTGCATCAGATACTATACAAGCTTTTTTTTTAAAACGCAGCACAATATTTTTTCCCGCCGAGAAAACGTTCCGCTTTTGGATTACGTTGTATATGCTGCAACGATACAAACAAAATATTTTAGAGAAAACAAGCCCATCATTATCATGATAAGAATGCATACATATCATTAGGGTCAAAAATAATTTTGTTCAGGAAGTGAGTGTATTTAAAAAAAATTATATAAGCCCAGTCAAAATCTTGGTCTATAATTATAATTAAAGTTTTTTTTTGGTCATGCTTAAGAAAAAATAGACCATGTTATTGTTTTCATTGTACAGTAAAAAGAGTAACTAAACTTAGCTTATGCACGGCATTGCTATTATGTAAGTACCTTCCACGATGAAATCTATGCAGATGTCATGTATATGCAGGTACATAGTAAGTTTATCAAAAACGTTTCATGACCACAATGGTGAACCGATTTGTTCGAGAACAACATTTTTGAAAAAAGAAAAGCAGAGAAAAAAAAGCCATTAAGATACTTCAGTGTAATATGAAAATCACATTACTAAACTGTTGAATTTACGCAGCCTATGCTATAGATAAAATCTTATTTTTAAACGACTCTCAATATTTTTTAAACTGAAAAGAGGTAAAAGTTCTCATAGTTTTTGAAGGCTTTCCAAAAAAAAATATAATTCTAAAAAGAAACTCCTGTGGTCTGAAAAAAATTATAATCTTTTCAAGTGTAACCGAAAATATTGTATTTTAGGAACATCACTCGGAAGCCACACTTATACTTTTGTTTACTGTTGCACATTGTGTAATTTAACATATTTGGTCGATTATTATTGTTGATGACGACGAACATGACACACTCTTCAGGTCTACTAGAAATAGTTTTTTCATGTTTAGAATTCCCAAAAAAAGGCCGAGTAAGAACTAAATTTAGCTTTTTGACATTCAAGAAAATAGTATAAAAGCTCAATTGGTTTTTAACCAAAGAAAATTATTATCTTTTTCTTCATCAATCATCTTTCCAATGAAATCTGCTATTATCTTTGCTCTCTTTGTCTTGTTTGCCGCAATTTGCTCCGCTGCACCTACTGTCGGTCTCACAAAGCGTGCTTATTCAATTCAAGTCAAATCTGCCAGTGCATTCTGTTCATTTATGCCACCTAAAGCTGGAGATGATGTCGGCGCTACTGAAAATGATGGTATTCCATTCTGTACTAGCTCTGCCTTAGGCGGTAAAACCTTCCCATCTGGATTCATCAAGTCTGCTCATTATGCTAGCACATCTACCTATTCTCAAGTCACCGGTAGAATTGATCGTTCCAAGTATAGTCTTAAGTCAAGCGATGGTGGAGGACAATATGACAACAAAGATATTGACAATGTTACTTGCAATGGCTACAAGTATTTCGTCAACTTGATTGAACCCGATGCCAATGTGTTCTGTATCCGTTGTTGCAAGAACCAAGCTGACTGTAGATTGGGTATCTCCACTTATGGTTGCGCCAGAATCGTTCCTGGTAATTACAACTAAATACGTTTTTGTTTATCATTCATGTCCCGTATATATTGCCTTAGTTCGGCAAACATTTTCATATATTGTATTTTATTCCCTTTCATTTAAATAAAAAAAATTTACTTTTTCAAAAAAAAAAAAAAAAAAAAACAAAAAACTGTTTAAATTTTTTTTGTGGTGCGTGCGACTTGTGCAACAGGGCGATCATTTTAAACCATGTCATTCCCAGTGAAATATGGCTTCAACGTACAATTTTTAATCCCCGTTTTTTTTATGCAAGACTAAAAAGTAGATCTTCCTCCAGCTGATGACTCTTTAATTTTTTTTTTGTGTCGGTTTTCCATTGTCTTTATCATTCAATTATATATTATATGAAATATATGTATGATTATGCACAATTAAAAAGCTTATAATCGCTGTCTTAAATGCTATAAACTTTTTTGTCAAAAAAGAAAAAGAAAAAATGGCTGATATCAGTCTCCTTCAGATACATCCATGATTTCGATATGTTTATTACAAGCCGTTTTTTGTTAAAATAAATTATTATGTACAAGCCATATCCCACAACTTTAAACAGAATAAAAATAGAAAATGAGTTATAGATCCCCGAGTCATTTGGTGGTCCCACCTTTGTGCGGGGGTCATGTCAAGTGTTGAGTGCGAAATACACTGCTTAGAAACATCCATGTTTGTTTAAAATCACGCACTTCTTATTTTCTTAATACTACAACTATAACGGATTGTTTGTTCAATATTGTATCCTTTTTTTTTTTTTTTTTTCTGTAAAGATGTTTTAAAAAGCATACGCTTACAAAAAAGTTAAATTTGGAATTTAATTCTGTCTTTCTAGATCGAAATAATGTTTTGTTGTTTTAAATCCAATGACGGTGCTAACTACTGAGCCCTTTTGAGCTTGAAATAACAGTTTTCTAAATTTATCTTTTTCCCTTCCCGTAGGGTCTAGCCGCTGTCTAGCATGGACACTCTCAACTATATAAATAGGACCAAATGTTTAGTTCTCCTTTCAATAAAAACTCATCAAAAATAAAAACCATCAAAATGCAATTCACCATCTTTACTGTACTCGCTATTCTCACTATTGTCTGTAGCGCTTTACCATTCAACAAAAGAGCCCCAAGCTATTCAATTCAAGTCAAGTCTGAAACTGATTTCTGTTCATTCATGCCACCCAAGGCTGGTGACGATGTCGGCGCTACTGAAAATGATGGTATTCCCTTTTGTACAAACTCATCTTTGGGAGGTCAGGTCTTCCCCACTGGATACATCAAGTCTGCTCACTATTTGAGTACGTCAGACTATGTTCAAGTAACCGGTACTATTGATCGTGATGCTTATAGCCTTAAGGAATCTGACGGTGGAGGACAGTATGATAACAAGGATATTGACAATGTCACTTGTAACGGCTACAAGTACTTTGTTAACTTGATTGAGCCTGATGCTAATATCTTTTGTATCCGTTGTTGCGAAAACCAAGCCGATTGTAAATTGGGTATCTCTACCTTTGGTTGCGCTAGAATCGTTCCTGGCAACTACAATTAAATAAGGCCGTTGGCCCATGCATCTTTCAATATATATATATATGTATTTAGTATATCATCATCTCTTCTTTTTTTATTTAAATAAATCATTTTCTTCTTGTAAACCTTACATGTAGCATTTTTTGTTCAAAAAAAAAAAAAAAGATCTGATTTTGTGTAACTTTTTGATCGCTTATTATTTGGCGATATGTTAAACATAGCGCCAAGAGAATAAAGGTAATAATACCAAATTTGTATGTTGTTTTTTACTTCAGCCATTTTTTCTTCACTTTTTTATATTTCTAAATTTGGGTATTTCTCCAGCCCAAGAAGCTAACAGTGAAATAATAAATATATAAAAAAAAAGACTTAAAATAAACATTGAATTCATCTACCTATGTATCAACACTTTATTTGGATAAGCCCGGACTATAATAAAGAATGATTCACCATTGCCACCCAAATGACAACATTTCTGAGATCTCGCCATTATTTTTCGTCGTATGAGTCACTTGGTTACGTGCTCATCTCAGAGTCACAAACTTTTGTAGAATCTTCTAACGTTGATTGAAACAAGCATTTAACGATATCAAAACTGTCAAAGCGATCGTAGTTTCAATTCATGTGGCTGGTTGCAAAAAAAAGAAAAATCATATCAACTTGGTTTAAAAATCGGGTGATACGGTAAAAAAAGGATATCTAATTTTATAACAAAATCGAAGCTATTAAAGATTCACACAGTCGACCAAAAATAAACATTAAATCCTAGGTTTCATAACAAACAATTAAGTATTAAAAAAACCTTTAGACGAACACCCTGAGAGAACTTTATTAGCATTCAAAGAATAACCTTATTTGTTCTGTCGAATATTAACATTTTAATTAGGTCATATACAGCTACTTGAAAACGACTTAAAATCATTGATTCTCAATATTACGCACACTTTATAAACGATTATAAATATTTATTTTTTTGATATCATGCCAAGAGAAACTTCTGATGATTTTTTTTTTCAAGGAAAATAATATACCCAGAAACAGGGTGCAGAAGTTGGCTGGTTTGCACGGCCCGCTTTTCGCTACAATTGACCCGATGCCGACAAAAAACTCATGACGGGTAGAAAGCCAAACAAAAAAAAAATGTATTTTTGGTTATTAAATCCTTTTTTGTTTATTGTGAAACTCAACGTTACTATTTGTTACACATCACCAAAGAAAAAGAAAAAAAAAACGCTTGTCGTTACACGAATCGTATCTGCATGATCCAAGTAAGAAAACACTATTTATAATATGAAGAAAATGTAGCTATTTCAGTCTTTTGATGGGCTTGGACCTGTATTATCCCTTTTATGGGTAATAGTTTGGTGAGACTCTCATGATAATACTGTAAAAATATAAAAATAACAAAGAGTAAGTCTTATGTTCAAGTCATCCGGATTGACGCGCAGCGTTATTCCAAATTATGTTAGTTCATTGTCACAAACTTCGTGAGGGTATATCACTTTCAGGCTGTATATATCTGCACAAGATAAAATAAATAATATTATCATGAGTGTATCGTTTAATGCACAACCTCACCTAAGAGGAACAGATCATATTCATTGCTGGAAAAACTATAATATAGTGATGCTTGTGTGGACAGCTACAAAATCTCCGTCGCCCAAAGTCGACAACACTTTAGCTATAAAAAAAAATTATGACGGTGTAGTATCCGATTCCTACTAAATTGATAAGGCAAGGAGAACATAGAATACAGATTTCAATGCCCAAAAAATGCCATTAAATGAAGGTTTTATTATGTTGGAACCTGGACTTAATCAAGGTAAGGAGCCATGTTGGGGCTATGGGAGACATTATGCCAGAAAGAAAGTTATTTTTGTTGTAGTTACTTTTGCGATCGATAAACCAAAGCATGATGTAAACTTGTAATTAATTCCAAAATATCATTACACTGAGCATATACCCCTGCTATTACTCCCGTTTTGTCTTCTCCCTTTTAATACTTTTATCGTTTGTATTAAATACAAGTAAGCTGGTCAGCTATGTAATAATTAGTTATATTAGGATAAAACATACCAAAATATATATTTATCATGAAGTAAAAACTGAGACTCTTAGATTCTCAATTGAGCTCAGAGAAACTGCGATAATGAAAATAGGGAGCTTTTTGTATTAAACTATATCACGGTAAGCTATCTCAACCAATTAACTAACGATATATCCTAACTAGTGCTCAATCAACTGATTAATTACTACAACAATTTAATACAGTCAATGAATAGGTTGGCCATCCATTTTCTAGATATGACGTGTTCTATGGAAATCATTACGTATAGACATAATGAAAGCTATAAGAAGTTCTAAATGTTATTTAAATAATCTTCTTGGAAATACATGATTTGATCTACTGTGCAAGGAGTACGGATCGAAATGAAATTGTTTGTGATTCTCGGTTTTATCAGGATTAAATTCACCAAGTAGTATCTTTTCTGCACCTTAATTTATCCAGGTCTTCAACATTTTTTTAAGGCACATGATTTTTTCCATATTGTTGCTGAATTAATTTCAAGAATTCAACCAAGGGATCCGATTGTAATAGATTATCTTTCAAAAAAAAACATAAATTTAAAGCAGAAGTCGACTGTACCATAATTTATACTTCACAAAAGTTCATAATAAGATCAATTGTATGTGGTTTGACAATCGAAGGAATTATGTAAAAACTTTTTTTTTAAAAAAAAAACGAAAACTTGTAGTTAGCTTTGCTTATTGAAGCACTAAATCAGGCGATTAGGACATTTAAAAATATTTATTCATTTTCAATTATGTGCGCTGGTTTTTTGACAGTCTCCTTTCTTTCTTCAAATAACTTGATAATCTCAAACACATCCAGCAAAAGCTTGGCATTTTCCTGTACTAGCTGATTGGTAATCTTGGATTTGAATACCATCAGCGTTTGATTCATACGAGTCGGCAATAATCTGTCCCGCAAATGATCCAGTTGAACTATCAATCACATGAGCTAATGAAGATGAAGTCTATTTAGCCAACACCACTTTTTTTTTTTTCATTCCTTTTTTTTTTTTTTTTTTTTTTACCTTGGGGTGCAAGGATCATTCCATTTAGAGACTTTTCCGTACTTCTTTTTAAAGTAAAGTTTCCTTCAGGTTCATAACGACCTTGCTTATCAACAGCGTAAAAGTTATAAATTGTATTGCATGCATTGATTTTTATGCTAGGGTTTTTGGTTTGAATATCAAATGTTTGGCCATCTGTCACAGGAATCTAAAAAAAAAAAAAACCTTGAACGTGTCAGAATGTCAATAGGTTATGTCATTTTTAAGATCCTTACATTAATCACCATCAATTTATCTTGAGGATAGTCCTGTACAACTGGGCCGGTCCAGTTACTTGTTTTCCCTAAAAACATGGCATGGACATCTGACAAGTGTTGAGCAGGAATTTCACAATCATGGTCGACTTTACAGGCGAAATAATTTTTGGCATGACTAGGTCCCGCTGGACAATAGACAGGCATTGAAAAAAGGTTGTACGGCTGTTTGACAGAGATACCTTCCGAAACAATGTTGACAATAGCCCCCATTTTATCGATACTCCAATTAGGCAACATACCGGCAAAATCACGAGACATGGCCAAAGCTTGTGTGCGAGCTATTTCGAAATCAAAGTTTGTGGCGGCAGTCTTGACGGAACACTCGTTTAAAGGCGTAGTAACAAGGCTGTTTTCCACGTCTTGAATATGTGCAAACCCATTCACCTTAACGGCAGATTCAGTAGTGCCTTTTAAAATGAGTCCATGATGACCGAAAAGAGAGGATTCTGTCTCGGCTCCACAGGAAAGCTCGTTTCGTTGATTAATCATTGCGTTGTCTCCTCTAAATGATCCTCCAATGGCTAAAGGTCCTTCTGATATAGCATTCTTTCCAGTTTTGAAATCATTAAAAATCACACCGTTAAATCGTGTCAACTAATAATTATGTCAGTCTTATACACACATAGACTTTCCCCCCAAAAAAAAACGGGGGGGGGGGAGGGAGGGGGTATTACCATTTGACCTTCAACAGAGAGGGACGTTAATAAATCACAGACATCATGCACTGAATTAGTCTGATGTTCCTCTACAGCATCTACATAAAGGGTCCATCCGGCCAAAAATACTGCAATGTGCATTGACAATTTCATTTTTTTTTTCTATCTGGGAAGTTTACTTTTAGTTTGTGTAAAGAGAAAGAGAAGATAACGTTACTTTTACTTTTAATTTTTGGATTCGATCCAAGTAATACAACACTTGTTTACGTTGTTCAAATATGCTGTAACATTCCAAACTCTAAATTTGTGGATTTGTGTAAGCTAGTACAAAACAAGCTAGTCCATCTACATTCCGAGAGACTTTTTCTTTTTTTTTAATTACTGTAATCCAGGCACAATTATGTCACTGCTGCACCCCCTTTTCACTTGGCAAAAAAAAATGGATATGATTTATCGCTTGATTCAAGAAAAAAAAAAAAAGGGTATAAACATTTAGTAAGCAGAATCATTGTTTTGCAAAAAGTGTCATCACCCTACCAAAATTATGGTAAAAGTCTGCCACATGATTTAATCATTGCTTAAAAGTAGAGATCAGCCCATCAGCAACACAGATTTCGGAAGATCCTTTTGAAACAAATCCTTTTATATATCTGGCTCAAAGGTAAGTTTAACGCTACCATCGTTTTAAGTATTCGCTCGATCATTGTAATTTTTTCTGGTTATATGACCACAACTCCTCCCCTTGGGTGGGGGCGCTTGGGTTCCTGAGCGTGTGTGTGTTTATCTGATATTGCCCAACATATTTTGCAGCTACACATCTACAAGATTGAAAGAGAGATTTTAGACTCTCGCAACAATCCGGGAGAGATTGGACAGTAGCCAGCTCTTTTTTTTATTTTTAAAAAAGAGTCGTAGATGCCGCTGTACCCAGGGTTTTACGCGTTATATATGTCTGTTTTGTTTATCTCCCATCTTACATGGGTTAAGTAAATCCATCGAGTAAAGTTGAATGGAATCATACACATTAAAGTCTCTCCTCTATAAAAAATTATGCTATCAAGTCAAACTGAGCTGTTTACCTACTTGAAACGATAAATGAAGAACCCTGATATTGACGTTTCGATAGAAGGCGGAGTTTTCACGTCATTTTTGGATGGTTTCCAGTTCCTTTTACTAAGCAATGACACCTGGGAGACTCTTCTAGCAAAACAATTTTTTTTTTTTTTGCACCGAAAGAAATACCGGTATTGAGTTGCACAAAGCGCTAGACATCTCCTGTCAATGACTAAAAGGACAATCCTATTGTCCTGCTTGTAAAAAAAAAAAAAAAAAATGTCCTATTCGGCAAATAATTGACCGTAATTTCTTTGAATAGTATGGGGCTATATATCCAGATAAAGTAAAGACAGAAAAGTCAAGTATGTAAAGAGTTTCTTAACATCTGAACTTTCTTTCCATTCGCATATTTTACTATGGGTGTGTGGGGGGGGGAACAAGGGTGTACCAATGACAGGAGTGGGATTCTTGATTTTTACATCCCGACGTTGATGCTCTCTATATAAGGGGGAGTGTATAGATTTTTTTTTTTTTGTCATTCTTTCTTTCTTTCTTTTTTTATTATTATCTATACAGAACATCAAACAAACAAATAAAATGCCATATATGCTTCCCCTCAATAGTCAAAGCTCCTTTGAAAGATTCAACCAAATTGTGGAGCAATACCAAGATATTATCGAAAACAATGCGACGGCCCGTTGTATGATTGGTTTCACGGCCGCAGCATTTATCCGCAATGAAGGAGATATTGATATTGGGTTAGTTGAGAGTTGGTTACAATCATTGCATTTGGATGTAGACGGTGGGTCCGTGGAAAATCATGTTAAAGTCGACCGAATTTTACACGTTGTCAAGGAAACGTCGAGCCATTACTATGCTGACGATGATGCAGAGGAAGAAGTGGGCTGCACAACAGACGAAAGTGAAGATGATGAATTACTTTCAAACGACAACAATAACGATGATAACGAAGAGGACTATAAATTAAATCGATTCACAAATGAATCCTATTGTACTTACCTTCCCAAAGAAGTTACCGTAGTAGATCATGTACTCTTTCCCTTGGATGAACAATCCAGGACATGGTCATAACCTTAAACAGCAAAGACATTTCACTCATTTTTTCTCTACTACATACCTTTTTACCCTTTAGACATTGGATAATACCCCCTCTTTTTTTTCTTTTTTTTTTTTTCTTCCCTATTTTTTAATTAAAAAAGGCCCTGTGTATCTCAAAAAAAAAAAGGTTTAAAGCCAGCATAAAAATTTACCTTTTTCGGTCGAATGACCCTTCCTATTAAAACACCAATGGCATTTTACCGAGTTTTCTGACTTTACTTGATTTGGGTAAAGGATGATCTTTTGACAAAAAATTAAAGGGGGGGGGGGGGACGTCACGCTCCCCCAATTAAAAAAAGATACAGAATAGGCATGTGCTTTTTAAACTCAAATTCACCGATTATTTCTGTAAAAGACATTTACGAATGTTGGAATTTTTTTTAAAAAAAACAACCTTTTCACCAGGACTGCTCTACCAACATAAAAAAAAAAAAAACTGCCCCTTGTTTCTACCTTGTGTATGAAAAATAAATAAATCGCGACTTTGTTTTTATTTTGACATAACATATTTCAAGCTGGATATCGTTGGATGTTTAAAGGGGAGAGGGGGTGTAAAAGACGTGTCTTGTTTAATAAGACTACAGTTTCCATCATAGGATATGTTTACTCTTTACCAATAATACTTAATCCCCTTCTACCCTGCAAATTACCTGTCAACTAAAGAAAGAAAAAAAAAGGGGGGGGGTCAGTGACAAAAAAAAATGAAAAACATGCAATCATTTTACCATAGGACAGCCAAAGAGATGTAAAGTTTGAAGTGAGGCACTGTTCTCGATCAATGCTTTTGCAACAAAGTCATCTACCGAACGAATAAATCCACAATTCAAATAAGCCAACTCCTTAAACTGTAAAGATTCCAAACCCGCAGCTGTCACTTTTTCCAGACTATGAATATTTAAATGTTTCAATGTAGCTCCCGAATGTTTCATGACAGCTTTCAATACTCGGTCATCAAACAAGATGCAACGTTCAATATTTAAATGGGTCAATCCTTTGGCTTTCCATGACTTCATCAGATGAATCATGGCCTTGGCCGTAAGTTTATGACATTGTTCCAAATTCAGTTTTTTCAAATTGGTACAGTACTTGAGCACCCCTTGTGTCAATACCTTGTCTTCCAAATCATACCCACCATTCAAAGATAATTCGGTTAATTGAGGTCCCACCTTGGAGAGCAACTCCACAACATGGGCAGTTTGCAATGTATTTAATCCTGAAGGCCAAGTGATTTCCAACACCGTCAATTTCTTGAGTTTACCAATAAATGATAGCCAATCTGATTCCATCTGAAAGAGTTGACCCAATCTTAATTCGCGCAAGTTGGGGCATTGGTCAGTCAAGGTCATGATATTTTCCTTTGTGAATCTTGCGGTATGACGTACTTCAAAGCATTCGAGTCGGGTAGAAACTGTCTTGAAAAAGTTGTCCCAAGCCTCGGTTGTGACAAGGAAGGGACCAGACAGTTGTAATGACTTTAGAGAGGTAAGACGTTCAGCATAGGCATCCAAGACTTTATCGGTGATATGGCCACAATAGACGAGCTGCAGGTATTGTAAGCGAGGACAGAACTGACTGATATTCATGAGCGATACTTCATTCATATTGGTACAATCATACAGTCTGAGACGAACATTCACAGGTTCCATGAACAGTCTGGAAGTGACATCATTTAGTTTACGATTCTTGGAAATGATCTTGGATAGCTTTTCAACACTTTCATCACTAATGATGCCAAACGATTCCAAATCATCCACATAACTAGCCACTACAGCAATACAAATATCCTGCAATGAAGGTAAAACATCTTTACTAATAGGCTCCTTTTGGATCGCCACAATCTTTTTCTTTCGAGGTACTGCCTTTTTCTTTTGATTCGTGCCATTAAGACAACTTGGACAGATCGTTTGTGTCACCTCCTCATCTAGCTTGCGAACAAACCTTCCTTTACATGCTACGCAAAAGAGGATACGAGCCCTGGCTGGTACAAGCTTACGAGAACTAGAAGGTGCAAATGCATTTTCATCCTCATCTCCTGCATCATCATCGTCTGGCTTCTTCTTCTTTTGCGTAGGTCTGTACAATATTGACTCCGATTGCGCAGCAGCAGCAGCAGGACTTGTAATAGAGGTTTCAACACCTTCCATCGCTTCAGGTTCACCATTTGTTCCAGCTGCAGCTCTCAGTTCCTCTGCTGCTCTTCGTTCTCTTCGACTTTGGTGACGTACTTGAATGCCATGTTCCTATGTATATATGTATAAAAAGATAGTGCAATGTCAGTTCATCGATCGTTTTTTTTTTGTACTCAATGTTTGGTGCAAAAAAAGAGAGAGAGAGAGAGAGACTCACACGAAGGTAACTAGTTAAAGCAGAGGTAGGTCCACTCACACTATTTACAGTGGGATTAGGACGATTGTTTCCGTTCATTGGTGCTTAAAAGAAAGAGAGAAAGAAAAAAAAAGATTCCAAAATAAAAAAAGGGTGCGTCAATTGGATTTGACATATTGGGGGGAGGGAAGGAAAAGGGGGAATGAAATTCCGAGCCGGACAAGAATTTTGTGTTGTTACATAGGATATTTTTCGAGAAGGGATTATTTCTTTCTTTTTTTTTATAACCATAAAATTAATGTAGGTGATATCCAAAAAAGACATCCATCCCCCAAAAGTGCTAATAATAATAATTAAAATGAATAGATGTCTGATCACGAAGAAGTTGTCATCGCTCAAGAAGTCGAAGTTGCTGTTGAAGCCACCTCTGGACAAATGTCCGTTGAAGATGCTCTTCAAGAAGTTCTCCGTCGTGCTTTGGTTCACGATGGTCTTGCTCGTGGTTTAAAGGAAGCTGTCAAGGCTCTTGATAGGTAAGCTCCCTTTTTTTTTTATATTGTTGTTGAATCATATAGAACTTGTTATGGGAGACAAACAAAAAAAAAAAAAAGAAAATCTCGAGAGTTTTTTTTTATAAAAAAAATATTGATGACATTTTTTCTTACCTTTTATTTTTTTTTTTTTTGTTAATGATCATATAAAGACGTCAAGCTCATTTAGCTGTCCTCGTTGAATCCTGTACCGAGTCCGAATACATTAAGCTTATTGAAGCTCTTTGTGCTGAACACAACATCAACTTGATCAAGGTCTCTGATGCCAAGAAGCTCGGTGAATGGGCTGGTCTTTGTAAGATCGATCGTGAGGGTAACGCCCGTAAGGTTGTCGGTTGTTCTTGTGTTGCCGTCACTGACTTTGGAGAGGAATCCGAAGCCATGAACGTCCTCTTGGATTACTTCAAGACTCGTTAAATCTCTTTTTTTTTTATGTTATTAATAAACATCATTTAACATTATATCCCCATTTACGCGTACTCTTTTTTCTTTTTTTGTCTTCTTGCCTAACAACGGCGCGTATCTTTTTTACGCACGCGTACAAGCAAAAAGGTCCGCCCTACCCGAGAACTGGAGGGAGGGAGGGTCTATTTTAGGATACCGAGGCTTTATTCTATCCCTTTTCCTCCTCATTGTTACCACTCTATTTTAGCATCATGACTGACATTGTCGAACCCAAGTTCCTGGTACATCAAGCAACCCATTTATTCCTCACCGACCCCATCTTTTTCCAGGTGACCCAAATGAACAATTCCATATTTGTTTGGATCGGCAAACCCGATGGGAAAATGGGTGACATGTCAGTAGCCGTGCCTGCATTTGCATCACAAGTAAGCCCCATTTCGCCCCTTTTCTTTTTTAATGGATCCCATTAACACAAATACAAATAGACTACAGCCTCTGCTACTACAATTATGGGCACCAACGTATCCGAGAAAAGTAAAAATTTAGCACGTAGATTAGGTAAGAAAGAGATCATTAAAAGCAATACACGTTATACTAAATTTATCCGCGTCAGCTTCAAAATACAAGCTTCAATTTTATGTCAGTATGGACCTCAGTAGTCCCGATGATTTACTCTTTGTTTTTGTGGAAAAGAAATTGACAGAACTATTAAAGAACGTATTAGCATAATTATTAAATTTAAAACAGTGATTGTACTTTTTCCCCTTCAAAAAAAGTTTTTCTTCTTTTTTCCCCGTATTAGGCTGATTAAAAGTACATTATAATCCACCCACAAGAGCGGAAGAAACTTTTTTTTTTTTCATGAACCAGATCTTAATTCCTATACTTGTATTCTGGCGTTGGGTGGGGACACACATTGTCTCTGTATGCAAAATGTCATTCCCAATGTACGCCACGCACTGTAAAAAAAAAAATCATTATTATGCATGTCATTTGCACGGGTCACTACAAAAAAAAAAATGTACCACAACATGTCTATTCAATTTAAAAGCAGCTAACTATGAGTAGCAGCAGGTGTACATTATATATAAATGGCGTTTTTTTTTTTTTTTTTTTTTTTTGGTTATGCTTTAGGAAAAGCAGGGTCATTACACCCAATAGTATTACAATCGCTCACCTCGGCGTAAAAAAAAAAAAGAGTCATGGTAACAAAACCCAACAATAATAATCTACGTCATACATTCTACTGATGATTGTTGTTGTTGAACTTTTTATTTTCCTTCATTATTTTCCATTACTCTTTTTTATTTGACACTTGAACGACCGTTTGAGGGATCACAGACTTTTCTTTTTTGACTAATATCAATATTTGAATAAAAATAAAAAAGTAACCAAAAAAAAAAAAGAAAAATACAATTTTATTATATATATTTTCCTTCATTCGCACGCGTTTCTATTTTTTTTTTTTATTCTTCTTTTCTATATGGGAACAACAAAAAGACGACAGTCAAAACGAAATAACTCTAGACAAGCAGCACTTTCCTTCCTTTCAAACATTACGCTCGGTAATGAAAACGAAGTAAGAAACTCTTCAACCACCACCACCATGATGGAATCACCTACCACAACCACAACTCCAACGTTCTCAGATACGCCTATTGCTACTGCTACTGCTGTGTCAGGAAGATCTAATCTCACTCGATATGGTACCTTATCAGTTACAAACGATACAACCGCAAAAGGTTTAGAATAAACACACACACACACACACATACACACCTTTTATAATTAGTTAACATTTCTTTTAAACCCCCCTCAGGTATCGCTCCTGATTCTTCAGATTCCAATTCGTCAACCATGGATGAACACATTCCCATCACCTTGACTGTCGATACTTCACGGCGCAGGATAAGTGTTGCTCATGCGCTCGAGCCCGCTTCCGCAAACTCCGTCCATACCCCGCTGACGCCCGGAGGGGCAGGAGGCAATAATGGCGAAAAGCGAAGGTTAAGACGAGAGTCTACTTCCGAGAGCTTTTACAATCATCGTCGGTTATCCAGTAGTAGTAGTACTTCTTCCGAAGTCATACATCAGTATAAATTGACTAGAGAAGATAGTGAACGACCCATTGCATCAGAAAAAATTAAAAAAAGAGCCGATCCTCAGGATACCACCAATCCAAAAAATGTATCTATATCGCTTATTATTTCATTAGGACTTTTTTTTTTTTGTGTGTGTGCGGTTCATATAGACTAACATCTTTTTCCTGTATATAGTCTGAAACAGGCACCATGGGTTTTATGTCTGTATTTCGTTATTATAAGGGAATCATAAGACAACCAAAAAGAAGGTCTGAATATTATAATCATAACCACCACGTACATTATCCAAGTTACTTGTAAGGAATCCCCCCAAAAATATATATATATTTGTATGTGTAGGTTTTTGTTTGACTAAATGCAATTATAGTCACCAACATCTGTCAACGATGCATCTCAAACACCGTAAGGCTCTTTCCTATGGACATTTTCTATCTCCTCAATCTGAACAAGTGGTACCTCATCCGAGTAGCAGCAGTGACGAAATCACACCTATTACCAAGTTATTACCACGTCATGTACCCTCATCGTATGACCCTTATTATCTAGATGACGAGACAACGCTAGAATATCCCAATTACATGATCAGCTCTCAGGTAAATTTTTTTTTCTTATAAAAGTAGAGCATTTAACACACAAAGGGAGAGGAAGGGAGACAACAAAAAAGGGTATAAATACATTATTCATACCATAGGGTTCGATTGCTGACATCAATATGATACGAGCCTCTACTTCCAATGCAAAGAAAAAGGAACTCAATGAACTTTTCAGAAAAACCCATCCTGAGATATCAACAAACATTACCTTGTCTAAAATCAACGCTATCAAATTTCATTTGCTACAGATTGGGAAAGTTATGGATCTCGAAATATCAAGCGTCTCGCATGCCTTTGTTTATTTTGAAAAACTGGTTTTAAAGCACGTCGTAAACAAACAAAACCGAAAGCTTTTGGCAGGTAAAATAGATATATATATAGAATAAGGAAAGGTGTTCACGGTATTAAATAAAAAAAAAAAAAAATACATCTGGTTCAGCGTGCTGCTTATTCCTTGCTACAAAAGTCAATGAACCCAAAGGATCCTGGTTTAAATCACTTTTAGAGGTTTGTCATTTACCCACTTTCTTAGTTTTTTTTTTTCATCTCATTGATTTCCCCCTTCATCCCCCCCAGACAATTCATGCTGAATTAAATGTAAACTCCAAAGATGTCCGGGACTATGAATTCGCAGTATTCGCAGATCTTGATTTTAACCTCTATGTGCCAATCAGTGAATTCATGCCACACTTTGAAAGAATCTGTCAAGCTTTGGGTAAAGATATACACATCACCTTTTTTTTTTCTTTTTTACATAGTTGCTCTTGATGTCTAATTTATTTACATACATACACACATTAGAAATTCAATGTATCGAGGATCATCTCGGTGGTGAGGCCTTTTACAAGATCACAGAGGGTGGCTATGAAATAGCTGGCGCTGCCACTTCTTCTGATCCTACCTCTCCAAACTAAAAACACATATTATTTCTTTATTTTACATACTTTTTTCCCCTTACACACAACACACACACACACACACACACACACACACACACACACACACACACACACACACACACACACACACACACACACACACACAAACCCCCTTTTATTTTATTTTATTTCATACACAAAACATCTAGCCCCTACCCTTTAAACTATAATCCATATACCGAAAAAAAAATCTACACAAATAAACATATTCTGATTTTATCCATCTCTCCATGTCAAGAGAATATCACTCTTAGTTAGATTACCCAAAATGATATCAATCTACTTTTTGAGGATCACGTTGAAAAAAATATATATTCAGCTGCAGGGTCATCCAAAAAAAAAAAAAAATGAAATGTCTGGACCGGTCTGACTCAGAAGCAGCAACCACAATGTCATTGTTCATTCTTCACAAGTATTATTTTGAGGATGCCTCTCACAAGCACATGTGTGGTCCTTTCCAAATTAAGAAAATATTTCTATTTCCTAAAAAAAAAAAAATAAAAGACAAAAAAAGGAACAATTAGAGAAACATAAATGCAAACTTTAAATCTGTACGTGCCACTACATAAATGTATATATAGATATAGATATTTTCCTTTATCTTGACCATGATATGGAGTCAAATGTAAATGTGTTTGTGAGTCATGAATAGTTTTTTTAATAGTCAAATTGTTTTTAGAGTATTCATAGTTTAAATCGATTGTTGCTATGTATGGCATAGATACGTTGTTACAAGTATTTAGATTGCTAAGCAGGTTAAATACCAAATTGGGTGTAAAAAAAAGTGTGGCTTGACATTTGTATTCGAGAATTCTGAGTATGACACGATAACAAAATATCTTTTCTGTTCTCTCTCTCTACATCCCAATGATATACCCCTCTTCAATGCCACTATATAAGCAAAAATAAACTCTTCAAGAACAAATACTACAATAAGCTCGAATTTTAGCAGACAGTAAGTCACACCTTTTTTTTTTTTTCCTATTGTCCATTGTTTTTCTCAAAAAAAAAAAAAAGTTCAGTAGCACACAGACCTCCCATTTTTGGGTGGGTTACTCAAGTGAGGCGCATTAGACTGTCTCCACGCTCGGTCAGAAAGTATATAAAAGTATAAATTTCATGTTCCCCCACCCAAAGAGATGTATTATAAATAAAATAATACAAATCATGCAATCTACAATCAAAGTATTTATTCACTTTACCAACGAACCAACCCTCGAATTTGATTTTCTTCAGGATAAATTAACCTGGACAAACCTCCTTACGTTAATTGAATGTTCACGTCGTCTGGGCTCTCCCGGTATCCTTTACTACAAGCAGGACAATACCATCCAGACCTTATCAACTCAATCCCAACTGGCATCTCTCCTTTTACCCACGGATGAGATGAAAGGTCTTTGTCTCTATGCTCAAGCAGGACTCGTACGTGACCCTGTTCATGTCCTCCCCAGTCATGCCTCCCTTCGTTTATCTCGGTTCATGGAACAACACAAGGAAACCATCGCCTCCCATCCTCGTCTTTCCAAATGGGTAGATGTCTTGGATTCCTCCATTGCAAAGGATACCCAAGGTCTGCAGTTTGATCATGAGTTCAAAATACTCGAGGCTTTATCTACTGATACGAATGGAGAAACAGAGGTTCGTCAAGAGCAACCCAAACAAAAGGCCCTCTTTACTTTCTCTATAAATACAAGTGCTTTATTCCGTCAAGAACCATTTGGCGGCAGAGAGTTTGGTGGTGGTGGTGGTGGTGGTGGTGGTGGTGGTGGTGATAGGGGAAATTCTGCTGAGAAGCACCAACCTTTGGGTGAACAAGGTGCCCAGAAGGGTGGTTTACAGGACTTGGTGGTAAAGATAGCTTTGTTGGTCGTCATGGTGCTTTTATTAAAGAGTCTGGTAGAAAACCTGATGCTTTTGGTATTTGTTGTGGCTCGAGGTATGCTTACTGCCGTAGAGAGTTATGCCATGGGTATGGATATGATGAAACGTCAGCTAGTCAACAGTTGGCATCATGTGAAGAGTATCATTTATTAAGCAGCACCAATGACGCCTTTTTTTTTTTTTTGTATTACATCATAAATAAATAAGGAGCTACTACGCTTTTTTTTTTTTTTTTTTTTAGTTTGTGTGTGTATGGGGTGATTGTTAAAAGATGTCAATCAAAGATTAGGGATAATTATGCATGATTGCCAGTCTAAATTGAATTCGCAAAATGTGGAGTGACAAAATAAAAAAAATAAAAAACTCCGCCCACGGAAGAAAGAAGAAAATAATTTTGGGCGGTAAAAGGGGGAAAGCCTTTTTCATGCTTTTTTCTCTTAAAAATAATTCCCGCTATTTACCAGTTGCTGAAAAAATATATCGGGTTTAATTTTTATTTTTTTTTATTTCAGTGTGCTTTCAAAAAAAAAAAAGTAGAAATTCAAAGGGAGGAGGAAAGAGAGAGAGATTTGTATTGTCTGAGTTTACTGGGGGTGGTGGTGGTGGGGGGAGACACGGAGAAATCCGGCGGGTGTTGAGGTGGACTATAAAAATAAAAGAAAATTTTCTCTTTCTCTCTTTTTTTTTTATCTTTAAAAAAATTATATTTTTCTTTTTAAAAAATAAAATAAAAAATGTCTACTGCTAAATCAAGTAACCCTTTTCATGGCTGGAATTACTTTGATCAATTAGGAGAATCATCATTTATGCCCAACTATTATCAACAAGAAATGGAACCCACTACCAATACATTTCGATCCCTGTCACCCAAATTATATCAACAACAAAAGACAACAGATTACTTTTTTGAAACAGATCCCGAGTTATCCGCAGATGATTCAGATGCCCTGTATGAAGCTACCTTGCTCAATTCAGACTATTTTATAGAAAAATCCGTCATTGTCCCTCCAACCACCACCACGAATTCTGTTGATCGTTTACGTCAATTACTCTCTCATCTCCATCCAAATTATTCCCCTCTGGCTCAAGTTCTCTCAGAATCACCTTCCGTTCGTTCCCAATTTTCAACTTCCACTCCTCCACTTGCTAGTACTGCTGCTACTGCTACTGCTACTACTGCTACTGCTACTGCTACTGTTCCCATGGTCATGGCATTTTCCATGTCCGACTCGCGTGATATTAAAGGCAAAGGAAAGGGCAAATTTAAACCTACCATGTAAATTCTTCTTCTCTTGTATACCCCGTTTCTCCCCTTCCTCATTGTGCTTTTGTGTATAAAATAAACTTTTTTTTTTTTTTTTTTTTGGGTAACTCATTTTTATGTTTGTGAAATCATAATTAATTTGACAGTTTGTGTAACATGGATCCGTGGATTCCTATTGATTGAAACTCGGATCTTCCGAGGATCTCAAAAACACATGCCGTTTTACATAAACACAAACCTTTTACAAAAAAAAAAAAAAAAAAAAAAGCGGTTGCCATCAATAAGAAAAAAAAACCTTTTTTTTTGAAACACTGTTCTCTAAAAAACCCCTTTTATCTTTTTAAAAGGTCAACGACAAAAGAAAAAAAAAAAGGTTATCTGTGGGCGGAGGACAAAAGAGTATAATTCTGCAACTAGGCACGGACCCTGTTTCTCTTTCTCTCTCTCTCCCAAAAAAAATCTAGACTTTCTTTTTTTTTTACAGACACAAACTATTCCAACAGATTTTTTTTTTTTGTATCACTTTTTTTTTTTTTTTTTTAAAATGCAGGATCCAACTGTTGTGTGTGTGTGTGTGTGTGTACAAAATAAAATCTTGGAGCTTCTACCCCCCTTTTTTTCCCCCGTGAGCCAATGAAAAGAGTCTATCGATTCCACATGCAACTATTTATACCATAATGTCCAAGAATAAAAACTGTTTCCTCTCCTATTTCTCTCTTTTATCTTTCTTTTTGTTTTTTTCTATAAAAATGAACAGCTTGATATTCGTATCTAGTTTACTCATCGTATCAATATCAGGATTAAAATTTGGCGATTTATGTGATTCCACCGCACGATATTCGCAAGTAGCATTTTTACCAACTCTCTCTCTCTTTTTTTAAATCAGTATGTTAACCTTTTCTCCTCCTCAAATAGAGCAACATGGCAATACGATGATTCATGTGAAAACGTTTACTTGTTTTGTGATGCTGGCAAGAATAATACATGCGATTACAAGACGTGTTCCAATACAGATTATATTCAAGGGTAACAAAAGAACCAACACAATAACTTTTTTTTATTAATAAAAAAAAATAGATGGGATGAGACCGCATATAAATTTCCTGCTCGTTGTAGTAATCAGATGTATTGCCCTGATAGTGGATCCAGGTGCACTCCGCTTGTTCAAGTAGGCGGTATCTGCGAACTGGTAAAAAAGATGAAATATATAAAATACCCTTTTTTTTATTTGTAACTCATCGTGTTTATCAGCAAAGAGACGATGAATGCAGCGGTAAAGAATCCGTTTGCTTAAATGGAATTTGTTACATTAAGGGATCGCCCTTGGGAGGCAATTGTGGCTCAGACAGGTGAATTTTTTGTTTTTTAAAAATTGCACACACAAAAAGTTTAAACGTATATATATACTTTGTAGGACGGATTATACATCGTATGATGCCAAGGGAGCAGCTCTTCAACAAACCATTATTCGTGACAACTGTACGGAAGGCACGTACTGTAACGATGGACAACATGTATGTGTAGCCTCTGTGGGGCTTGATCATGACTGTTGGCAAGACCGAGAATGTATCTCTGGTACCTGTTCAGACGATGGTAAATGCATGAATGGACCTGATGTATTCCATACGATTGCAAACTGGTTATGGGCGGTTTTAGGATGTTCTATATTTGTCTTTGTGATTCTCACATTAGGAGTTCTTTGGATCCTGCATCGATATCAATCACGCAAAGAACATGAAAAGTCCGCTAAATTCTTTGGTGATAATGATGAATTTTACAAGAAATATCAAATGCAACAGGGTAATGATTCTACTGCTCGTTTGGTCTCGTCTGGTGCAGATATGCCTGACAGTAGTCGTACCAGTGTCGTCTATCTCACTACACCCGATTATAATGAATCAGCCGCACTTGGTACCACTCGACCTTTGAGTTGGCGACATTCGAATCACATTGGTTTAAACACCAAATAGTTTTTTTAATATACATCTTTATTAATTGATACTCCGTCATAGAGACGAAGAAACGGATACTCTCTTTTTTATACCTCTCAAAAAGTGAAATAAACTTTTTTTTTTCTTTTCTGGGGACACAATCCTACCGTTCATGACTAGACACAATGTCTGTCCAGATAAACACGGGGGGCCAACTCTTCTTTTTTTGGTTACATCAGGATGGACTCCATTGGCAATGAACGGTTGTAGTTTATAAAACGTTGGGGGGTGGGGAGGGAAATGGAATATTATTATTTTTTTTTGTATGTGTGAGCACAGTAGTGTTTCAATTCCAAACGTGTAATGAATGAATATAGTATCGGTAGACAAATGAAGAGGGAAACCCAAAGTAAAACCCTTCTCCCCAAAGGAAGGACATCACCCGTGAAGTAAGTAAAAAGGTCGATTGACATATCCACTTTTTATGCAGCTTGTCAATCGATTTTCGAAAAAAAAAAGGATGCATTGACAAAGAAATCAGCCCAAAGGACTATCGTTGTCCGAAATAATTAAAAAAAAACCGTGTATTTTTTTTTTTTTTTGCTATAAAAATCCAATTTTTTTTTTTTTTTTTTTTAAACCTCCCCCCCCCTTTTTCTTTTTCTTTTCTTCTTCTTCTTCTTTCTTCACTTTTTTTATTATAGTTATTATTGCACACATGATGTTACCACAATTTGGATTTATTGTAGCTCAGGCAGGAGCGGATTCTCATAATTTACCTACACCCCCACCTGTACCTGCACCCAGTAACAGTGCAAGTGCTTTGGCACCATTGTTACATGGGAAAGGGTTTAGTTTTGGACATGCAAGTTCATCCAACATGTCAACAGCAACTGATGTGGGTTATTACCGCAATAATTATAATTCTAGTCTCCCCTTTTATTCGCGACAACCTTCACCACCAACTTCATCTCATGTCATTCAACAACAACAACAACAACAACAACAGCAACACATACAGCAGCAGCAACTGCCTATGCAAGTTACACCACCTCCTCCTCCACCTCCGCTCAACACTTCTACTACCACCACCACTACTACTTCATTCTTATATAATCATAAAGAAATTATGCCAAAGGGTTTCACTCCCATCATTGATAAAAAGAAGAAAGAATCGCCATGGTATCGTCAACCACCTCCTTATTATGAAGAGGAATTACAAGATCAGAACACTAAATGGCACGGTAAAATTACATCCCTTCTCTCTACTCTTTTTTATATCAGTCTTTTTTTTTATTCATCTATGTCGCTTAGATAAACTCTCGTCAAAACAAGAAGTAAAAGAATACAATGATCTGATGACTTGGATGGATAATGAGTTTTGGGAACAAGCGGACGAGTAAGTCATTATCCCACGTGCGTCCACCTAAACAAAGCTAATTTTTATTTTTTATTTTTACACTCTATTTTATAGAATCTATCAAGAAAAATTATTAAATCTACAAACCGAACTACTCAACATTCAAAAAGGTATATATACATATAGATATACACCCCACTCACAATTAAAACAAAAAAAAAAAAGACCAAAAAAAAAAAAAAAAAAAAACTTTCTGCTTAAAACGTTTTTCCATTCATCTAGGAACTCATTCGGCATTCAGGGAAATGATTGCTGACTATGAATTCAAGAGAGAAAAAACAATTACTGATGCAGAATGCTTCATGAAGTATCAAATTTCATTTATCGAGCAATATTTCGATCAAGACATCAATGCATTGGAAGATGAATACGAGGTAATTCACTTCTTTTCTCTATTTGCCATCTACCATATTAAAAAGATGTACTTGACAGATTGAAAGAAGACATTTACAAGATACCTTGATTACCTCTATTGAAGACAGAAGAAGACAAATCAAAGACGATAAGGAAGACACCAATGGTAATAGTATTCTTTCTCTCTTTGTATTTTGTTACTGACACACATACTAGAAAGCGAAGAGGGGAATGTGCGTACAAAACGTACCCTAAGAAAAAGAAACGCCGATCCCACTGCATTAAGAGCAGAGCCATTATCAAAAAGAAGAGCCGTTAGACCAAGTACACTTCATAATATACATACTATCTCACCAATAGAAGATGAAGAATTAGAAAACGAATACTTGAATATGAAGGCAGGTAAAATCCAATTGTAAACACTCTAGGACACCTTTCTCTCTCTCTCTCTCTCTTTTTTTTTTTTTTTTTTTTTTTCTTTCTTTCTTTTCCGCAATTAAAATTCCAGAAACAAGTAATAAACTATTTTTAAGGTGTAACAATAATAATGTACATATTAATATACACATTTGTTTATTTGTATACATTTCAACAACAACAACAACAACAACAACAAAAAAAAGGGGGGGAAAAAAAAGTTTTATGTATAAATGATATAAAAAGAGAGAGAGTGCGATAGAAATAATAATAATAAAAAAAAAAGAAGTGTGATGTATTTACAATTTATGCATTTAAAAGTGGAGTGCGTTCACTTGGGGGTATATTTGATTTAGATGATTCAGTTTTGTGACAAATATCAAATTTACAAATGGGGCACTAATAAAATAGAGAGAGAGAGAGAGAGAGAGGGTTAATCAATCAACCAACAACAAAATAAAGAGTCAAAAAACATACAAACTTCTTGCGTGTGGTAAGCCAAATATCAATGCATCCCTTATGAAATTCATGCTTACAAGGTAAAGTCCTTATTGACTCACCTTCCTTGTAATCTTCAAGACAAATGGCACATTCAGTATGCTCTGTATCCACAATCTTTTCACGTCGAAATACATAGGTGGGTAATTTGGCCACAAAATTCGTGGGCGCAATGTCATTCTTTCGACGTTGGCGTTGTCTTAATTGCCATGTCAGGTAGATAAATAGCATCATCACAGCAGGTGATAATACAACCACTAACAGCATATCTAAAAGAGGCCTAAAAAAAAGTATTTAAAATTGTGTTCCCCCCCCCCATCGTCATCATTAAGGGTTTACTTTACCATGTCAATAAATCATCTCCTGATAATGTAACTTGTACAGCTGCAGTACGATTATTTTCAAATAATTGTAAAAGTGCTTTATATTGATGTTGTGCTACGAAAACACTGGGTACATGAATTTGGGAAGTATCACCTGTTTAAAATAATAAGTATTTTCTTTTAATCTTTCTTTCTGTCCATCCCCTTTCCCCCCACCAGAATGAATGGATTACCTGGTGCATACATTGTAACCCAGCCATTAAAATGTCTATCACCTACAATCACCGCAATAGCTCCACTATCTTGCATTGACTTGACCTTTTGCAAAAAAGAGCATTGTCCTCTTTCAACAAGTGCGATCCAATCTTTAATAGAAGGTGTGGGAATCACATTACAACCATAAAGATCACCATCCGTTGGTGCCAACATATTACCAAGGAGACCCAACTCTCCATCGATCCTAGGCCCAAATGCTGCTATACGATCAACCAGCGTATCATTGGTTTCCTAATCAAGGTGTTAGCAACTCCCCCCACTTATACACATATAAATATAAAATAAAAAGAAGAGAGAGCTTTTTACAAGTATTGTGATTGTCGCTTGACAGGGCTGTTGTATTGACAGTAAGAATAGCAGGAATAAACTGATGCCCATGATGGATAACTTCATTTCGGAAATGTCTTATAAATGCTGAGAGAGAGAGAAAAAAAAAAAAAGAAAAGGTAAAAAAAAAAAGAAAAATATTTAGTGTATTTTAAAAAAAAGAAAAATCACACACACGCACACTTTTTATAGTAATTTTATTTTATCTGGTGATTCTCTTCTCCTTCCCCCCACATAATCCAAGTACAAGCATTTTCGAGATTTGAATCTAGCTTGGGTACAGCCAAAGCAGTCTATACATAATTTTTTTTAAGTGAGTAATGGAGATAAATAAAAAAATTATGCCTTTTGTTTACCAAGCCGTAGACTCCGTTCTTGTCATCCGTCAACACCAAATGTTGATTCTCGTCGTATTTCCATAATTGCTTTTTACGATCAGTCCCTTCGGATGACCTTCTCGACTGATAAATGCACTGATCTTTTAATTTATCTTTTTCAACTCCCAGCACTACATATAAATCTCCCACACATCAATCTTTTTTTTTTCATCCTCCTACGCCCCCTTATTGATTTTTAATTTCTTTTTTTTTTTTTTTTTTACCGCATCCAGAGTGTTTATTCACCAGATAGCCTTGATTGTAACACCACAACTGATGACGATTCATTACCCCTATTTTCTTCTTTGGGCGTAATTCAACTCGAATCGATGGCTATATTTTTTTATGCATCTTAAGTCACTTATTTTGGTGCTTCAACAAAATAAAGATTTACCTGCATACTCAGACTAGACACTGTCAGTACGTGATCTTGTCGACTGGGACATTGAATATAAAACCATCCAACAGGGAATTGACTCATTTATAAAAAAGAAGGAAACAGGAAGAGGATAAAAATAAAACTTGAGTGACGTACTTTTTAAACATACAAAAAAAAAAAAAAAAAACTTCCACCGTCACTTCAGGTTCTTTTTTTTTAATCATCAGTGAACTTGATTTAAACAGTAATGACCTTCATGGTCAACGTTGAAATAAACCCCATTCCTACAGCCCCCCATAACCCTTTCCCTGTCGTTGTCCAACATCTGTTAAAAGAAACGTTTTTTTTTTTATAGAGTGTTGAATATCATCTTTTTTTATTTTATTTTATTGTGGGCTCCGTGTGTTGCATACAATTCAGAAAAATAACGCACGGTCTCGCAGCAAAGAGAGAGAGAGTAATAAAATAAAGTGCTTTTTTTCAGGATAAAAAGCTGTTTAGATGTTCAACTTGGTGTGACGCCAGTTACGTCTCTTAGCGTTCCAACTATCATTTTAAAATATATAAGTTTTCCATGAAGGACTCCAACAATAAAGAAAAGGGTCTTACCGGATCTTGGTGTCAGTCTTAAGACGGAACCAGTGGGGCAAAGGACGGTTTTGCTTCTTGGCCTTGCCAAGCTTAACCTTGGTGATGAAAGTCTTTTGAGAAGGCTACAATTTAAAAAAACACATGTCAGCATTCCCTTTTCTTATCCCCGCATCCCCCATTCGAGTATATAAAAAAGTCGATTCCATCCGTTGTATCATCTATTCTTTTTATTTTTTCTCTCTTTCTTCTCCCCAACCCAGCATCTCATCCATCATCTATCTCTCTCTCTCTTTCCATTTCATGTTTTCTTACCATTTCGACAGGCGATGTATGCGAGAATAGGAGGGACTCTATCACGGCCAGCTTTCATCCTCTTCCCATATACTTTTCCCCAGTGGGAGTTGAAATCTTATTTCAGAAAAAAGGTCCGGTCCGCATAGATAGAAATCCGACCCGGACACATCTCTCTTTTTGTATCCCCCTCTTTTTTTTTGTTTTTTTTTTGCATGAAAAATGTTTGTTTTGGCAAACAACAAAAAGTTAAAAAAAAGCTTTTTTTTTTTTCGGGTGTAAAGGAAGTAGACAAATTTTACATTCTTTGGAAACATTTTACCTAAATAGAAAGTGTGTTGAATCAGAAATCAGCTTTCTAGTGCTTTGATGAAAAAAGTACTTCGAAACTTTCACACCTTTTCCTTCCACATATTAAATTTTAGCTTATGGCGGCCTCAACCTAGGACAGAACCTCTTTTTTTTGTGCCTAGAAAAAAAAAAAAGTTGGGATCTGCCATCACGCTCATCCCCTTCCCCCGGTGGTGTGACCACTATCTACCGGAACGCCGTGGTAAAATAAGACGAGATTTCATACAGTCGTTCCCAGCGCCAAAGGGCGGTTTTTTAAAAAAAAGGGCGGGTAACAAATTTCGTTTTTTTTTTTTTTTTTTTTTTTTTTTTTTCTTAATAAGATGACTACTCGTTTTTGTTATGAAAATAGTCAAGGTAGAATAATTGATGAGCAAGGGAATGATGCTATGGACTGAGATGAGGAAGTCACTCCCTTTCCATTTAAAAACTTTGGACCGGTATAAGAGAATATTGCGAAAAGCAAGAGGATGCACAGTTTATCATCTAAAGAAAGACATAGAAAAGCTTGATTTTGATATGGAGGAAGTTATAGCCGTACTTAAAAAATCAGATAAAGATCTATCATAGATACTCAAATGAGCATTCAATTATCAACATGAGGCCTCTTAGTGAATGGTCATTAAAAAGGGACAGGTCGGCTGTTACGGCTACTCCTAACCGGAAGGGGCTGTTTCTCATCACTGTATTAGCTACTATCACGTCAACGAAATCCCCCCCCCCAAGAAGAATGCTCAAAGTGAATTCAAAATCGATTTTGATAATCGTAAAAGGAAATCACCAGCTCGAACCAAAAAAAGCCGACTTCAAAAGGTACTGTCACTGGTCCTGAGCTAAAGGTTATTAAACTATAATGGATAATGCAACCCATTCATACAGCGGACCAAATTGATGAGATAATAGTTGCAAGAGTTTACAAGAGTATCTACCTCTCCTTAATCTCCTGAACTTAATCCAATAGAGCAGTTTTTGGCAATTGTCAAAAATAAGGTTAAACGTAATTCATTCGAAGCTATCGAAAGAAGCTTGTAATAAAAAAAACCAATTGCCTACCATAAAAAGAAGGTAATTGGCTTCAAAAAAAAAAAATCTCTAATTCTGCAACCTCTCCAATTACCGCCTGTATTCGCATTATGCCAGGCCACTTTTCTTGTATTATAAACCCTGTAGTAAAGAAGATTCTTAACTTGGTTTAAGACTTTTAACGAATTTATAGTCTTCAACTCCTAACTGTATCATTCAGGTTATCAAGTTTTAGTATAAATATACCAGCACTCCATGCAGTAGTTAGTTCTGGATCTTTTTTTTTTTGAACTTATTCTTTTTTGAAGAGTGAATTCCACGGCACCCACTGGCACCCACTGTAAATTATTGGGTAAATAATCCTTTATTCAAGTTTTGATTTGTACAAAAAAAAAGATTATATACATAGCTTTATAAAGAAAAAAGCCCTAGTTGGGAAAAGGGTAAAGAAAAAAGGGTAAAGAAAAAAGGGTAAAGAAAAAGGGCATTATTGCTCCCCAACAAGTTCTGGTTCAGTAGCGTTAAGATCAACTTCGAAATCCAGCTTCCAATCTGATATAATTTCTTCATTGCCGTATGTTCTGATCGTAGTATTTTATCAACTTGCTCTTGCTCCAACACCAACACCTAAAGAGTGAATAAGTTAGCTTTGTTTTCGCCCAATGTAAAAGGGAAATAAATACCAACCTGTTTGGCGCGGCAAGTTTTGTTTATTTTACAAGGTTTGATATAAGTTGGACTATATGATATAGTGTAATTGCTGGGACGAAAGATGAATACACCACCTTCTTTCTTTTCACTATTGCGACTTTATCCGCTGTATTTGAGACCTTATCTTGCCCATGTAAAAAAAACATGCTTCGTGAAGCAAGTACATTGGTGATTCTTGCTCGTGGTCCAATGATCAGAGGTGGTGATTCCTGGTGATAAATCAATGCTCGGAGATGGTGATCCTCGGTGGTGAATCAATGCTGGGAGGGGGTCATTCTTATTGGTGAATCAATGCTGGGAGGGGGTCATTCTTATTGGTGAATTAAGCTATCAATTCAAAAACTTGCATAAAGTCAAATATTTCATCGAAACAAATCGGTACATTTGCACTTCTCTTTTCTTCAACCACCAGCTTCTTTTCTTCATCCATGAATAGTATATAAAAAGTGTCAACGTTCTTTTAATACACTGAATACCGATTGTCTTGAGCTTGCAAAATGGTTTGTAGCTTGCATTGGGTCGTTTATACGCTTTCAGAACAAGCATGGCAGTGAGTGATTTAGTTAACCTCAAGCTATCGTCATAAGTGTGTTGGATATTTTCTTCATGGCCACCAGAGGAACACTCGACCACAATTCGTTCTTCATCTACAACACCAGTTGTCGTTAAATATTCAATTCCATCAGCATAATTCGGGTTTGAGATTTCTGAAAAGGCTGTGCTAAATCACACATATAGATTATACATATAATAAATTCATATCTCATCATCACTGATAAAATGATAGCTAAATCATAGTTAGGCATACAAAAGGAATTCGCTAAAGCCGGTCACTATTTTAAAGTGTCACGGTATCGTAACACCAATGTCCAAACCTAAGACCTGTTATTGTTATTATTTCTCTATTGACTATGCGTAGCATTAATTGTCCAATATAGATATTGTTATTGATAGCATACTCATATTGTTAAGAGCAGTATCCTCAGCCTCGTCCATTCCATTTATTATAAGAACTCTTTATTTTTCCTCTTCTTAAATTTTTAGTTAACTTTAACATCAATAAACTCTGACAAGAATTCTAATTGATCCTATTGTTTTTTTATACCTTTTTTTTTTCTGCAAAACTATCCTCTTTAAGCCTACTTTTGCTACAAAGGCTACTGATAAAGTTACAGCTTGAAGGCTCATTATCATCTTTTCACCCCTTTTAAGAAAAAAGTGTTTAATAGCATTTTTTTTTTCTTATATTCAACATGCTGCATAATAATTCTTACCATTCAAAATGAACGGTGCCACTATTATCTGCAAAATAATTGATAATCGGCATAACCCGGTCGAAAAAGAAGGTGCGTTCATGATTAGAAGGAATAATAGGAGATTTACGCCTGTACTTGGACACAAAGTCTTGTAGAGTGTACCGGATGGTACGCAACAAGCATCTTTCTTGATCACTTGCGGTAACGGGTACTTTTTCCAAAGTTAAAATCGTCTAATTTATCCGTGTCTTTGCATTTCAGAGCCAGATGAAGGATACGCAAGGATTCAGGGTGTCGATTTAAAAGATACAAGTAGCCGTTGATCCTTGTTGGTTATTGGCAATTACTGTATCAGCATCATTATTTATTGGATAACAAGATCCTTGAAAACGAAAGGAGTACATTGGAGATAAACTTTTCATATCTTCCATAGTGAATTTTGGGCCGTTCTGTATGTTTATGTTTGAGATAAGCTGGAAGTCGAATGTGTGGACCTGTTTACCCTTATTTAAAGAGATCTATGAGACAAAAAACGTGAGAAACATTCGTAAAGTAACGTAAGGATGAAGGGGGGAAAAAAGGAAGAAAAAGAAAGTAAGAAGAAAGGTGGCTGATTATTAAATGATAAAAAAAAAAAGAGCATAAACAGCTCAATCAAGCTTACCTTCTTGTTGGTGCAGTTATTACTGTTGCTATTACTACTTGTTCCTTCTTCAATTGGTCGTTTGCGCAGAATATGATTAAAAAAGTGCGTTCCCAGTTCTTTAATACAACCAAAAAGTTCGTGGCAACCAGAGCATTCAACGCGACGAGAATACTTGACTTCCGGCTAGAAATAATGTTAAATAAGGCTTACATTATTATTTATAAACTTTTTCGAAATGAATTTGTTACTGTGAAATGTGGTCAGTACAACAGATTTCTCAATATTACCAGCTACTTACAAGTTTTTGCCACGCTTTTGAGTTTTTGATTTTTATTCAAAATTAAGCTCTATAGGAGGTGAGTAAAATCAACAAAAAGTTAATGTTAAAATGAAACAAAACGCACATACTGTGGATTCTTAAAATGTGATCACGTAGGTTGCGTGAATTAGACACTTCTTTCTGACACAAGTGACAGATGTAAACCACGAGCACGTTTTCCATTTACGTTTTTAAGCGAGCAACAATTTTTTTTTAAAAAAAAGGAAGGTAATCGGTTGTGAAGGCGTTTTGAAGCCAATTACCTTCTTTTTATGGAAATGTCTAGACCTCCGTATTTTTTTCAAACGTATTTTTTTTTATACTACTTACAGAAATTCTGGCCAGAAGACCAGCAGGCCAGTATGCTTACGACTATTTACAGTGCAATCACAGCCATTCACGGTTCTTGAGTTCCAAAAACTCAAGAACCCTGCCAAAAAGGTCGCCCTCCTATAGCAAAGACTAGCCGCAGCCGCAATATCACAATATATCTTTTTTTCAATTTAGCCTCTTTTCAAAGAAACAAGAGTCACTACTAAACTAACCTTTTTATGTGATCTGTTACTTTCATACGATAAAAGAAGCATGTTAAGAGAAAAGAAAAGGAGAAGAATAAAGTGTGTGAACCAGCTTTATTTATAGATAAACAAGCTTATGTCAGGATGATTTGATTTGTCTATCTTATCATCCATAATGTTTGAGCCTTTACTTAAAATGGAAACACTTGCAAAAACCTCCCAAGCAAGTCAGAGCTTGGTAATTGTCTATCTGCGTTCCAATAGTAGCTTGTAATGACAGTGAAGCAGATTTTATGGAAAACAGAAATAGATCATCCCATGAAGTTTAGATGATATGGCATGTCAATCGACGTGTAGACCATCGCGTGATTCTAAAAAATACGTTTATAGAAATAAACATTTTTTTGGCTGATCATTATGTGAAGTAACCCTAAAAAAAATAAAAAACAGAATTAGTTCCTTGACTGGCACCGATAATGTAAAAGGTCTTTGTCCTCTTCTCCCCGCACAATCATCATAATTCGCCTGCTCTCTTCCACTCCCAGGACAACACTGGAGCTGTGTAGTGTGGTCTTTTGTTCCCTCCAGACACAAATTGCTGCTAGGGGATTACCTTGTCTTATCCTGGTACAAACCGGCTAAAGTTCAGCTTATCACAGCGTACAATTTTGAACACTTTTTAACTTGCGAACAGATTGATTTTTTGGTGCAGCTGTATGGGGTCGAATCCCCCCCATCCCTTTGATGACCATGTTACGGTTTTCAAAATTATTGTATGCCGACAATAACATGACATATTTGTAGGCATTCGTCTGCAATCGTTGTTTGAATACTGTAACCTATTTTCGGCCGTAAACAATGTGTTTTTATTATTTTTGCACTCAATTTATATCTCTATTTACTAAAGAGATTATAGGGCAAATGTGTGATCGAAATAAGATTTGCTTGTCTAAAAAAAATAATACCCAGAAGCTATTTTTTTTTTTTTTTTTTTTTTTTTGGTCTGCCGAACTAGCTTGAAACCATACGTTTTGTTCATTCAATCTTGTCTAAATGACAATATTAGCATTTATCTGCACCAAAATAATACAGGCCTTCCTATTTATACACTCTAGACTTGGCTACATAGAGTTGTCCTCATAAGACTTTTTGCTGTCCAAGTGAATTCCAACACAATCGATGGTTGCCCTTTGAGACCTGTGAAATAAGTGGAGGCAAAAGCGGGAGCGATTGGGTCCTTGTATAGCTTGTGTTTGGAATCTGTCACTGCTGATTCTTTGGATTCAATAAATGGAATCGCTACCATTATAATAACATGGATGTTTCCGAAAAAAGTTAAAGAAGACGTGGGATGATTGGGTTTAAAGTAAGCATCAAATCAATGATTAAGTTTTAATCAGACCTTTTATCAGCATATTGTTATTCAGATGACAATCAAAGGTGTGTGATTAAGTAATATGTGTGATTAAACAAGAAGCTTTTATCAAGACTGTTTCAAGTATGTAATAGTACTTTTAAGAGAGAGTTTTTATATTATACATGGTCTTAATTACGTTGTGATGGATATTTCTTGACGAATTTTAATAAAAATGAAAAGGATCTTATTTGACGGTGTAAAGTGTGTACTATTTCTGATTATAAAAAGAATAGAATTTGTTCACAAAAGGTCAACAATTTATAGAATGGTTTCTTATATAATTAAAGAAAAAAAGAGAGTTGACATAGTAAAATGCTGGATTGAGATTGTTTAAAGTACATATGTTACAATTTAAAAGAAAGTACGGGATTTCGAAAATTACTGAATGTTTCTTAAATTACCAAGATGTTTTTTTTAAGCGAAATAAAGAAAAGAAGTAAGAGCAAGTATGGCTCGGTTGTGATATGTTTTTGAAAGTAAAATATGTCTAAAGTTTATTTAAAAAAAAAGGGGGGATATTTATAGTTGTTTTTAGAAATGGTGTAACCATCGTACTTTGAAAACTCTTCATTATTATCTATGTGTAGTTAAAACGTTTTCTTACATCGTCTAACTTGAGGTAATTCGGGACAGAGGAGCGATTCGTAATACCAAAGAAACGATGCAAAGTCTCACCAGAAATGTTGTGGGCAGCTACGCCGGTGGGAGCAAGCTTGAAAACCATTAAAAAAAAATTAGATATTTGCAGATCATGTTTAACCAGTATTTACTTACTTTGTATCCCTTCAGCTTGTAGTGCCTTTCTAGCATCCGTAAAACATATGACTTTCCTGTACCTGCAGCACCAGAGACGAAAACAGTGCAGTTGTTTCTGAGCTCATATACTGTTTGCCTGTAAACACTCTTTTGGCTAGTGTTTGCACTATTAAGCATGGTAATTAACTCTTTGCGACAAACATGCATGCCTCTTTCAGCATCTACGACATCGTTGACAGATTGGACATTGATTCTCCGGTGCGCCTCAATACCACCCTCTTCAAGATTGATCAGGTACTCATAATAATCTTTAAATTAAGATAGTCTTATTAATAACAATACGTTTATGAAAAATATAGATATTACCTCTCCATGATTTAATTGGGCCCTTTTCATTTTCGAAAGTTGTATTAAAGATCGGCTTTTTTGTAACAATCTGCTGGTAGTAGAAACTCTCGCCATTCATCTCGCTTTGGCTAAAGGTACGCCATGAAAAAGGCTTGTCCGTGATTAGCTGGTATAAATCCTGCTCACTAAAAACAAAATTCGGCAAAGGACCAGAATGGAAACCTCGCATTACATCGTGGATGTAAGGATTCAAATTCTTGCCGTACTTTCGTTTATAAAAGCAGAAGAATTGTGGCAACGTCAAGCCGGGAGCACCTTCACGCTTCTCATAAATTTCTATTTTCCAAAACGTTTAGTGTTGGTATTTCTTTTTTATTATTATTATCATTGTTTTTAGCCCATTACCAACATGAGTCCTTGCAAAAATATTCACGGAACTACTATCAATATCCTTGATGTCATCACGTAACCTTTTGCTATCTTGACCAAGCAAGCTGGTGTTGATAAATATGACGTTTCGAGAATTGCTGTGCTTTCTCCATCCCAAGACATCGTATGTTGCTTCAACTGCACCAACAATTCTCGTCGCATAATGCTCCTTCTCAGACACATATGAAGTTCTCTTGTAGTACCCCTGGTTTTGTTGTTGAATGTTTTTTAAAAGGATCTTTGCTTCGTAATCATCCTTTGCAAGATACTTTGCCAAATACCGCACTGCTTGTGGTCCATCGTTATACTGAATATCCCATGCTGTTACAAACCCCCCGACGACAAGATTTATCGGCGGATTGTAATTAACAAAGTCATTAGCAACATGTCTATTTTTTCTAAACGCAAAAATGTTCCGTGTCAAGGTCTGTAACGAAAGAAAATACCCCTCGGGTATTCCAATCTACCTTTCTTTCTTTTTTGGAATACCCCGTTTACAATAGCTTTTGTGGGTCAACAAAAGTCAATGAATGTAATGCATAAAAAGGAGTTTTAACTTTTTTGGCATGTGTTTTAATAAGCCACCTGCTACAGATCACATAGTTAACCAATCAAAAATCATTTTAATAGGCGGCAATTTAAGGTTACACGAGTGCCCAATAAACTTTTAAGAAGGTCTTGTGGCTAGAGGTCATCTTTATTACGTGGGATGAGGAAAGTCTGGTCTTTATTTAAATTTTAGTCCTTTTGTTAGATTTATTTCGACATTTTAAATGGGAAATACACTTTTCTGAAACGTGTTATGGAAAAAGAGAGATCTACAAAATCGAGGTACGGTGATCGACGCTTTTTTTTTGACAGAGAGGAGGTTTTTTTTTTTGCGTCACAAAAAAATATGTTCCCATTTGACAGAGAGACATATTTTAAGTTCCATTCTTAGTGATTTGGTTAGTTATCTCAAGGTAGGAGGTTAGAATTTGTGGTTGGTCAGAATAAGTGGATAGCCTCCACATTATCTGTCTCTTGATTTATTTAGCAGGATAAATCAATTTATAAAGACACGATTTTCAAATAAGCTATATGGATAATCATCCATATTCAGTCATAGTGAGCTACATTTTAAAACAAACGACAAACGCTTTTTTCAGGGAAGTAAAACCCGTTCTCTTTTAAAAGGCATTGAAACCTCAAGGAGGGTAAGTTGTACCTTAATAAAAATTTAAATTCACCTTTTTCTTGATCCCTTAAATTTAAAAAAATTAAGGTGAGTGCGAAAGCTCCTTTATTACATGAACCAGTGAATAAGACAATTCTATTACAGAGTTGACAGAACTTGAAGCAAGCCTACCTACAAAAAAAAATCATCATGTTATAGTAGGGTCTTCCGATATTGGTTTCTTCATCATAAAAAAAAAAGATCATTGGCCCTTTGGTTGTCTTAAATAACATGTATATGTTTGAGCACCCTGGTTACTATTTATCTGTACACAATAAGTCAACCGTCTTTCTAACCATTGCACTACAAAAAAAAAGTTGTATTTTATGCCCATTTGTATTATAATTGGTCATAGAATGAATTTTAGAGATAAGCAATAACTGTGAGTATTTATATTTGCAGATAATAAATAATATGCATATTTTTATTCAAATGAAAAATAACAATAGTAAAGATGAAATCACGTGTGAGTGGTACCATAGCAAACTTCTATACAAACAAGTTTTTTTTTTATGAAACATGTACGGGTATGCCGTCCCAAAAAAAAAGCATGTGATATATATGTCGAACCCTATCATCATCAACACACACACACACACACACAATGACAAAATGGTGTTGAAGTGAGTGAAACAAAAAACTCCGACAAAATCCCCTCTCTTACCCTCTCTTTTTTTAGTAAGAGAGAGAGAGGAATGGTAAAGGAGGAAAACTCCGCTTTTTTTTTTCTTATTGTTATTCTCTCTCTCTCTCTCTCACTTTTTGTTTCTCTCTTTCGTTATTATACATTAGACATCAATGGGTAATTCTATTTCAAAGAGCAAGAAAAAGTCAAGTGGTAAAGGAAAGAAACGTCAGGTATCTAAGCAACCCCAAGCACCACTACCACGTTTAGAGGTGACACCTGTAGATAACGAACATAGTGTGAATACAACGCAATCCGTCAGTTCCATCTTGATTACCTCTTCGCAACATGCCAAGAACAACAATAATAATAACGCTTCAGCTCTTTCTCAATTAAACCCAGATTACCCCATTAAAAAGTCCTCGGACGAGTATAATGAGCAAGATACAGTGGGACCCCAAGACGCTTTTGGAGGCAAAGTAGATAACCCACAACAACACAAATTATTAGCTCAATCCGATTTTTGGCCGCCTAAAAAATCACCTGCCAATAACAATCATTCGTTGGATGTGGAAAATGTAGACCAGAATCAATTGACGGTATCTTCCATGAACCAGTTAACCGTCAACTCGGTTGTTAGTATGAATATGGGGGTATTACCCATCGATGACTATATCAAGCGGTTATTGGATGCAGGGTATGCCTCTAAAGTGTCTAAACAGTTGTGTTTAAAGGGATCTGAGGTGAATTCCATCTGTCGTGCCGCCATGGATATATTTCTTGGTCAACCAGTTAAGGGAATAAAAATGATAGAGAGAGAGAGAGAGAGAGAGAAAAAAAAAAGAGAAAAGAAGGGAAAGAATTAACGTTTTTTTTTTTGTTGTTGTTGCATGTTTGATGAAAGCAGTCCTTACTTGAACTTTCTGCTCCTGTCAAAATAGTAGGTGATACACATGGTCAGTATACGGATTTAATTCGATTATTTGAAATGGGTGGATTCCCACCCAGCTCCAATTACTTGTTTTTGGGCGATTATGTGGATCGTGGTAAACAAAGCCTGGAAAACTTTTTGTTGTTACTGTGTTACAAGATTAAATTTCCAGAAAATTTCTTTATCCTGCGTGGAAATCACGAGTCTGCCAATGTGACAAAAGGTAAGTTCATAAAGGAAATAGGAGAGAGTCAAATTGAAAAAAAAAGGAGACTGATTTTTAGACAAAAAGTGTATGGATTTTATGATGAATGCAAGCGAAGACTGAGTCCAAAAATGTGGAGAAGTTTTGTAGATGTGTTCAATACATTACCGATCGCCGGATTAGTAGCGGGTAAGATCTTTTGCGTTCATGGAGGTCTCTCCCCCTCGTTGCATAGTATGGACGATATTCGCAATATCCAGAGACCGACCGATGTACCCGATTATGGCTTATTGAACGATTTACTCTGGGCTGACCCTGCAGATATTAACGTTGATTGGGAAGGTACAAAATAGTTAAAGAGAGAAAATGAGAGATCGCGATCACTGACATAAAAGTAGATAATGAAAGAGGGGTATCCTACTGCTTTGGTAAGAAGGTAATCAATGAATTTTTAGCCAAATTCGATCTCGATCTTGTATGCAGAGCTCACATGGTTGTTGAAGATGGCTATCAATTCTTTAACGATAGAACCTTGGTAACGGTCTTTAGTGCTCCTAATTATTGTGGTGAATTTGATAACTTTGGTGCCATCATGAGTGTATCTGAAGAACTCTTGTGTAGTTTTGAATTGTTAACTCCATCCGATCACCCACTTGCTAAACGATAAAATACCCTTTGCAACCCCCCCTTCTCTCTATGCTTGTCTAAAAAAAGAAGCAACCCCATCCCCACCCCCACAATTCTGTTGTCAAATAAAGTAAAATGTCAAAAAAGTTTATTTGTGGCACAACTTTTTTCATATCATCGTTCAAATTGAACCCCCTGCGAGACAAACATAAAAAACTTGGAATGTCTTTTAAGAAGGGGATTGCGATTTTTTTTTTATTGGTATCTATCATCACTATGGTATCATTTATACTTTTATGTTATTCGGAAGGGGAGTATACGTATCTTTTTTTTTTTTTCCCATGAAGCAATCCTAAAATAAAAACAAAATAAAAATATTTCTAAATTGTTCTTTTGAAAGAACTATTACCTTCTTTTACCTTCTTACCCAAAGAGTGTTTTAGATCTTTTTAGAAAGAGAGAGAAAGAGAGGGATGCAAGGCAATTAAACTTGTGGAGTAAAAATAAATAATCCGTGCACACATCTTTACTCCAAAACTGCCCTTTCTTTTTGGGTAATTGTTTTTTTTTTTTTTTTTCTTGTCAGATTCAAAATAAAGCTCAAAGGATTAAGATTGAAACATTATAAATAGAGTCTATTTCATTTATTCTCTCTTTCTCTTTCTCTTCATATTTTATTTATTATCTTTTTATTTTTTATTTGCAGTTATTTTTCAATTATAATTTTTGGGTTTTACGTATGCCCCCCACCCCCACCCCCAAAGCCCCCACCCCCCTTTTTTTTTCACTCCACCCCTGAGGGATAATTTATGTTTTTTACAATAGTAAAATATATATTTATATAAATACGGAAATGATCTCAAATATGGGAGTTCCATAGTAGGGAGGAGTTGATCCAATTATTCTCTTATTCCGAATAGAAAACAAGGAGTAACTTACTTGAATATTTGTTCTAATTGAAAAAAAAAAATTAACATTGGTAATTGTTTAAAACTTTAAAAAAAAAAAAAAGTGATAGCCCAGCCAATGACTACCCATCAAGGAGATTACAAAAGAAACAAATCCAGTTGCTTGTTGTTTTAATAAGGGGTGTTTATATTTAAAATAAAACAACCATGACGATAAATGAAGTATTACTATCAAAAAGAGTAGTGAATAACCAAAAAAAAAAAAAAAAAAAAAACAAAAAAAAAAAGAAAGGGGTGGGAGGAGGGAAGGTGGAGGTGGGGGTGGGGTGAGGTGGGGGGATGACTATTTGATTGCACTTACTTTAATATCATATTATGTCAGTATGCATCAAAATCTAGTCGATTGCAAATAATGACGGAACTTGAGCATTATTTCCATTAGAATGTTTACCTTGTTCATATATAGGAATAGAAAGAAGAAAAAAAGAGAGCATCAACCCCAAAAAAGAAAAGGAGGTTAGCCAATTTCCAAATAATAGAGAGGGGTCAACGGTTGTATCCCAGATTAGAAAAAAAGATTACTCTTCTTTAGTGTCTACCCAACCATTCTAATCTAACAAGATACCTTTTTGTAACCATGCTTTTTTTTTTTTTTGTGATCCGGAACTCATGTGACCGTGCAGACAAAGTAAATAAATGTTGTCGTATAAGCATGGTGTAAACAATAAAGACATCCAACCCCCAAAAAAAGAGTACTCGGATACCATTCAGGTTCACGTGAAAAAGCTTAATGTGTTATACAACGATGGTACAACCCAATGTTTAAAAAAGAAAAGAAATCCCCTTTTTATTTAATAATATGTACAAAGCAGCAGCAGCAGCAGCAGCAGCAGCATAAAGCATAAAGCATGAAGCAGGCTGGTATTAAGATTTTAATAATATCAGTCAGTAGACAAATAGCTTCTTTTTCTTCTGTGTTATTCCCTTTCTACCATCATGAATTATTGATTTAGATCGACAGCAATATAAAAAATTGAGTTGCAATCGATTTACACGCATGATAATTCTCTATTAATTTATACGGCTGAAAATGTGCATTCCTTTTGACCGTTACTCCTTAAGCACTTTAAGAGTCTTTCGAGGGGCAAGTCTGATTCATGTCAAATAAAGATAGATAGGTTCGTTTTTAGAGTGAGGGGCTTTTCTCTCTCTCTCTTTCTCTCTTGGGGGGAGGAGGAGGGGAAAATCCTCAAGAGAAAGACATGGAAAGAGAGAGAGAGTCAAGGAAGAAAATAATCTGTCTTTTTTGCACAAGGAGTGAATAAACTTAAAGGGGATAACACCCCTTCTTTTTTCCCCGCCCCCACACACACACTACAAAAACCCTTTGTATTTTTCTGTTTTGAATCTTTTTTTTTTTTTTTTTCCTTACTTTAAATTTTTTTTTATATATTTTTATTTTTTTTTAAACTACTACTTACTACTAAGAACAAAATCAAAAGAAAAAAAAAACTACCTTTTTTAATATATAATGCATCCTCAACACAATACTACGAACCCTTACTGTGAGCCAATTTATGACTTGAGCTTGTTCAAGAGGGATATGGAACAAGATTACATGTTTACAGATGACCAAGTATTCCTTTTAGCGCAGGTCTATTATCCACCTGCCGACTATCCACCTACTGTGGAAAGCTTTAGCAATCATAGCAGCACTGCCTCTTCTCCTGAAATGATGGAACATAACTTTCAATCCTATCTCTCACCCGCCCTTGTGGAGCCTGACTTCTTTCCAGTGGTGGACCTGGATCGCTTTCTTTATGCTGATCATACAGATACTATTTTCCATGGAAACGGTGATATATTTGATATATTACCCACTCGTTCCTCTTACTCCACCAGTTGTACACCATCCTCCTCTCCCGCTTCCTCAACAATACATCACCCAAAGAAATCCAATGATGCTAGACCTTATCCTTGTAAATCATGTAAGCGTGCTTTTGCTCGAAAGCATGATTTACAACGTCATGAACGAGTTCATTCAGGCGATAAACCCTATGTATGTCCTTGCTGTAAAAAGGCTTTTGCTCGTACAGATGCATTAAAGAGACATTTACGTATGGAGGAACATTGTCGAGGTAGTCAAGAAGTGCAAGCCATGAAAGAAACCGGCAGAAGACGCTTTAGAAACCTTTAAACACCAAAAAAAATATTTACACTCATCCCCCCCTTTATAACACAACTCACATTCTTACATAACCCAATCCTTTCTTTATATATATTTATCACAAAAAAAAAAGCTTTCTTTTTTTTTTTTTACTTTATTACTCCCTCTTTTTCTCCACTCATATATAGCCCATACAACCACACTCTTCCTCACAAAAAAAAAAAAAAAGAAAAGAAAAGGAGCGAAACTGTTGACAGTGTTTATGACTTTTTTTTTTTTTTTTTTTTTTTTTTTTTCTATTATATATGTTTAATATGTATATGCCCTCTTCTTTTTTTTTCACTCCAAACTTAGTAGCACAATAACAAATAAAATATATAGATTGATTTATTACATGTAAAAAAAATCCTGCAAAAAAGAGAAAGGGGGTGATGATGTGTGCAAAAAAAAAAAAAAAAAAAACCAGTTTATTTTTAAATGTTTGACAAGATGATCAATGAACCGAAAGAGAAATCTCGGTTGCAGTTCCATCGGATTCATCATCACTCACACTTGTGGAAGCATGCGTGAGTCGAGGCAACACAAGAGAACGTGTAGCCACTCTAGCCTCTTGTTGAGGACTATGCGTAATCCATATACATGTTCTTCCCTTTAATGTCTTTTCTACCAGTAAAGTAGAGTCAGGATCTAACGCAGATGTAGGCTCTATCATTCTATTTCTTTAGTATTTTTTTTCTTTCTTTCTGTCTTTTTCATTTGCTTTTACCATCCAGTAATAAGACTTCAGGATTTAGTGCCAATGCAATGGCTAATGACACACGTTGCATTTCACCGCCCGATAAATAGTTCCAGCTCTCATAGAAATGAGCTTCCGACAAGTTCCAGTCGTTACCAATTTTAATCTTAAATTTAATTATTAGTTTTTTTTTTCCTTCTGCCCCTTTTATTTTGATACACGCACACACACACGCACACACACACACACACGCACACAGATACGCACACGCACACACACACGCACACACACAAACTGTTCTTTCTTTACCTACAGGATCATCAAAATACTTTCCCTTTTGGGAGGCATACTTCTTGGCCATATTGAACAGATCCATGGGCGTACCAGGATGAATGGCAGGTCGTTGTGGGACATACATGACTCGCGATCGCCAAATAGGAATCCCAAAGTGGGTAGGTGATTTTCCTCCCAAGTTGGATTGTCCCGCAGAATACGGGATAAGCTCAGCCAAACACTTGAGCAGTGTGGTTTTTCTGGGTTATTTTCAGTCAGCCAGTCAAAAAAAGATTTAAACTTGTTATTATTTACCCTGCACCACTTGGACCTCTCAGGACTAACGTCTCTCCTTTTTCCAACTCGAGACAAACATCCTTGAACAACCAACGTCCGTCACCTAATTGCATAGACACTCCACTTGCTTCAAACAGGGTCATCTTTATAAAAACAATACAAAAAGTAATAAATAAAAAAAAAAAATCTTTTTTTCTTATTTATTTCTGTCTCGATTGCGTCACATGTGTTCTTTCTTTTTTGTACGCTTTGAGAAAATTAGTATTCAACGTCTAGTGACGCATATTCCAGCCAATCATCATATAAAATACACTGAGGGGGCCGTGAAAAAAAAAAATTGTAGTGTTGCAAGCTTTTTTGGCGGGGCGCGTTTGGTTGGTTCGACATGAAATGGACTGTTTTGATTCCAGCACACACACACACACACACAACTCACAACCACATTTTTTTTTTCTTTCTTTTTTTTTATTGTTAAAAATAATTTTTTTTTCTCATGGAGCCAAACGAGTCAAAGAATAGAGGTTGGGAAAACGACTTTTATAAGAATGGATATCCACAAGAAGTCATTGTGATTTCAGACAGTCCAACTCCTCCTCCATCTTGTTTACCCATTCAAGATTATGCATTCGGGCGAAAAAGAACCCAAGACACAGGCTTTCAACCAGACCTAAAGAGGCAGAAATGGAACAATTCCAACCATATCATGAATCAGAGTGAGTTTTCCTGACCCACCCCCCTTCAATTTCACACCCCCATATTGACTGTCTTTTTTTTAATAATAAGGCATACTGGCATTTCACCTTTTCCCAAGCCAAATATACAATCAACAACATAATATCCCC